AGATACTCATTCCAAATTTGTTTGGGCTTCTGCCCTTACGGGAGAAACTGTTAACCATGTAATAGAACGCTTATTGGAAGCTTTTGCCATTATGGGAGTGCCTGCCAAAATAAAGACTGATAATGGATCAGCCTATAAAAGTATCAAATTTAAAAGACGAGTTCATGGCACACTAAAACAACAAATTAAAAAATTAGAAAGGAGGAAAAGGTTGGATGAAGGTATGGATATTTTGTGGTTTTCCATGCAAAATCCTAAAATAATTTTACATCAAGCTCTTTTTGTTCTTAATTTTTTAAACTTACCACAAGGAGATATTTTAACTAGAGCTGAGCGCCATTTTGAACAAATATCAGAAAAACCTTATTTAAATGCTCCCATATGGATTAAGATTGCATTGGATGCAGAATGACAACCAGGAACATTATTACATAAGGGGTGAGGGTATGGTTTTGTGTCTACACAGGATGGCAAACAATGCTGACTTCCTGCACGATGGATACAGACTCGGCCCAGAGAGGACAGCCGGGTATCCTGCAAGGAATCAGCCACCAGTTGAGGAAGAAGAAAGCCCCGCTGCCCACCTTGGGGCAGGTTAAAAAATTGACTGGAGAAGGACAAAAGATGTTACAATACACTGGTAAACCTGTCACGGCTGAGAACTTGTTCCTGGCCATGTGTGCCCTGCTTACTGTAAACTCTGTCCATGCTAATGCTAATGTAAGTTATTGGGCCTTTGTTCCTAACCCTCCTTTACTGGAACCTGTTGTTTGGGGAGACATGGATATAACCGTCTATACTGTTCCTGCTATTTTATCTCCTACTTGGAATAATTTGACATTTTACAATATGGATGATGGTGGCTTTTTTAACTTTACTTACTATACCCATTCCTTGCCTGTTTGTCTGCAGCCTCCTCCATGTTTAGTTATGAATTGGCAACATTGGGTTTCACCTGGGAAACGCACTTCCAATTCTAGAACACAGCTGCAGCGATTAACTACTTGGTCCATTAATAGTAGCTGGGAAAACGTCACCTTTGATGGCGAGTTATCCTTACCTATGTGCCCTGATTTTACTTATATTGATTTAAAATATCAGCCTTTTGTGTGGCAAGAGTGTAGAGGAACATTTGGAAAAATGTTCAATAATTTTATTAATTGGGGACCTTTTGGACAGTTTATTAACACATGTTCAGAATGGAATATTACCAGATGTGATTTATCAAATGTTACTAGGATGCCAGATGCCATTAATGGATCACTTATTGGAGCTTGATTGATGGCCTGGGGAGATGTAGGCATTGCAGATGCTCGATGGGCTTTATTGGCTACACCCACTGCTGTTCAGATTCATCTTTGGAAGGTCGCAGCGGCGCTGAAACCCGTGATGCTATCAAATGGATCGTTTTCAGGGACGGCGAATTCTGCGTCAACTTATAATTTTACTTTGTATAAATCTTATAATGTAACTGCTTGTGTACCTCTGCCTTATGTATTTTTGGTGGAAAATTGTACATTTTCTCCTACTATTTCTTGTTTCAATTGTCACCTGTATTCTTGTGTTAATTCCTCTCTTAATTTTAATGACAGTGATAGTATTATGATTTTACAACAAAGAATTCATATTTGGCTACCTGTTAAATTAGAAAGAGAATGGTCCCAAAATCCTTTGGATAGTGTGGTTATTAAATTTTTTACCAAACTACTAAAATGTACAAAACGCATGATTGGAGCCATTGTAGCTGTGATTTTTAAGCTTAATTGCCATTACCACTGTTGCTGCGGTGTCTGGAATTGCCCTACACACTTCCTTACAAACTAAATACTTTGTGGAAGAATGGTACCGGGATTCACATGAATTGTGGGTCTCACAGGTAGAAACTGATGCTCAATTACAAACATAGATTAATATTCTTAAACAGACAGTGGGATGGTTAGGAAAAAAGTTATTGGTTGTGGAAAAACAGTTATTGTTAAAATGTGATTAAAATTTTACTACCTTTTGCATTACTAATGTAAAATATAATAAATCTATACATGATTGGAATGTAATACAGCAGTATTTATCTGGAAATTCTACTGCTGCTCAATTGATTGCTCAGTTACAATTTAAAGTACATGATATTTTTGGTAAACAATTTACAAATAATGCTTCTAAATATTGCTGATGCATTTATTAAACAATTGGAAGGGTTGGATCTGAAAGAAATACTACAAAACATTTCACATACTGCTAGTGGTATGGGAATTATGATTGTTATTATTCTGTTTGCACTTGTGCTGTTATATTTGATTTTTATGAAACCAATGCAAGCTTCTATGATAACCCTGTAAAAAGCTTTACTTTTAAAACAAAAGAAAAAAGAAGGAAATTGTGAAGACTCCAGGTCTATGATGAGGGTGCAGAATGATGCAGGCTCCAGCCTCAGGATTATCTGAGGACTGTGTTTAGGATTAGGAAAGCTCTTGGAGCGCCAGGCTAGAGAGGGAAAATGTTCTCTCTCCCTATCTCAAAACACATGTCACAGACTCCTGGGAGCTGAGGAAGTAGCTCTTCTGCTTGCTTAAACATAGATGAACAAGTGGTCAAGCATTTTCCTGAGATTGGAGAAGTGGTTTGAGCTTGCTCTAAAATAGTTTAGATAATAATATACCTAGACATTGTCTTATAGGTCAAGTAAAAATGTATTTGTTGAAATTTTTGTGTAAATGTCTTCTGACCAAATCTTGGCAAAGATTATGCTTGCTTGTCTTTAAATACCCACTAACAATAAAGCACAGCATGCAGTGGCAATTGCTGTTTGCACTCTGCATCCCCTGTGTCCTGGTGATTTTGTGACCCTTACCCAGGGACTCCAACGCACTAGACATTGACAATATATGAATGTAAAACATAAGCTAAAATTACCAGATAAGGAATAAAGAGGATTTAAACAGATCGATGAAAAAAATCATTTCTCTTAACCTAGCCTATTTTACCAATTTTCTTTTCTTTTTTTTTTCTTTTTTTTTGCTTATGTGGTGCTGAGGAATCGAACCCAGGGCCTCAGGCATAGCGAGGCAAGCGCTCTACCACTGAGCCACCTTCCCAGCCCCCTTTACCAATTTTCTTTTCTTTTCTTTTTTTTTGGGTCCAGTCGTGGGGCCTGAACTCTGGGCCTGGGCGCTGTCCCTCAGCTCTTCAGCTCAAGGCTAGCGCTCTACCACTTGAGCCACAGCGCCACTTCCAGCTTTTTTCTTTTTACTTATGCAGTGCTGAGGAATCGAACCCAGGGTCTTGAGCATGCAAGGCAAGCGCTCTACCACTGAGCCACCTTCCCAGCCCCCAATTTTCTTAAGAATTGGGATGAGTCAGGCGGGTGCCGGTGGCTCACACCTGTAAACACCTAGCTACTCAGGAGGCTGAGATCTGAGGACCATGGTTCAAAGCCAGCCCAGGCATAGTCAGTGAGACTCTCATCTCCAATAAATCACTTACAAAACTGGAAGTGGTGCTGTGGCTCAAGTGGTAGAGGGCTAGCCTTGAGCTGAAGAGCTGAGGGACAGCGCCCAGGCCCAGAGTTCAAGCCCCACAGCTGACCAAAAAAAAGAATCAAATCCCAGACCACTTTGTATATCACTATGCCTTCTAGTGTGTGTGTGTGTGTGTGTGTGTGTGTGTGTGTGTGTGTGTGTGTGTGTGTGTGTGTTAAAGTACAACTCCCTTCAGCATGCCCTGTAGGAAAGTTCTGCTAGCTCAACTTGTTTACATGGGGATGTCTTAATTTCTCCATTATGTTTGGAGGATAATTTTGTTTTTGCCTCTCTTCACTCCCCTTCCTTTCCTTCCCTTTTTCCCCACCCCTCTCTGTCTCCCTCCCTTTCTCACTCCCTTAATTAGGATTTCTGGAGAGTAATAGACTCAGACTTTCTTATTGTGCCAAAACACTTATATAACCTTGTCCAAAAGGTTGTATGGCAAAATTGGCACTCAGGTAATAAATGATGACACCAGGATTCCATCCCCTACCTTTTACTCTCTATTCTATCCCTTCTACATGCATTTTAGGCAACTGATTCCTGCATTCCTGGAAACTGGACCATTGTTATTCATCTTTCCATCTGTAACTCAGATCTGTAACTCCAGTCCTTATCTTTTTTCTTTTTTTTCTTTTGCCAGTCCTGGGGCTTGAACTCAGGGCCTGGTCACTGACCCTGAGCTTCTTTTGCTCAAGACTAGCACTCTATCACTCAAGCCACAGCACCTCTTCCAGCTTTTTCTGTTTATGTGGTACTGAGGAATAGAACCCAGGACTTGATGCATGCTAGGCAAGCACTCTATCACTAAGCCTCATTCCCAGCTATTAATTTGTGTGTGTGTGTGTGTGTGTGTGTGTGTGTGTGTGTGTGCTGGGGACTGAACTCAGAGCATGGGCACTGTTCCTTAGCTCTTTTGCTCAAGGTGGCACTCTAATATTTGAGCCACACCTCCACTTCCAGCTTTTTGGTGGTTAATTGACAATAAAATCTCATGAACTTTCCTGCCTGGGCTGGCTTCTTGAGTAATTAGGATTACAAGCTGAGCAACCATCCATTCCTGACCTCCAGCACCTAACTTTTGAATTTCTCCAAGTATTTACAATGATATGAATTTCAAACTCTGGAAGCATTAAACTTGATCTTCATTTTCTTTCTTTTGGCAGTGCTCGGGATTGAACTCAAGCCCCTGGCATGCCAGGCACCGGATTGCCTCACTAGCCCTAAATTAATTTCCTCCTGATGCCCTGTCTCACTACTTCCCGTCCTTGGAAATTCTCTCCCCCTACCCGTTTCCACCCCCATTTCTCACTTAGATATCAGTACCATTTAACAACTCTAAATGAACTTGTATTCCTATGGTAAAGTTTGCAAGGTGAAACTGAAAGCCCGGCAGGCCCGCCTCGGGCCTGACCCTGCCACTAGGTGGCGCTCGGGGACGGGGCGGGAAGCGGGTGGCTGCGCAGGCGCTGCCGGCCACGCCCGAGGTCAGGGACCCCGGCTTCCTAGAACTTGGAATCCTGAGGCACTTGGAGCTGCGAGGCCGGGGAGCGGAGACGCTTGGCCAGCGGGGCTCCCGAGCGCCTGGCGAGGTCTTCCGGCAGGTGTGTGGGCGCGGAGGGTGGCCGGCGGGTCCCAGCCCAGTCCGGGCAAGGGTCGGGTGGTCCAGGCTGGGATGTGGTTGGCCGCGGTGGTGGCGCTCTGAGGCCGCGGGGCGGGGCGGAGGCGCCCGGCTGTCCTCCGGGTCGTCGCGGCGGGCGGTGGCCGCGGTGCGTGCGTCTGGGCCTGGTGACCAGACGGACCCTGGAGGCTGGGAAAGGAGCGCTCACTGGAGCCGCGATCGGGGCGTCGCGTCGTGTGTGTGTGTGTGCGTGTGTGTGTGCAGAACGGGCCAGATCTGTGCAGAGAGTACGCGGGTTTGCTAAGTGATCAGGACTTCCTGAGTGGGAACAAGGTGCTGCAGGCGTGAGGCCCCGAATGGACCCTGTCCAGGAACCGCTGGCCACACGCAACCTTGGCTAGAGTGCCCGTGCTCCGCGACCAGAGACAAGACACGAGCATAAAAGTGGAAGAGTAACTTGTTTACAGTGTGGGCTGGAACCGGGAAGACAGAGTTTTAAAGTTTGTCTCTGCCTTGCTCATAGCAGTGTGACAGTGGGGCGGGGGAACAAAAGCCAGGAAATAGGTAGATTTAGACTTGGTTGAGGGCTCACTTTAGGGAACTGTGATGAATCTTTACTTGAGGGACTGGGATGGGGGGGAAGAGGGGAAGGAGGAGGGACGGGAAAGGGGAGGGTGTTGTCGTTTAATTTTTGTGTAGTTGCAAGAACTCAGGACCTGAGCCCTGTCTCTTAGCTTTTTTGCTCAGGACTAGCTCTGCTACCAGTTGAGCCATACCCTCTCCCCCCCCCCCCCACTTCTGGCTTTTTGCTGGTTAATTGGAGATAAGAATCTTAACAGATGTTTCTGCTGGAGCTGGTTTCGAACTTATATAGTCAGATTTCAGGGGGTGAGCCGCCACCTGGTGCTCGGCTTTAATGCATGTATTTGCTTTGAACTTGAGACTCTCCTAGCTTGGAATGTCAGGGTGGTCATTTCCATTTCCCAGCAGCTATTTCTTGAAGGAATCTGAATATTTAGGGCTCCCAAATCAGAACCCACAGTTCAATAAAATAATTACTACAGAGAATACTGAATGTTTCAACCCAAAATCATATGGGTAAACTCCCCTTCCTTTTCTCTTCTGGGCTGCTAAGTGACAGTGTGCTAGAAGCTGTATTATTAAGGGAGAAAGTTGCAGATACTTTCATTACAGTTGACTCCATCTTTATTACCTATTTGTTTGTTTATTTATTTATTTATTCATGTGCTGGTATGAGGGCTTGAACTCAGGGCCTCCCCCTCTTGCTTGGCTTTTTTGCTTAAGCCTGATGCTCTACACACACCTCCACTTCCAACTCCATCTTTTTACTCAGTAAGCATTTCTTAGGTTCTATGTTCTGAGGTGCAAGATGCCAGGTATGGAACCAAAGTAGTACCTTATGGGATGGAGGACTGGCTCAGACATATAGCAGCTGCCTACTAAGGGAGAGACTTTGAGTCTGAAACACCTCCCCCCCCTCCCCGCACATCACCAAAGTAATGCTTTGCTTTTGTAATTCCATTAGAGGAGGGCATAAATGGTGCTATTTGAGTTGTACTGTGCAAATAGTGTCAGAAGGCTTTTCTATAGTCTCAGACTTTAATCCATAACTGAAAGAGGTGGGATTTTGGGGTGTTTCAGTTTTTGTTTTCTTTTATTGGGCCAGTACTCAGGGCCTAGGTTTTTGGCTCAGCCTGGTTCTCTCCAGGGATCCACATGTCAAGTCTTGCCTTTCACCCCAGTCCAAGAGATAATATTCAGGTAAAGGCAAAATATGCACTTCAATCTACCTTACAGGTACAAACATGAGTTTTAGGTAGAACTATGGAAAGAACTGGGATGTGGGCCACCGGTGGCTCAGGCATGTAATCCTAGCTACTGAGGAGGTTGAGATCTGAGGATCATGGTTGGAAGCCAGCCCAGGCAGTAAAGTCCATGAGACTCTTATCTACATTTTAACCATCAAAAAGCTGGAAGTGGAGCTGTGGCTGAAGTGTTAGAGCGCCAGCCTTGAACACAAATACCCAAGGACAGAGCCCAGATCCTGAGCTCAAACCCCAGAAACACCCCCTCCCCCCCCCAGGGTAAGAGGAGAAAGGTATGCATAAGCAATCCTGGACTGCCTGGCCTAGTTGATCATTATGGAAGGATTTGTCTATGGGTAGCCTGAGAGATGAAGATCCCAGATCTTTGGCATCAAGAACAAAGAATTGAACCAAGACACAGACAAAAGTAAAGTGGTAAAGCAAATTGTTTAACAAAGGAAAAATCCATCGTTAGAAGAAACAGCAGGCTAGAGCTAAGCATCAGCTCTATAAGAGCAAACAGGTAGTTAAAAGTTTCAGCTTTCTAGGGATGGAGAGTTAGAGAACTCAGTAATAATAGTGGACTTAACTTAGGAAATGAAGGATAGTGACTTGGCAGGTTTTTAAAAAGGGATGTGTGCATGCGCAAGGTTTGTCATCCTATAATTTTAAGTACGCACATGCTAGGCAACCCATATGCACGAAGCCTGACTTAGAGGGTTGTTCTGAAAGGTCAGGCTAAGGACACATGTTTCCACTACCTGTGTGCCTCAGTGTAGTTAGAACTGTCCTGGATTTTTTTTCTGCCTCTGGGGAGAAGTTCTGACTAGGAATTGACCAATAATTACCCCCATGGAGGTGTGGCTACCTGTAGTATTCTGGAGGAGATAGAGCTCCAGGGTGCTTCTCAGGGTGTGACTAGAAGAAGGATTGGTTTAAATGGGTTTTTTTCCTGTAGCTAACCTGACAACGCCAGGAAATGGTGGTGGCCACCTCCCATCACTATAAGGCTATGACTGGTGAAAGGTGAAGACTGTGGCTTGGGGAGTAGCATGCACAAAGGCCAGTAAAACAAAGGCCCTGTCTGCTTCACTGGGTGTCTGAGACAGACAAATCACTATCAGCTGCTAGAGCATCAAGAAGCGGCATCCACAACCAACCCAGCCTTTCTATGAGACATCTGGCTAGGAACCACCTTGACCAAAGCTGCTTACTTTAGGGACCTTGATATGAACAACTTCACTTTTCAGAAACTGACCAACAACTAGGAGGAATTCAAACTAGCCTCTTACCATTTGTTACTGTATTGTTAGCTGCACATTTCAATTCATTTATGCTCTCCACACCCTGTCTTGCTGGGTATAGAACACAAGGCAGCTACATCTCCAGCCCTGCATACTTCTCTTACAAATAACTCTTTTCTATATTGTGAGAATAAGTGTGTGGGACAGTAAAATAAGTTGATTTTAAGTTATGTGTTCTAATACACAATTATGCATTTTACCATTTAAACACAAATTGTTTGGTTTTTTGATGTTCGTTTTGTGTGTTTGTTTTCCAGTCATGGGGCTTGTACTCTGGGCCTGTGTGCTTTTGCTCAAGGATAGCACTCTACCATTTGAGCAGCAGCTCCACTTCCGTGTTTTTGTGGTTATTTGGAAATAAGAGTCTCACAGACTTTCCCACCTGAGCAGCTTCAAACCTTGATCCTCCGATCTCAGCTTGAAATTAAGGGCCTGGACGCTGTTCTGAGCTTTTTTGCTCAAGGCTTCTCTTCCTGCTTTTTGTTGTTGTTGTTGTTGTTTTGTTGGTCATGGGGCTTGAACTCTGGGCCTGGGCTGTGTCCTTGAGCTCTTCAGCTCAAGGCTAGAGCTCTACCACTTGAGCCACAGTGCCACTTCTGGTTTTCTGGTGGTAAATTGGAGATGAGTCTCACAGACTTTCCTTCCCTGGCTGGCTTTGAACCATGCATGATCCTCTGATCTCAGTCTCTTGAATAGCAAGGATTATAGGCGTAAGCCACAGTGCCCAGCGATAAGTCTCTTTAAGTAATCAACTGTAAAACAGCCACTCGTTTCACAATTAAATAAGGTTTCTTTTTAATTCAGAATTAATGCTTCAGAGCTGGGGTATAGCTCAATGGTACAAAGGTCTTTGGTTGATCTCCACCCCTGAAAGAAAGAAAAGGAAGATGGGAGAGAAGGAAGAAAAGGAGAGAGAAGAGAAGAAAGAGGAAAAGGATAGGAGAGGGGAAGGAGAAAGGAAAAAGGAAGGCAAGGAGGAAAGATTTCTTTGTTGAGCCATACACTTAATCTGTAACTGATACCTGTCAAGTTCTATACAAAGGATTTTTGTTGTCATACTACCAGCCATAAAAGCAAATAATAATCCTAAAGCCTACACATATTCTAGAATCTAGGATAATTTTGTTAGTTAGCTTTCTGTCTGTGATGGACATTTGAGATATGTCAGCTTCAGGGAGAAAGGTGGATTTTAGTTGATGGTTTCCAGTGTTTCAGTTCATAGTTCCTTGGCCTTTGGTGGCCTAGTACATCATGACTACAGCATAGGGCAGAGGATGCCTGTTCCAGATCCCCTGTAAGAACCCACCCCCAGTTACCTACATTCCTGTCATTTGGCCTCACATCTGAAAGGTTCTACAGCCCAGAAGTGCCAGTTAGCAACCAAGCCTTCAGCTTTTGGGCCTTTGGGGGACATTTGAGACCTGAACCATCAAGCTTATTCCTGTAATCCTAGCAGGATACTGAGATCCGAGGATTGCAGTTCAAAGCCAGCCCCAGAAGATAAATCTAAGGGATTCCTATCTCCAATTAACTAACAAAAAGCCAAACTTAGAGGTGTGGCTTTCTGTGTAATATGAATGAGGCTTATGTGGAAAGGGACAGTGCCTAGGTCCCAAGTTCAGCCACTAATACTGGCACACACACACACACACACACACACACACACACACAAATAAAATTTCAACCATAACAAGTGCATTGTTTTTGCAATATAGTGTATAGATAGATATACTATACACATAATATATATAGTATATATACTATAGATATAGTTTATACTATATGTAATATAGTATATAACATATATTTTGTGATTACAATTATATAATTGTATATTGTGATTATAATTATTACTATTATATATTATATATAATTGTATAAGTCAAATCTTCCCACAATTTACATGTATAATTCTAAATTTATTGTCAGTTATTCACTGAAAAGAGATTCCCTAAAATCCATAGTTTGAAAAATGAACTATATACCTCATGGGCAGAGATGAGAGGGAAAAACTGGGAGAGAGCAAAAGAAGGAGTGACATTGCCCCACGCCAAAACATACTCATTACCTGACTTACGAAATGCTACATCATCTTTATAGTAACAAATTTTTAACCCATAACTTGAAACTTTTTTTTTTCAGGATGGCCGTGGGAATCTTTGCAAATTGTGTTTTTTGTTTGAAAATCAAATACTTACCTCGTCAACAGAAGAAAAAACTACAAACTGACATTAAGGAAAATGGCGGAAAGTTTTCCTTTTTATTGAGTCCTCAGGTATTTCCAAATTTCATAAATTACCTTATGATTAATGTAATACCTTATGGGGTATTGGTTCATGGTTATGGGGGTCATGGTTACACAAGTAAGTAAGCAGAAAAGATTGGCAACACCCACTGGAAGACGGGCAGGAAAGGCATATGAGGCCAGGCAGTCCAGCTTGGCATTTTCCCATCTGGCAGCTGCAGGATGATCACACATGCCTTGTGACTGATATTTTTGCAGCACAGCCATAGATTTATTTTTTATTTTATTTTGGTGCTAGTACTGGGGCTTGAACTGAAGGCCTAGGTACTGTCCCTTAGCTTTTTCACTCAAGGCTGGTATTCTACTACTAGCTCCATTTCTGTCTGGTTTTTTAAAATTGTTATTATAAAGGTGATGTGTATAGCAGTTACAGTTATATAAGTCAGGTAAAACGTACATTTCCTTTTGGATAATGTCACCCTATTTCTGGCTTTTTGCTGGTTAATTAAAGGTAAGAGTCTCATGGATTTTCCTGCCTGGACTGGCTTTGAATAGCAATTCTCAAATCTCAACCTTCTGAGTAGCTAGGATTACAGGTGCCACCAACATCTGGCTGCCACAGATTTAAATAGACAGAATTTCATATTGGCAAATCTATTCCAGAAGGGGGAAAAGTCACAGTGAAGAGCATTTGTAGGGTGCACTGTGATCATTTACCAGTAGTCATTCCTGGAGTGACAGGTACCAGTGTGGCTCCTGAGATCAGAGAGAAAACTTACAGTATAAATTTAACTTTTTGTGTAACCTGTCCTGTTTCTTTAAGAGTTGGGAAATGTTTCCTCTCTGTTTTGATTTGTTTTGTTGGTGCCAGTCCTGGGGCTTGAACTCAGGGTCTGGGCCCTGTCCCTGAGCTTTTTGCTTAAGTTAATACTCTACTTCTTGAGCCACAGCTCTACTTCTGGCTTTTTTAGTCAACTGGAGATAAAGGGTCTCAGCTGGGTGCTGGTGACTCACACCTGTAATCCTAGCTACCCAGGAGACCGACATCCTAGAATCACTATTCAAAGCCAGCCTGGGCAGAAAATTCTGTGACTCATCACCAAATTAACTACCAAAAAAGCCAGCAGTGGACATATGGTCCAAGAGGTAGAGCACTAGCCTTGAAGACAAAAGCTTAGGACAGCTCCCAGGCCTTGAGTTCAAGCTCCAGGACTGGCACACACACAAAAATGCCTCAGCAGCTTTCCTGCTAGAGCTGGCCTCAGATAGCAATCCTTATATCTCAGCCTCCTGAATAGCTAGGATTACAGGCATGAGTCCCCAGTGCCCAGCTCTTTCTGGTCTTCATGGTGGAGGAGGAGGTATCAGTACTGGGGCTTGAACGCAGGGCTTCAGTGATGTCCCTTAGCTTTTTGGCTCAAGGCTGGCACTCTACCACTTGAGCCACAGCTCTGCTTTCAGCTTTTTGCTGGTTAATTGGAGATAAGAATTTCCTGGACTGACTTCCGCTAGCACTTAGCTTGCTACCTTTATCTGTTGAAATTAACTATAGGCCAAAGTGTTTAGTTATAGAACTTCACAGCTGGATGCATCTTTTTTTTTTTTGGTCAGTTGTGGGGCTTGAACTCTGGGCTGTGTTGTCCCTCAGCTCTTCATCTCAAGGCGAGCGCTCTAACCTTTAAGCCACAGCACCACTTCCAGTTTTCTAGTGGTTTATTGGAGATGAGAGTCTCATGTCATGGACTTTCCTGCCCAGGCTGGCTTTGAACCATGATCCTCAGATCTCGGCCTCCTGAATAGCTAGGATTATAGACATGAGCCACCGGCACCTGGCTAGCTGGACTCATCTTAGAAACAAATCTAAATGTTGAAGTCTAAAGATTTCTGCACAAGCTGGGCACCGGTGGCTCACACCTGTAATCCTAGCTACTCAGGAGGCCGAGATCTGAGAATTGTGGTTCAAAGCCAGGAAAGTCCGTGAAACTCTTATCTCCAATAAACCACCAGAAAACCAGAAGTGGCGCTGTAGCTCAAGTGGTAGAGCACTAGCTTTGAGCTGAAGAGCTGAGGGACAGTGTCAGGTCCAGAGTTCAAGCCCCACGACCGACATAAAAAGAAAAAAAAGATTTCTGCACAATCCCAGGCCTATCCACCCTGTCCTTTGCTCTCCCCTGTATGGATGTATGTGAAGGCCAGCTCTGCTCGCCCCTCCTTGGATACATTCCTGGGACTAGCCACACTGAGCCATATCTGTCCTGGGAAGCAGTATGCTATAATGAAATGCTCCTAAGCATAAGCGCATTTGCTTCTATCACATGGCTTTCCTCACAAGCCTGCCTCACCACATCTGTGCATGGATGTACACCTAACCCGTTCTTCCTTCTTGGTTCATCCACACACAGTGTGTGTATACAGCCTTTTAGATATGTTTTACGTTTTGCTTTTTTGTGTATATAAATGTTTGAAATGTATATACCATCTATTATAAAGGAGACAGCATGCATGGTACAGTACATGCCTGTAATCCCAGTATTTAGGAAGTGGAGGCAGAAGGATTGTGAATTTGAGGCCAGTTGAGACCTCTTTTGGGACTCTGCCCCAAAAGAATATAAGAGGAAGGAGAGAGGGAAGGGAAGGAGAGAGGGAAGGGAAGGAAGAGAGGGAGGAAAGAGGGAAGAAGGAACAGAAGGAGGGAGTGAGGGAGGGAGACACTCAACATTCAGGAGTAAGCCAAGCCTGTGGATAATGTGTTGCCATCTGTTCATTTGTGTGTCATACTCCTTACAATAGATCTTGAAACACAGATGGAAGATCTAATCACAGCTGCTACTTCTGGGCAACAAACTGCGAACAATAGTGAGGAACAAGTTAGCCTATCATTATCTTGCTTTTTAGATATTGTGTAGGAGGCATATACTATTTATTCAAAACTAAATAAAATTACAGATTAACAAAATATGTAAATGAATGATGAATACCATTTGGCTCTACCTTTCCTCTTCCAGGAAATAATTGAAGATATGTACATGACAGTTTACAGCATTGTATACAGTGAAGACTCAGAAATAGATTGTAGCTAGGCACTGGTGGCATATACCTGTAATCCCAGCTAACTCAGAAGGCTGAGATCTGAGGATCCTGGCAGAAAAGCCCAGGCAGAAAAGTCCCGGAGAGGGCTGGGAAGGTGGCTCAGTGGTAGAGCGCTTGCCTTGCATGCATGAGGCCCTGGGTTCGATTCCTCAGCACCACATAAGCAAAAAGAATAAAGCCGGAAGTGGCACTGTGGCTCAAGTGGTAGAATGCTAGCCTTGAGCTGAAGAGCTGAAGGACAGCGCCCAGGCCCAGAGGTCAGGCCCCATGACCGGACCCAAAAAAAGAAAAAAGAAAAGAAAAGTCCCAGAGACTCTTCTGTCCAGTTAGCCAGCAAAAAAGCCAAAAATGGAACTGTAGCTCAGGTGGTAGAGTGCCAACCTAAGTAAAAAAGTTGAGATATAGCACCCAGACGCTGAGTTCAAGCCTCAGGAATGGCTCAAAATAAAAGTCCCATTTTGGGACTAAGGTTCAGCTCAGTAGAAGACCTCTTACTTAGCATGATCAAGGCCCTGAGTGTGATCCCTAGGATCTCAATAACTTATTTTTTTTAATTGATGTAATTTGCAAAAGTTTTCAAAAACGTAAAGAAAAATCACAGCAGGTTACCTTAAACACTTTTTTTTTTTAAAAAAAAGCCTTGTGCTTGCCAGCTAGACACTCTATTGCTGAACATGTCTTAGCCTACTTTGTCTGGTTGTTTGTTTTTGAGATCTGGTCTTGCTTGCTGCTTGGGTACATGTCTGAACTGTGAGCTGCCTGTTGGAGGCCTCCTGTGGTTTCTGGGATGACAGGCATGCACAACCCCATTCAGCTTTCCTCTGATGAGACTGAGTCTCTCAGATTCCTCTGCCTAGGCTGGCCTGGAACCACAATTCTCCCAAGCAGCTGAGACCACACGTGTGAGCCACCAAGGCCTAATTCAAAGCAAGATATAAATAACACCTACTTAAATTTTGTTTTTACTAAGACGTAATAGATTGGCTCCTTTTTCTTAGTGCACACATGTCATCGTAGACAATGTTGATACTCTGAGTCAATATCAATTGGATTCTATCCAAAAGAATAACATCCACATCGCTGGCCCAGATTTTATATGGGAATCCATCAAAGAGAGGAAACTCTTGGATATAAAGACTAACAATCTGAAAAAGCCACTGCCCATCACTCCACCTCCTCATCAAAACTCCAGCAGTTCTGGTAAGTACTTTCTAGCAAGGGATTAATGTATTATAGGTGCTAGAGTAGACATTTGGGCTTATTGAAAATACTACAGACATAGATGTATCCTAGAAATACTATAATTTTGTAGATAACGTTACGATTTCTCTATAAGAAAATTAGGGCTGGGTGCTGGGGGCTCATGCCTGTAATCCTAGCTACTCAGGAGGCTGAGATCTGAGGATCTTGGTTCAAAGCCAGCCTGGCAGGAATGTCCATGAGATTCTTATCTTCAATTAACCACCCAAAACCCCAAAGTGGTGGCACTGTGGCTCAAGTGGCAGAGCACTTGTCTTGAGCTGAAGGGCTCAAGGACAATGCCTAGGCCCAGAGTTAAAGACTCACGACTAACCCCCCCCCCCCCCAAAAAAAAAAGGAAGAAGAAGAAGAAAGAAAAATAAGATGCAAAAGTTCACAGACTCCTTTAATTTCCCTTCTCTAAACTAGAACATTCCCAGACCCTCTAGAAAAGAAAAATGCCATTTTATATGACATTTAGATATGGGTATGATGACATACCCTCTTGTTACCCTAGCATTTAGGAGGTAGAGGCAAGAAGATAAAATATTGGAGGCCATCTTGAGCAACATTGTGAAATTGTATCTCCAAACAGGTATAATAGGATGGCCAGGCACTGGTAGCTCACACCTTAGTTATTCAGGAGGTTGAGTTCTGAGGATCTCAGTTAGAAGCCACCTTAAGCAGAAAAGTCCATGAGACTCTTATCTCTAACTAACCACCAAAAAAAAGCCACAAGTGGAGCTATGGCTCAAATGGATATGCTAAATAAGAGCTCAAGGCCCTGAGTTGAAGTCCCAGCACTGGAATAAACGCACACACACACACACACACACACACACACACAATTGGGGTTGGGGCTATGGTTCAGTGGTAGAGCAGTTCTCAACAGGCCTGAGTCTCTGGATTCGATCCTCATTGCCTCCACTCCACAGACACAATTACACACTCACATTTGCACACACATAGATTTGCATGGCAGATGTTTTCCATGTGTAAGGATCTTTACAAGTTCAGTAGTTAGGTTTACAATTAATTATAATATAGCTTTGCACAGTAAACAAATAATTTTTGTTTGTTTTCATTCTAGAACTGAAAACAGATGCTGTATCACTGGACAGTGACCCTGAGAAGAAAAACACAGAAGTCACTGAGTAATCTAAATACTTTGTAAACTTTAAACACAGTATTAAAATGAGCATAGCAGTGCATATTCCCAGTATTCTTTCTGTATGGCTCAGATTGGCCTCAAATTTGGGAGTCTCAGCCTCTGCATTGTGGGGATTATATAAGCATATGCTACTACATCCGCAGTTCCATGACAACCTGGGCCATTCTGAATGATCCAGTCTCCCTTTTTGTTTTTTTTTCCTCCAGTTGTGGGGGTTGAACTCTGGGCCTGGGCGTTATCCCTCAACTCTTCAGCTCAAGGCGAGCACTCTACCACTTGAGCCACAATGCCACTTCCAGACCTAGTCTCAAAAAAAATAAATAAATAAAAAAGATGTGTGCTAGTGGTTCTCACCTGTAATCCTAGCTACTCTGGAGGCTAAGATCTGAAGACTGAATTTCTAAACCAGCCCAGGAAGACAAATCTGAGCTACTCTTATCTCCAGTTAATCAGCAAAAAGCTGGAAGTATAAATGTGGCTCAAGTGATAGGGCACTGTCCTTGAGTGAAAAAAGCCAAGAAAGAGTAAGAAGCTCTGAGTTCAAGCATCAAGACCAGCATGCACGTGTGTGTGTGTGTGTGTGTGTGTGTGCGCGCGTGTGCACACACACACACACACACACACACATATGAGTAACTATAGTATAACTACAGGGCAGATTTCTCATGATGTTAGGTAGAATGGTCTAAAATCACATTTATCTCTATTTAGCTATATTTATGACATAACTGTATCCTTTCACAAAATTTGCTTTTTCTCTAATTATGAATATACAGATTTTTAACTATAATACAATTCTGTTCAATTGAATACTTCAATCATGTGACAAGTTGTGTATCAACTACTAAAATTATGCTTTTGTTACTATTTAGTTAATATGCTTCATTTAACCATATCATTTTAACACATCACCTCATGAAATTATCCTGCCCAACTATTATAATTTCACCTTTTTTTTTTTTTTGCTGGTTGTGGGGCCTGAACTCTGGGCCTGGGCACTGTCCCTCAGCTCTTCAGTTTAAGGCTAGTGCTCTACCACTTCAGCCACAGTGCCACTTCTGGCTTTTTCTGCTTATGTGGTGCTGAGGGAATCGAACCGAGGACCTCATACATGCAAAGCAAGCACTCTACCACTGAGCCACCCTCCCAGCCCCTGGAATTTCACTTTTATACAAATGTTTATGAAATGCTGCAAAATAACTTCAGTGTGTTAAATAAAGGAAAAATAACATGTGAAGAACTTGTAAGAAATATAGATTATTTATCAAATTTAATATTGGCCAAAAGCAGGCAAATCTCAGAGACTTATCTCCAATTATCCAGCAAAAAGCCAGAAGTGGAGCTGTGCAGGTGATAGAGTGCTAGCCTTGAGTGAAAAAGCTAAGGAACAGTGCCCAGGCCCAGAGTTCAGGCCCCAGTACCAGCATAGACAGTACACAGACACAGACAGACAGACAGCAGACACACACACACACACACACACACACACACACACACACACACACACACACACACACACACACGAGACAATGGCCCAGAGAGGAATGACTCTACTGCTAAGGATCAGAGCCTAGGGCAGGTGGCAACCTATCTCTACCTCTCCTGAGCATGCACCCCCTCCCAGTACAGGTGCAAAATCCTCAGCATTCATGCTCAAGAATTATGCAGGTGATAGCTTGGTGCAGGTGGCTTATACCTATAATCCTAGATTCTCAAGAGGCTGAGATCTGGTTATTGTGGTTTGAAGCTAGCCTGAGCAGGAAAGTCTGAGACTTAGCTTCAATTAACCACCACAAAGCTGGACGTGGAGCTGTTGTTCAAGTGGTACAGCACCAGCCTTGAAAGAAAAAGCTAAGGGGCAGCACTCAGACTCTGAGTACCAACAACAACAACAAAAATTATGCAGAGGAGTTAAAAATGCTGATTACTCTTGTTTGATCATCATGCATTATATGCATGTATCAAATGATTACACTCTACTTCTTAGATATATATAATTACAAACAGTGCTGAGTACAGAGGCTTATGCCTTTGATCCCAACTATATGAAAGGCAGAAGTAAAAGAGTCACACACAAAATACGGCAGAAGGGTGAGACCCTATCTGGAAAAACAACAAAAAGACTGGCCCTGATTTTAATTCCCAGTACCTATAAACAAGTACCAGGCTAGAAAGGGTGGTATGTCTGTAATCCTAGCACTCCAGAGTTTGAGGCAGAAGGGTCATCTTGCCAGCCCAGGGAAAGTTAGCAATATTCTATCTCAAAAACAAAATAAAAACAAAAGAGCCAGGGACATAGTTCAAATGGTAGAGAGACCTTGGGTGCTGTTCCTCGTACTGGAGTCTAACTCATTTATATCATCTTTTAATCATTTCTCAAAGAGCTAAGGAGGTATTAGGTGTCAGCCTATCTCCCTCCATTTTAGTTTTACATCCCCAGTTGTAGGTCTTCTATTCTTTCCCTGAAATCAAGTGACTTGGAGTTACCTGTTGTCTTTAGCCTCCAACTGTAACCCAGAGTACTCCCTGCCCCTAGAGGATTTCTTATCCCCGGCCCCTGGCCTCATATAACACTTCCCTACACACAGACAAGCTACTGGGAGGGTCAGCCTGTCAGCTTGCTGACATTAAACTGCTCTATGTGATTTGGTATCAGCATGGTCTTCTGGGTTGGAGCTTCTATGTATTTTGCAAGAAATTAGGAGATCTATTATAAAGTTCTGTTTGGCCTAAAATGTATTTTAATGTTACTATTTTAATCATATAAATTTCAGGTTTTATGAAGAGAATATTGCAATTCCTCATTTTCCTCAAGACTTTGAAGTTGCAAAGTATAACACCTTAGACAAAGTAAGAATCCTATTTGTATTTAAAAAAAAAAATACTTAGGAGGCAGAGATGGAAAGGATCGAGGTTCCAAGCCAATCCCAGAAAAAAGTTGATGAGGCTCATCTCAACCACAAGTCAGGCAAGGTAGTGTGTATGTCTGTAATCCCAGGAGGTATAGGTAGGAAGAGCAAGGTCTCAGGGTAGACCCAGGCAAAGTTATGCTTTTGAAAAAGAACTAAAGAAGCAAAATTACTCAGTGTGACTCAGATAGTAGAACATTTGCCTAGCAAGTGAGAGGCACCGACTTTAAACTCTAATACTGAAAAAGAAGAGAGGTAAAGGAAGAAACGAAAAGAAAGGCTGAGTGCTTGTGAGTTACACCTGTAATCCTAGCTACTCAGGAGGCTAAGATCTGAGGATCACGGTTTGAAGCCATACTGGAAAGGAAAGTCTATAAGTGTCTTATGATCAGTTAAGCACCAGAAAAGCCAGAAGTGGATCTGTGGCTCAAGTGTTAGAGCACTAGGTCCTCTATTTTCAGGGACAGAACCCAGGCATTTAAAAAAAAAAAAAAAAAAGGAAGAAAGAAAGGAATGGAGGGGAGGGAGGATGGATTGTGGTGGCATAGGCCTGTAATCCTAGTTCAGGGGAGGCTGAAGGAAGAGGATCCCAAGATCAGACTAGACTATATAATGAGTTCCAGGCCAATTTACTGAGACTGTCTGAAGACTTCCCTTTTGAGAGGTCTTAACTATGTAACCCAGGCTGGCCTTGATCTTATGATCCTCTACACTCTGCCTTACTGCTGGGATTACAGGTATAGTCTTGACCTAATGATCCTCTACACTCTGCCTTACTGCTGGGATTACAGGTATACTCTACCACACCTAGGTGTTAAAGTGACTCATGAGTGCTTTTCCTGAATAATCATTTTGTGATTGTTTTGAAAAGTGACTCATATCCTAAATATCCCATGTGTTGGTTTCTACCAATCAGAAATGTTTTATGAATTACGTTTGAATTTGAGTCAGCATCTAGGGTGTGTTATGTGGCTTGTTGCAGCTTCTGAGAGCACACTCTTTTTTCAGGTGGAGCCTGATGGAGGCCAGGAAGTCGTGGTGGTGGAGCTGTGCTGCTCTCAGGATTCAGAGCACAGTCCTTTTATGATTGTTGCACACTTCCTCCTGGCAGGTGGCCTGCAGGTGAGGCTTTGTGCATTGATTCCCATGGATTTGTCCACCCCGCTTATAACCAGTGGCCTTAAAACTGCTCACAGTATAGGGCACTGGTGGCTCACACCTTGTAATCCTAGCTGCTCAGGAGGCTGAGAGCTGAGGATTGCATACAGTTTGAAGCCAACTGAGACAGAAGAGTCTGTGAGATTCTTATTTCCAATTATCCAGAAGTAGAGGTATGACTCAAGTGGTAAAACACCAGCTTGAAGTGAAAAACTAAGAGAGCACAAGGCCCTGAGTTCAAACTCTAGGACCAGCACCAAAATAAATTCCTGCCTATATTATCAAGTACATTTTATTTTTGCAAGTTCCAGAGGCACTTCGAGGCCACCAGTCTGAGGGGAGAGTGACTTATCACTGTCATTTGTAGTGTGACTTTCCATAATACTGAGCACTCCAGTTTTGGACCTGGGCTACAGCCAAAAGGATACCAGCACCCCTAACCAGGGAATAGGTTCCTGTCTTTTCTATATTGTGTGTTAGGATTATTGGCCATCACTGGGGCAAGGATTTCTAAGAATAGAAAATGCAACCTGTGAAGGCAGTCTTGAATGAGGGAGGAAGTGGAGCTCAGGCTCAAGTTGTAGAGAGACAACATTGAGGGGAAAAGCTGAAGAGCACAAAAGGCCCTGAGTAGAGGCCCCAGTACTGACACATGCACAAAAAAGAGGGAAGGAAGGAAGGAAGGAAGGAAGGAAGGAAGGAAGGAAGGAAGGAAGGAAGGAAAGGTATGTTAAGTTTCTTCAGCTTTTCTGTATTCTGTAATCCACAGACTAGAAGACAGTGCACTGTAAAGGAAACCTCTGAGGAGGCAAGTGAGTATTATGAAAGTTACATTGAAGACCTGAAGAAACAAGGATTTCTGCTCAGAGAACATTTTACCCCAGAGGCCATCCAATTAGCATCTGAAAAAGTGCAAGCAGTAAGACTGATTGACATATGTTACTTTGTGTTATTGACTGAATATTTGTACTTGGAATGTTTCTTTCCTTGTTCTTTTTTTTTTTTTGTCAGTCATGGGGCTTAAACTCTGGGCCTGACCAGCCCTTCAGCTCAGTGTCAGCGCTCTATCACTTGAGCCACAGGACCATTTCCGGTTTTCTGGTAGTTTACTGGAGACGAGTTTCACAGACTTTCCTGCCCTGGCTGACTTTGAACCATGATCCTCAGATCTCAGCCTCCTGAGTAGCTAGGATTACAGGCATAAGCCACCAGCACCTGGCTGGAATGTTTCTTTATTATGAATAAATCTCTGAGTTAAAGTTTAGAACAGAGTGAGATGGTTGGCATAGGACAAACCACAGATCTATTGCTTATGTCATCTTTAAACTCTGGGACAAATATCAAGGATCCCTCACCCTGTCTGCTCATGTTTAATGCCAGTGACAGGCCAAGTGCTGGTGAGTCATGTTTATAATACTAGCCTCTCAGTAACCTGGGATTTGAGGACCAAGGTTCAAAGCCAGCTTGAGCAGGAGAGACTTTTTTCTCCAACTAACCAGCAAAAAGTTGGAAATGGAGCTGTGGCTCAAGAACATCAACCTTGAGCAAAAAAGCTAAGGGATAGCAACCAGGTCCTGAGTTCAAGCCTCAGTACAGGCATACACACACGCGCGCACGCACACACACACACACACACACACACAAATGCCATTAATAGGCCAAAGACCTACAGGGTGAAGGAAAAGACAGAGGAAAATTAATAGGAGGAACAAGATTGGGGTGGGAGCCGGGCGCTGGTGGCTCACGCCTGTAATCCTAGCTACTCAGGAGGCTGAGATCTGAGGATCGTGGTTCAAAGCCAGCCCGGGCAGGAGAGACCGTGAGACTCTTATCTCCAATAAACCACCAGAAAACCGGAAGTGGCGCTGTAGCTCAAGTGGTAGAGCGCTCGCCTTGAGCTGAAGAGCTGAGGGACAGCCCCCAGGCCCAGAGTTCAAGCCCCACGACCGAAAAAAAAAAAAAAAAAAAAAAAGATTGGGGTGGGGACAAAACAAAGTGTCAGGAGGAAAGAGAAGCCTGGCGGAGAGGGGACTTGATTGTAAATTACCTCAAATTTGAGTCCTTTTGTGTTGCCATCACAAGGTACTTGAGTCTGAATACTTTGTAGGTGAAAAAAAGAAGTTGATTTAGCTCATGATCCTGATGTCTGGATGACAATGGAATCCTAGCAAGGCCTTCTTGGTTGTACCACATTTTTGTAAAACAGTTGTTTACCAGGGGCTCTTGCTTGTAATCCTAACTGCTCCGGAGGCTGAGACCTGAAGATTGCGGTTCAAAGCCGTCCATGGCTGGAAAGTCCCTCAGACTCTTATTTTCAATAAACTACAAAAAAAAAGAGTGAGTTCAAGCCCCAGGACTGGTTGAAGGAAGGAAGGAAGGGGTGGAAGGGAGAAAACAGTCCCTCCCTGAAGAAAAGCGTCTGTTCAAGATTCCACCATTTCAACATTGCCACACTCAGGTTCACACTTCCAGAACATGAAAGCCACTACTACTTCATAGTTCCGGGCTGAGGGTGGCGCTCCTAGATGACAAATTGTTTCTTAGTCTAGAGGTAGTAGCTCACGCCTTCAATCCAAGGTAGTCAGGAGGCTAAGATCTGAGAATTGCAATTTGAAGCCAGCCTGAGCAGGAAAGTTCATGAGACTTAATCTCTAAACAAAAATCTGGAAGTAGAGGTGCAGCTCAAGTGGTAGAGTGCTAGTCTTGAGCAACAAAAACTAAGGGATGATGTTCCAGCCCTGAGTTCAAGTTCTAGGACCGCCACATAAACAAAAAAATGATTTCTTCTCCTATTTTCTCTTTGTGGGCATGTATTAGGTTGGTTGGCTTATTTGGAGCTCAGGGCCTCATATAATACTAGGCAAGCACTCTACTATGAAGCCTCTCTGTGATACTTTTAAGCAAAGTGGATCATGATGAAACTTTCAGTTGGTGATTCTTTGTATTTTGCTACTATAGTTGCTTTTGGAGGAAGTCATCAGTTCAAACACCCTGAGCCAGGAGGTGAGCGACTTGGTGGAGGTACTTTGGGCAGAAACTCTGGGCCACTTGGAGCACACAATTCTCAGGCCAGTGAACATGATCAGCCTCAATGATGTAAGTTATGTGTTGGTTGAAACCTGATCCTCTGCTGTGTTAAGTACTAACACTCACACTTAGGTGCTGCTTGGACTGTCTGTAGTTCCTGCCGAAGAATATTGAGAGAACCAAAGTTACACAGGCTGACTTGGCTTACAGGTAAACTGATCCATAGAGTGCAAGCTTTCTGTCTAGGGCTGTCATGTGTAAGGTTGAGGTGAGGACTGTGAAACAAGCAGTCTCTGAAGCATAGTGGTCTCATGGTGATATCTCTCATGGCAGCCCCATTTCCCAGAGACTCATGTGGCCCAGGCAGAAACTGCAAGACTTTTATAATCTGCTTCAAAAATAGCTAGGATCCAGTAGCCTGTAATCCTAGGTTACGCAGGAGGCTGAGATATGAGGGTTGTAGTTGTTTTTTGTTTTTGTTTTTTTTAATTGGTTGTGGGGCTTGAACTCTGGGCCTGGGCCCTGTTCCTGTGCTCTTCAGCTCTTCAGCTCAAGGCAAGTGCCCTACCTCTTAAGCCACAGCGCCACTTCCGGTTTTTTAGTGGTTTATTGGAGATCAGAGTCTCATGGACTTTTCTGCCCAGGCTGGCTTTGAACCATGATCCTCAGATCTCAGCCTCCTGAGTAGCTAGGATTATAGGCATGAGCCATCAGCGCCCAGCTGAGGGATGCAGTTTGAAGCACCCCTGGCAGGAAAGACTATGAGACTCTTATCTTCAATTAAGCACCAAGAAACCAGAAGTGGAGCTGTAGCTGAAGTGGTAGAGTGCTAGCTTTGAGCAAAAAAGCTCAGGGACCTGAGTTCAAGCCTCATGACTGGCATCAAAAATATAGAATTATTCATATCACTATCCCAGAAGTCATTTTCCAAAGCAGGACAACAAGATTATAGGGAAGAGAGGTAGACCTCATCCCTTGATGAAAGGATTGTTTTTAAAAAAATAATACAGTCATCTTAATCTACGGTAGTAATCAAGAACATGAGTACAATGTGCTTGTGGGGTTTAGGTGAAAACTGAATGTTACCTGACTTGAGGAATTGTTTAACTGTAGAAACAAAAATTAACAAACTGATCACTGATGGCTCACACCTGTAATCCCAGTTACTCAGGAGACTGAGATATGAGGATCAAGGTTTGAAACCAGCCCAAGTAGAAAAGTCTGTGAGATTCTCATCTCCAATTAACCACCAAAAAGCCAGAAGTAGAGCTGCAGCTCAAGTGGTAGAGCATGAGCTTTGAGCAAAAAGTTAAAGGACAGCAGTGAAGTAATCAGTTCAAGCCCCAATACCAGAAAAAAGAAAGAGGAAGAGTAGGAAGAAATAAAAATATGTTTGTTTAAAAAACATTCATGTTTGCAAGCCCAGAGTTCAAGCCCCACGAACGACCAAAAAAACAAAACAAAACATGCATGTTTGGTGCATGAGGCCCTGGGTTCAATTCCTCAGCACCTCATATGCAGAAAAAGCCAGAAATGGTGGTATGGCTCAAGTGGTAGAGCGCTACCGTGAGCTGAAGCGCTCAGGGACAGCGCCTAGGCTCAGAGTTCAGGCCCCACAACCAACCAAAAAAAAAAATAAATGCCTCTTTGGGAGACTCCAAGATGGTGCTGAAACAATAGGGTATCATCCTAACTCATTCCAACTGGGAAGAAAGGAGAATCCCAACATGCAAAACCCTCAAGAGACCGACAATGAAAAACTGAACAAGAGAGAACCATAGGAACCGAAGGAGAAAAGAAAAAAATGCTCGTAGACTGCACACACAAGAAGGAAAATTGCAAAGACCCCTCCCCCCTCGCCAGAGTGAGGCCCAGCTGAGCCAAGCCACAAAAGTAGCCCTGCAGGGGCCCAGGATCTCAGGACCAGCAGCAGACTGCAGAACCCAGACACAGAAAACTTCCACAGTTCAGAACCTGGACAGCGCAAACAGGCTGAGACCAGAGACACATCACAGCAGTACCCAGATCTGGAGAGCTCCCACAGCACCACTGGACAGCCCACAACCAGTCCCAGAATCAGTGAGTACCCCACCAAGGACCACCCCATGAAAGGCCAACACTGGTGATGACCCACGGGACTTGAACTGGACCCATCACTCCCCTAACCCAAGAAGGAACACTACACTTTAAGGGGGAAAAGAGGACAGAACCATCCCCCACCCCCATCTCCACCTACTAACATACAGTGGGAGGCCACAGGGACCCATTTGACAGCCACTAGGATCCTGTCCTGCCTACAGTTCTGGCTACCGGGACTTTGCATACAGGGCAGCAGTGGGTGTAAGGCTCTCCTGCTGGGAAACCAAAGTGCACAGGTCTAGTGATGGCTAGCATCCGGAGGACAAACCCTTCCCTACAACAGAACTTGCCAAGCTGGAGACAGAGGGGTGTGGGGTCCAGCAGAGGCTAGCAGCTGGAGGACAGCCCCTCCCCCTGACAGAACTTGCCAAGCCAGGGAACCGAGACTGGGCAAAGTTCCTCTCAGCCAGCCTAGGGCTGAGAGCATACATCAATAACTGACCGGGGAACCAACCCAGAACCAAGCAAAGGCTGCCACCTATTAACCAAAAACAGCCAGAGCTCAGGATTCGACTCTGATAATCCCTGAATCCTCATGTGAAAATCACAGTGAAAAATTACAAGATTCATCAACAGACAAGACAGCAAACCTATCCCAAAAGCCAGGGGCAACTCAGGAACAAACTCTAGCATGAGTGAAGAAGAAATGGAGGACAAACAATCCATTAAAGAGGTGATGAAGGAATGGGCCAACAAAATAAGGTGAGAAACAGACCAGCAATTTAAAGAACACAAAGAGGAAATAGCAAAAGAAATTCAAGACCTAAAAAAACAGATGCAGTCAAGAGTAGACATGGTACATAGCTCATTAAAAGATGAAACTAACACTTTGAGAACTGATATAGAAACCATCAATGGTTCAATTTCCACAACACAAACCACAATGGAAGCCATAGTTAACAGAATAAATGAGATGGAAAATAGAATATCAGGAACCAAAGACAAAATGCAGCAGCTGGAGAAAAAAAGTCACAGATTTGGGGAAAAAACACTCAGAATTTACCAAAATCCAAGAACATACAGACAATGCCAAGAAATTTAATCTTCATGTAATTGGGATCGATGAAGGAGAGGAATACCAGAATAGAGGGATGCAACACTTATTCAGTAAGATTATTACAGAAAATTTCCCCAATCTTTTTTTTTTGTCAGTCATGGGGCTTGAACTCGGGGCCTGGGCGCTGTCCCTCAGCTCTTCAGCTCAAAGCAAGCGCTCTACCGCTTGAGCCATAGCACCACTTCCAGTTTTCTAGTGGTTTATTGGAGATAAGAGTCTCACAGACTTTCCTGCCCAGGCTGGCTTTGAACCGCGATCCTCAGATCTCAGCCTCCTGACTAGCTAGGATTACAGGCATGAGCCACCATCACCCGGCATTTTCCCCAATCTTAAAAAGAGAAAATCTTACCTATATCAGAAGCATGCAGAACACCTACCAAACAGGATCCCACTTCTAGGCACATCATAGTAAAAACATTAGACTTAGTAACAAAGAGATGATCTTACATGTGGCAAAATCAAAGAAGGAGCTATACTACAATGGAAAGAAAATCAGAATCACTGCAGATCTCTCCACACAAACTCTCAATGCAAGGAGAGTCTGGAAAAGTACCATCCAAGCCCTGACAACAAAGAACTGCCAACCTAAACTGGTATATCCAGCGACATTCAATGAAGACACTAAACTTTTTAATAGTAAAGAAAAACTAAATGAATTCATAAACAATAAGCTAGCACTACAAAAAATATTAAGAGAAGGAATACAGTCCAAAAAAAAATTGAGATTGGGGAACCATATCAGACAGATATCACTAAGAGATCAATTTAGTAAGCACAGGAGGAAAGAAAAGAAGAAAAACTTTGGAAAGCAATAAAATGGTAGGCAATACAATGCAACAATAAACATTAATGGGCTCAATCCACCAATCAAAGAAAAAGAACAGATTGGATCGGAAAAAAAGATCCATCCATTTATTGTCTCGAAGAGACTCATCTTAAAGCCAAAGATTAAAAACAAACTCTGAGTGAAGGGATGAAGACCTTCCATGTGGATGCACCCAGGAAGAAGGCAGGGGTTGCCATCTTGATATCTGACAAAATAAGCTTCTCATTGCAATCAGTACAAAAAGACAAAGAAGGTTATTACATTTTAATACAGGGAACAATCCAAGAAGAGGATATCACCATCATGAATTTATACTCACCAAACATTGGTGCACCCAAATATGTTAAGTAAATACGCTCAGACTTACAGAAAAAAAAATACACCCAAATACAATAATAATAGGAGACTTTAATTCTCCGCTCTCACCAAAGGATAAGTCTATCAACCTGAAGATTAGCAAAGAAGCCTCTGAACTCAATGATACAATATCCCAAATTGATTTAACAGACACCTACAGAGTTTTCTACTCTACAAAAACTCAATACACATTCTACTCTGAAGCCCATGGAACTTTCTCCAAAATAGTTCTCCATCATAGTTCACATAAAAGAATTTAAGCAAATACGAGGATGAACACAATCCCTTGTATTCTCTCCAACCATAGTTGAATCAAGCTAGTTCTCAAAACAAAGCATACTGTAGAAATTACTCAAATACATGGAAATTGAACAGCACACTTCTGAATAACACCTGGGTTACAGGAAAAAATGAAAGAAAAAATCAAAAAGTTTCAACAATTCAATGAAAACAAATACACATCATAATGAAAACTATGGGACACAGTGATAGGAGTCCTGAGAGCCAGATTTAGTCTCAGTGAACACATCAAGAAAACAGGCAGCTCATGTAAATAATCTCATGATGCAACTAAAACTTAAAAAAGCAAAAGTTGAACCCAAAATTACTAGATGGAGCAAGATAACCAAAATAGCTGAAATTAATGAGATAGAGATTAAGAAAACTATAAGTAAAATTAACAAAAGAAAAAGCTGGGTTTCGGGGCTGGGAAGGTGGCTCAGTGGTAGAGCGCTTGCCTTGCATGCTTGAGGCCCTGGGTTCGATTCCTCAGCACCACATAAGCAAAAAGAAAAAAGCCGGAAGTGGCGCTGTGGCTTGAGCTGAAGAGCTGAGGGACAGCGCCCAGGCCCCACTACCGGACCCAAAAAAAAAAAAGAAAAAGCTGGGTTTTTGAAAAATAAAATTGAAAGGCCTTTTGCAAGATTAAAAAGGAAGAGAGGAGACCCAATGCCACAGGAAAAATTACAACAAGCATCCAACACATCCAAATGATCATAAAGAACTATTTCCAGAATCTATACTCAATGAAGAAGGAAATGGATGCATTGCTAGAGAAATACAAATTGCTCAAACTGAACCAAGAAGATGTAAATCAATTAAATAAGCCAATAACATACATCAAGATAGAGGAAGCAATCAGAAGTCTTCCAATAAAGAAAAGCCCAGGCCCAGACAGATTCACCACAGAATTCTATAAGACTTTTAAAGAAGAATAAATACCCCTACTCCTCAAGCTCTTCCATAAAATAGAAGCAGAGAGAGAGAGATCCCAAACTCACTCTATGAAGCCAATATCACACTCATCCCAAAACCAAGCAAGAATCCAACAAAATAAGAGAACTACAGACCAATCTCTGATGAACACTGACACAATGCTTCTCAATAAAATTTTAGCCAACAAAATCTAGAAACATATTTTTAAAAATCATATATTATGATCAAGTAGGCGTCATGTCAAAGATGCAGGGCTGATTTAACATATATAAATCAATAAATATAATCCATCACATCAACAGAGCCAAGGTCAAGAACCACATGGTTATCTCTATTGATGCAGAATAGGCTTTTGACAAAATACTACACCCATTCATGTTAAAAGTTCTGGAAAAAAATTGGAATAGAAGGAACATTCTTTAAAACAATAAAAGCTATACACAACAGACCAACAGCCAATATCACTGTGATGGGGAAAAACTAAAACCAATTCCCCTAAAATCAGGAACCCTGCAAGAATGCCCACTCTCTCCACTCCTCTTCAATATAGTTCTGGAATCCTTAGCCAGAGCAATAAGGCAAGAAAAGGACAGGCAAGGAAGCAATTAAACTATCCCTATTTGCAGATGACATGATCTCATACCCAAATGACCCCAAAAACTCCACTCCCAAACTCCTAGAACTTATTAATCACTTTGCCAATGTAGTAGGATATAAAATTAACCCACAAAATCAGTTAATTGCCTTTCTATAGACCAAGATTGTACAAGCAGAAAGGGAAATTAGGGAAACAATCCCATTTGCAATAATCTCAGAAAGAATAAAACATCTAGGGATTAACCTAACCAAAGATGTAAAGGACCTAGTTAGTGAAAACTATAAAAGCCTAAAGAAAGAAACCAAAGAGGACACCAGGAAATGGAAAGACCTTCCATGTTCATGGAAAGGTGGAATCAATATTGTGAAAATGGCCATATTGCCAAAAATGATATACAAATTCAACACAATTACCATCAAAACCCCAATGATGTTCCTTACTGAAATAGAGCAAACAAATCCAAAAATTCATATGGAGCAATAAAAGACCTAGAGTAGTCAAAGCAATTCTAGGCAAAAGAAACAATGCAGGCGGTATCACAATACCAGATTTCAAGCTCTACTATAGAACTATAATAACAAAACAGCTTGGTATTGGCATAAAAATAGACCCAAAGACCAATGGAATAGAAGATCCAGAAATAAAATCACATAGTCAGCTGATATTTGACAAAGGAGCCAAAGACATACAGTGGAAAAAACATAGCCTCTTCAACTGTTGGTGCTCAAAAAACTGGGAATGCCCATGCAGAGAACTAAAAGCAGACCTCAGCTTGTCACCATGCACTAACATCAACTCAAAATAGATTAAAGACCTCAACATTAAACCTGAAACTCTGAAACTACTGTAGGACAGAGTAGGAGAGACACTAGAACTTACAGGCATAGGCAGGAACTTCCTGACCAGAGTCCCAGGGTCATAACAGAGTAGAGAGACTCAACAAATGGGATTACCTTAAGATAAAAAGTTTCTGCACCACTAAGGACATAGCTACCAAGCTAGAAAGTGAAGATATTTACCAGCAATATCCAAAGGCCTACTATCCATTATATACAGGGAGCTTAAAAACTAATCACTCCCCAAATCTAACAAACCAATTACTAAATGGGCAAGGGAGCTAAAGAGAGACTTCTCAGAAAAAGATAAAAATGGCAAAGAAGCAAATGAGGAAATGTCCATCATCCTTAGCCATAAAGGAAAAGCAAATAAAAACAACCCTGAGATACCCTACCCCTGTCAGAGTAGCCTATATTCTGAATTCAGATGACAAATGCTGGTGGAGATGTGGAGAAAGAGGAACTCCACTGCACTGCTGGTGGGAATTTACACTAAAACAACCACTCTGGACAGCAGTCTGGAGGTTCCTCAGAAAACTAAGTATAGACATTCCCTACAACTCAGCCATACCACTCCTATGCATCTACCCTGAGCAACAGGAACCAGGATACAAGGACACATGTGCCTTCATGTTCATTGCTATACTGTTCACAATAGCCAAGATATGGAAACAACCCAGATTCCCCACTACAAATGAATGGATCCATAAATCATGGTACCTGTGTACAATGGAATATTATGCACTTATTAGAAAGGTCAAAATAAAGGCATTTGCAGGGAAATGGATGGAAGTATATCAAATCTGTTGAGCAAGGTAAGTAAGATCAGAGAGACAAATGGCACATGGCAGATGTTAAATTCAAAATGCAAGGAGATTGGACAATCAAGACTCAAGAAACAAAGGACCTCTTAATTTGTCACATCATTTTTAGATGACTCCATGTTCTTGACCTCACATATGGTATATACATGTGCACATCTGAGGGAAGCTAGAGGAGGGTACAGAATCGGAGGAAAACAGGTAAAAAAAATGCAACAGAGGGGCCCATCAGCTGCACTGGACATTGGTGAAAGTAAACTAAGCAACTCTAGGGCAGCAATGGGAGGGAGGGAATGAGAGCAAAAGGAAAAAATGTACATATCACCCAATTTGGAAAAAATAGCTATAGTGTAACATAAGGTTTATATACCATGACAATGACAATATGGCTCGTGAAAGTTAAAATGTGTTTGTTACTTTAAGTATCACTATCTACGTTATCACTTAATCTCAATAAAGAGGAAAAAAATGCATGTTTAACTTAATCAAAAGCAAGTGAAGATAATCACTAGATTTTCTACAAAATAAAGTTGACTTACTGTCATTCTCCAATCCAAGTATCACTACATTTTTGTTCATTTTATTTTAAAAGATTGTGTGGGTGTCCCAGGAAACTAGATGTTTCTGTCTGAATAGCCTTAGGGCTAGTTCGCAGGCCTGAGGGACAATCTTGGTCCCCACTTACTTGCCCAGACCCTGATCTACTTTCTAATAGCCTTTCACTTCTCTTACAAAAGGAAGACATGCTCCCAGCTTACCAGAAAAATGTTCTTCTGGACTATATATCTAATTGTAAACTAAGCCAGGCACTGGTGGGTCACTCCTGTAGTCCTAGCTACTCAGAAGGCTGAGATCTGAGGATCGATGTTCACAGCCAGCCCAGACAGAAAAGTCCATGCGATTCTTATGTTCAGTTAATTAGCAAAAAGCCAGAAGTGGAACTGTGGTTCATTGGTGGAATGCCAACCTTGAGTGAAAAGGCTAACTAAGATTAAGAGGCCCTGAGTACATTTTTTTGTGCCAGTCTTTGGACTTGAACTCAGGGGTTGGGCTCTATCCCTGAGCTTTTTTGCTCAAAATTAGTTGCTCTGTCATTTGAGTCACACACACACAGTTCTTCTAGCGTTTTGCTAGTTAATTGGATATGAGTCTCTTGTACTTTCTGCCCAGGCTGGCTTTGAAACATGATCCTCAGATCCTGGCCTCCAGAATAGCTAGGATTACAATCATGAGCCACAGTGCCTGGCTTCTTTGATACTTTTTGGTAATTATCAAGAGTTGATATTAATAAGCATATTGACTTTCTGTTTGAAGGTAAGCAAAGCAGAGGGGATACTCCTTCTCATAAGAACAGCCCTGAAGAAAGGCGAAACAGCCGAAGAGCTACAAAAGATGATGGCTGAGTTCTACAGATTGATCCCACACAGACAGCCAGAAACTGAAGTGAACCTAAGACTGTTAGCTAAGAAAGAAGATCTCTGCCAGGTAAACCTGTCAGATAAAAACAGCTTAAAATACATTGGGAGGGTTTGTCTTTAAAAATATGGTGATGACAGTTGTTTAAGGATACAGGTGGACCTGTTGCAACAATGAGAAGTACAAGTTGTCATGTCCAAAACGAGCCTTACAACGTTGGTGCGGGGGGGGGGGGGGGGGGGAGGGGGGGGGGAGGAGAAGGATTGGGATTAGGATTAGGGGGGGAGGGGGGAGGCTGGGAAGGGATGTGAAGGGTAAACAAAGGAGGAGGCTGCAATGCTTGGTAAGAAATGTACGCATTATCCTGCCCATGTAACTGTAACCCCTCTGTACAGTATGTTCACAAATAAAATTAAATTTAAAAAAAAAAAATATGGTGATGAGCCAAGCGCCATTGGCTCACACCTGTAATCTCAGCTACTCAGGAGGATGAGATCTAAGGATCATGGTTCAAAGCCGTCCCAGGTAGGAAAGTCCATGAGACTCATTTCCAATAAACCTCCGGAAAACTGGAAGCGGTGTTGTGGCTCAAGTGGCAGAGTACTCACCTTTAGCTGAAGAGCTGAGGGACAGTGCCCAAGCCAAGAGTTCAAGCTCCATGACCAACAAAAAATAATAATAAATAATAATAATAAATAATAATATGATTAATTAAACTGAAAATAAATTGTTGAGTTATCGGTTTATGCCTATAATCTCCACCTACTCAGGAGACAGAAATTAGGAGGATAACAGTTGAAGCCCAGCTAGGCAAAAAGTAGGTGGGACAACCATTTAATGAACAAATCAAGTGTGGTGGTTCATGCTTGTGATCCCAGGTATATTGGAGGCCATAAATAGGAGGATTATGATCCAGGCTGGTACTGAACAGAAAAAAAAAAATGAGATCCTAAAAAAATGACCTAAACAAAAATAGTCTGGAAGAATGACTCCATCACTAAAGCACCTAGCAAGCGCAAGGCAAAAAAGAAAAAAAGACAGGAAGGAAAGAAGGAAGGAAGGAAGGAAGGAAGGAAGGAAGGAAGGAGGTAGGGAGGGAGGGAGGAAGGGAGGGAGGGAGGGAGGGAAGGAAGAAGGGAAGAAAGAAGGGAGAGAAGGAAAGAAGTTGGTTGAATGTTCTGGAATGCTCTGGACCTTTTCACAAGTTGTGAATATATTGCATAGTGATACAAATACAGAAATGTTTCAGAATTTCTGCACTATGAAAATTATTTCCCCAATTCTGAATTAGGATTCTTAGTTCAGCAGAAATAAGAAACTGCAATTGACTCCAAAAGTAACATTTCACACTTTACAAGATTATTTGAATATGCTTTGTAACTTAGGGGTGCAAGACAAGTAGAAGTCAGTATAGAATATAAATTTTACTTATTAAATGACGTTTATGAAATCTAGATGTGCGGTAGCTGTTGGCCTAGTCTATTCTATGACACAGTTTGTTAATATTATCATCAAAGGCCAGCATCTATCCATCTATCTATCTATCTATCTATCTATCTATCTATCTATCTATCTATCTATCTATCTATCTACCTGTCTGTCTGTCTGTCTGTCTATCTGTCTATCTGTCTATCTATCTTTAATACAGGCCTGAACTCAAAGCTTCACACTGTTGCTTAGTTTTTCTTGGTAATGGCTGATATTCTACCACTTCAGATATACCTCCAGAAAAAAATTCTGATTTTGTTTTGTTTTGTTTTATTTTTTTCTTCTTTAGCTGGCTAATTGGAGAAAAGGGTCACTCAGATTGTCTGCCTGGGCTGGCTTCAAGCCATGATTCTCAGATCCCAGCTTTCTGATTATTTAAGGTTATAAGCATGAGCATCTAGTGCTGGCCTGGGGTCCATCTTCTTTACGTGTCTGTATATTCATTGTAAATTGACAATGCCAAGATAAGCACCAGTGTTTCATGCCTAGCTACTGAGGAGGCTTAGATCTGAGTATTATGGACAGGCAAATCCCAGCAACTTTTATCTCCAATTAACTGCCAAAAAGCCAGAAATGGAGTTGTGGCTCAAGTGGTAGAGCACCAGCTCTATATGCAGAAAAATAAAAGTGGATCCCTGTTTGTCACCATGCACAAATATCAACTCAAAGTGGATGAAAGACCCCAATGTCAGACCTGAAACTGAAATTACTGCAAGAGGGAATAGGAGAAGCACTAGAACACATGGACATAGGCAGAAACTTTTTGAAAAGAGTCCTTGGGGCACAGTAGATGGAGAGACACTTGACAAATGGTACTATGTCAAACTAAAAAGTTTCTGTACAACAAAAGACAGTTACTAAACTAGAAAGACAGCCAACCAACTGGGAGAAGATCCAGAAAGACAAACGATGCATGTTTTCTTTCATATGCAGAAGCTAGATCTGAAATATGTAAGGACACGATGCAGTATTCTAGACACTGATACACAGTGAGACCAAAGGAGGATATTCTTTTTTTTTTTTTTTTTGGGTCCGGTCGTGGGGCTTGAACTCTGGGCCTGGGCACTGTCCCTCAGCTCTTCAGCTCAAGGCTAGCACTCTACCACTCAAGACACAGCGCCACTTCCGGCTTTTTTTTTCTTTTTGCTTATGTGGTGCTGAGGAATCGAACCCAGGGCCTCCGGCTTGCAAGGCAAGCGCTCTCCCACTGAGCCACCTTCCCAGCCCAAGGAGGATATTCTTGAAGGGGGGAGCACAAAGGTGCAATGCCTATGTGCACTGATCATTTAAAATAAGATTTATCGAAATGAACTCCAGGAAATGGAAACATGAGATTTTTTTCTTTGTTGTTGTTGTTTTCTTTTTGTGTTGTTTGTTCATTTATCTGTCTTTGGGAGGGTAAATGAGGCACAGAAATGGAGGGACAAAGGGTGAACAAATCCAACAGTGGTGCTCATTGTTGAAAATGAACTATACAACTTGCGGGTGAGATTGGAAGAAAAACTGGGAGAGTGCAAGGAAAGAGGTAATATTGAAGGAAAGGGGTAATATTGTCCAAAAAGAAATGTAACATCCAGACTCACTGTAAACCTCATGTTTAGCTCCTAAAGAAAGGAAGGAAGGAAGGAAGGAAGGAAGGAAGGAAGGAAGGAAGGAAGGAAATGTACTTTTTACCTGACTTATGTAGTTGTAACCCCTGTACCTTTATTATAACAATTTAAAATTTTAAAATTAAAAACTGCTAAAGGACAGTGCTTAGGCCCTGGGTTTAAGCCCTAGTACCAGCACACACACACACACACACACACACACACACACACACACACACAAGCATGCACACACGCGCACGTGCACACGCACAAATGGATAGTACCTTGCACTTTCAACTACAGTTCACATCGTCCTATCTGAAGTATTTCCTTTGGGATTTATGTAGAAGTATCCCCAAACAGAATTTTCTTTATTTTATTAGTTTTTTTGAGACAAGATTTCACTAATGCTGGCCTTGAACTCATAGACTGAAATGTGATCCACCTGCCTCAGCTTCCCAAGTAGCTGGAACTCCCAACCAGCTTTCATTAACTTTAATATACTACTAGCAGAAATACTGGGAGCTTTGGGGGGAAACTGACTTTTTCCAAACTCTTTAAGAAACTTCTAATATAATAGAAATATTAATTCTGATATGTAACATTTGTGTATTATTTCTACCCACAGCTAATAAGAGACATGGTTAATGTCTGTGAAACTCATCTGTCCAAACCCAACCTGCCATCTCTCGCCAAATACCAAGCTTTGAGATGTAAAATTGAGCATGTTGAATGTAACACAGAAGAGTTTTCCAGAGTTGAAAAAGAGGTATTACAGAATCATTGCAGGTAAGCATAAAAACAATACCTTGGGAGCTATTCTGATGTAATAATACTCTTTGAGATTTTGCTCTGGTAATGAGGCTGGGGAGTTAGCTCAGTGGAAGAGTGCTTGCCTAGCAAGTACAAGCTCTTGAGCTGTGTCCTCAGCACTGGATAATGAAACAAAACAGAACACTCTTGAGCTGACCTGAATATCATTATCTGAAAAATTAAATGAATGGAGCTGGAGCCATACTCAAATGGTAGTGCACCTTCCTAGCAAGTGCAATGCCCTGAGCTCAAACCTCAAAACCAATAAGTAAATAAAGCTGGGTACTGGTGACTCATGCCTCTAATCCTAGCTACTCAGAAAGCTGAGGATCAGAGTTCAAAGCCAGCCTGGCAGGAAAGTTCGTGAGAGTCATCTCCAATTAACCACCAGAAAACCAGAAGTAGCATTGTGGCTCAAAGTGGTGGAGCACTAAACCTTGAATGGAAAAGCTCAGGGACAACACCTAGGCCCTAAGTTCAAGCTCCACTACCAGCAAAAAATTAAAAATAAATAAATACATTTACATATGTAAAATAATAAATCTATTCTCAATTCCACTTTGTATAAACTAAGATGGTTCTAATTTTTTACTGGAAAATTGTTAAGTGTTGGTAAAGATGTGGGGATATTGAAGCCCTCACCCAGTTGGCTATGAAAATGGAGCAGCCATGTTTGGTGAGTGTTGTAAATTAAACAGAATTACTGTGTAACCAGCAATTCCATTCCTAGTTGTTTTTGCTGTTGTTTGTTTGTTGTGACACTACTGGGGTTTGTACTAGAGCTTGCAGCTAGGATTAGAGGCATGAGCCATTGGCGCCCAGCTGTATGTTCCCATTTTTATGAAATATCAGGAATAAATTAATCTGTGGAAACAGAAGCAAATTTTCTGGTGCTCTGGGGAATGGAGATAACCACTAGGTGGGTATGGAGCTTCTTTTGGAGTAATGAAATGGTTTGGGACTACACAGAGGTGGTGGTTGTGGAACATTTTGGATGTATTGAACACTACTAAGTTGTACACTGAGAGTGGTTAATTTTATGTTATGTGATTGTGTGTGTGTTTGTGTGTGTGTGTGTGTGTGTGTGCACAGGGATTTAACACTGGGCCTTGAACTCTTGCTGGTTGGCTTATTCGTTTGAGGCTCCTCTCTACCACTTGACCACAGCTCCACCTCTAGCTTTTTGCTGGTTAATTGAAGATAACCAGTCTCATAGGTTTTCCTGCCCCGGCTGGCTTTGAATTGTGATATTCATATCTCAGCCTCATGAATAGGTATGATTATAGACATGCTGATAGCATCCAACGTCAAAGAATTTTCTTTCGGGCTGGGAAGGTGGCTCAGTGGTAGAGCGCTTGCCTTGCATGCATGAGGCCCTGGGTTCGATTCCTTAGCACCACATAAGAAAAAAGAAAAAAGTCAGAAGTGGCGCTGTGGCTCAAGTAGTAGAGCGCTAGCCTTGAGCTGAAGAGCTGAGGGACAGCGCCCAGGCCCAGAGTTCAGGCCCCACGACTGGACCCAAAAAAACAAAACAAAACAAAAAAAAAACCAACAACAACAACAAAAAAGAATTTTCTTTCATGCCTACCTTTCTTTCTTCTTTTCTTCCTTTCTCCTTTTTTTTCTTCCTTCTTTTTTCTTTCTTTCTTCCTCTCTTCCTTCCTCCTTCCCTCCCTTCCTTCCCTTTTCTTTCATGCGTGCCAATAATGAGGCTTAAACTCAGGGCCTGGGCCCTGTCTCTTAGCATTTTCTCTTGAGGCTGGTGTTTTACCATTTGAACCACAGCTCTACTTCCAGCTTTTTTTGCTAGTTAATTGGAGATAAGAATCTCTCAGAGGGCTGGGAATATGACTTAGTGGTAGAGTGCTTGCCTAGCATGTATGAAGCCCTGGGTTCAATTCCTCAGTACCACATAAACAGAAAAAGCTAGAAGTGGCACTGTGGCTCAAGTGGTAGAGTGCTAGCCTTGAGCAAAAGAATCTTAGGGACAGTGGCCAGCTCTTGAGATCAAGTCTCAGGTCTGGCAAAAAAAAATAAAAATAAAACTCTCATATTTATCTGGCCAGACTGACTTTAAACTGTAATCCTCAGATCTCAGCCTCCTGAACAGCTAGGATTACAGGTGTGAGCCACCAGCCCTCGCTGTCAAAGAATGTATGTCCTAACCGCCATTACTCTGAACCTCATTAGGTTTCTTAGTACAGAAAATAATGTATTTGGTGACTTACTTATTGATGATGGTACTGGGGGTTGAGTTCAAAGTTTTGTATTTTCTGGAATCTGCCTAGAAAATGCTTGAGTCATGCCACCTGATTTTTTTTTTTTTTTGAGATAGTACCTAGAATTTTTGTCCAGGCTTACCTGGACCATGATCCTCCCATTAACAATGCCTGATATAGCTGGGATGACAGTTAACTATCATGCCCCCTTTTTTATTAATTTACTTTATTATTATAGAAGTGATATACAGAAGGATTACAATTATGATTTCAAAAAATGAGTACATTTTCTTTCACCTGGTGTCTTCTGGCCCTCATTCTCTCCCAGTCCCTCCCTCCTGTCTGCACCCATGAGTTGTATAGTTCACTTTCACTAGTGTCACATGAGTTTTACTGCTGCACTTTTTCACCCTTTTTTCCTCAAGTTCTATACCTTCCTCCCAACTCTTCCAAAGATATACACTTGAATATACCATACATAAGGAAAAGAAAAACTAAAACTATTAAAAAGAGAGGTCTCCTGTTTCCATATCTTGGAGTTCATTTCAGTATGTGTATTATTTTATATAAGTATGATGAGGTGCTTAGGCATTGTGCCTTTATGTTTCTCTCCTAAGAATATCCTCTTGTGACCTCATGGTGTATGCATATCTAGAATCCTGTATAATTGATCATATCCCAGTGTCTTTTAAATCCAGTTTCTGCATATCAGAGAGAACATGCGCTTTTGTCTCTCTGAACTTGGCTTACCTCACAGCATGATTTGTTCCAGTTCCATCCATTTCCCTGCAAATTATATTATTTTACTCTTTCTAATGGCTGTGTAAAATTCCACTGTGTATAGGTACCATATTTTTTGGATCCACTCATCTATTGTGGGGCATCTGGGTTGTTTCCATATTTTGTCTATTGTGAATAGTGTAGCAGTGAACAAGCATGTGTAGGTGTCTTTATCATATCCTGGCTCATGATGTTCAGTGTAGATGTCCAGGAGTGGTATGGCTGGGTTGTAGGGAAGGTCTATGTGTAGTTTGTTTTTTGAAGAACCTCTAGACTGCTGTTCAGAGTGGTTGCACTAGTTTGCATTCCCACCAGCAGTGCAGTAGGGTACTGTGAAGACTCAGGGTCTATGTTGAGGGGGCAGAATGATGCAGGCTCCAGCCTCAGGATTATCTGAGGGCTGTGTTTGGGATTAGGAAAGCTCTTGGAACGCCGGGCTAGAGAGGGAAAATGTTCTCTCTCCCTATCTCAAAACACATGTCACAGACTCCTGGGAGCTGAGGAAGTAGCTCTTCTGCTTGCTTAAACATAGATGAACAACTGGTCAAGCATTTTCCTGAGATTGGAGAAGTGGTTTGAGCTTGCTCTAAAATAGTTTAGATAATAATATACCTAGACATTGTCTCATAGGTCAAGTAAAAATGTATTTGTTGAAATTTTTGTGTGAATGTCTTCTGACCAAATCTTGGCAAAGATTATGCTTGCTTGTCTTTAAATACCCACTAACAATAAAGCACAGCATGCAGTGGCAATTGCTGTTTGCATGCTGCATCCCCTGTGTCCTGGTGATTTCGTGACCCTTACCCAGGGACCCCAATGCACTAGACGTTCACAGTGTACCTTTTTCCCCACATTCCCACCAACATTTGTTCAAATTCAAAATGTTGGCCAATCTAACTGAGATGAGATATATTCTCAGAGTTGTTTTGATTTTCATTTCCTTTGTACATGTCCAGCTTTTTAAATCAAGATGAGGATGTGTTGAGAATTCTGGCTATGCTGACCTCAAACCAAAATTTCCCTGTTTCATCTCCTGAGATGCTAGAATTACAGCAAGAGCCATGGCTTACTAATTTATGTCTCTCTTTTTTTAATGTAAGGTCCATGAAGCCATAATCTGTTTCCAATGCCTAGAAGAATATTCCCCACAAATTACGTTTATTGAAAGAATGCATGAATAAATGGACTCATTTAGTTTGTTTTCATATATATGCAGTTTCATTATATATATTTTATGAATGCATACATATTAAGTGATATATTATATAAAAAAGACAGTTTATTCATATATGAATGAATGGAACTTTTTTCTTATATTTTCATGTATTGTGTCATTGACAAGATTGGGGGTATTCCATGCATAAAGCTTTGTGATAATATATATATATATATATATATATATATATATATATATATATATATATATATATATATATATATATATAGCCAGGCACTGGTGGTTCATGCCTATAATCCTAGCTACTGAGGATACTGAGATCTGAGGATCACAGTTCAAAGCCAGCCCAGGCAGGAACATTTATGAGACTCTTATCTCCCATTAACCACCAGAAAACTGGACGTGGTACTGTGGCTCAAGTGGTAGAGTGCTAGCCTTGAGCTGAAGAGCTGAGGGACAGCACCCAGGCCCAGAGTTCAAGACCCATGACCAAGAAAAAAAATTACATTTTCCAGCTACTACCTAGCCTTGGTGGTAATTATGGGAATTTGATCCTAAAACCAGCCCATTCTTTTTTTTTTCTGGCTAGCATTACAATGAATCCTTACAATAATTCTTGTTTTTCAGCAAAAATACGTTACTTCACATTATGTCTTTATTATCGAAGAATGGGATTGTTTTCATTCTCGTATTTTTTGTAGTACTGGGTTGGAACTAAGGGGTTTGTGTGCTTACTAGACACTCCACCACTTGACACATACCCCCAGCACTGTTTTTAAAAAATTTACTTTATTGTTAGTATAGAGGTGATATAGAAAAGGGTTATATTTACATGTGTCAGGTACTGAGTACATTCCTTTCATACAGTGTCATCTGCTCCCTTTTTCCCTCCCATCTCCACCTACCAGTTGTATACTTCACTTTCATTAATGTGCAGTGAGCTCCACTGCTGTACTTTTCACCTTTTTCCTCAGATTCTGTGCCCTCCCCGCCACCCTTCAGCAGATATACACATGAAAACACCATCTATGACTAAAGAATACAGAATCATCAGAAAAAGAAAAAACAAATTTTAAAAAATCTTTTGTTTACATATCTTTGGAGCTCATTTCAGTATGTATATTATTTTATATAAATATGGAGAGCTGCTTAGGAATTGTACCTTTGTGATTCTCTCCTAAGACTATCCTGTTTTGGTCTCCCTATATATGAGAATATAGACTCCTGTGTAATTTGTCATATTCCAATGCATTTTAGAACTAAGTTCTAAGTATCAGAGAGAATATATGCCATTTATTTCTCTGATCTTGGCTTACCTCACTTAACATCATTTGTTTTAGGTCCATCCATTTCCCTGCAAATGACATTATTTTATTCTTGCTAATGGCTATGTAAAATTCCATTGCATAAAGTACCACATTTTTTGATCCACTCATCTATTGTGGGCCTGATAAAGATCTATTGCTGACAAAGATCTTGTCTATTTTTCTAGTTTAGTAACTATGTCCTTTGCCATGTAGAAATATTTTAGTTTGATATAATACCAGTTGTCAAGTCTCTCTCCATCTGCAGTGCCCCTGGGACTCTTTTCAAAAAGTTTCTGCCTATGCCTATGTGCAAGGTATGTTATAATTCATGAAATCAGTTCCCTAACAATGGACATTTGAGTTGTTTTGGGAATTCTTCTATGAATAATTATATTTTCTTTTGCTTCCAATTATGTAATCTTAGATTTATCTTTTTCATTCTTACAGTGAAAGCCTTGGAGAAATCTTGCAGATATTCAGAGTTGGCAGGGTGAATGAAGCCACAGAGTTTTTGAGCAAACTTGGCAACGTGAAACCCCTGTTGCATGGATCTCCTGTACAAAACTTCGTTGGAATTTTGTCTCGGTAAGGCTATGCCATCTATTTTCCAAAATTTTCCAACTTAAAAAATGTAAAAATTTTTACTTTCTTTTCCACTCTTTTTTTTGAACTACAGAAAACTCTAATCCCTGCAACATCAAAGTAAACAACAAACATTGGTGTTTTCCATACAAGTCACTAGCTTGTATCATCCTAAAGAAAAGTGCACAGTTCATGATTAAATTCAGTTCATAATTTAAATTATATATTTTAAAGTGTGTTTCCTAGGTATGAATTGTTCTTTGAAGAATGGCCTTGTCATATGAAGAAAGTGATTCCATATTTCATGACCCTTCCATGTAGATCTGGTCTTGGATAGAACAAAACTTGAGAAGAATGGTCTAGAGCTAAGTGCTTGGTAGTTCACACCTATAATCCTAGCTACTCAGGAGTTTAAGATCTGAGGATCGTGGTTTCAAGCCATCAAGACCAGGAAAGTCTGTGAGACTTTTTATCTCTGATTAATGATCAAAAAGATAGAAGTGGAACTGTGGCTCAAGTTGTAGAGCAACAGCCTTAAGTGAAAAATCCAAGTGAGAGTGCAAGGACCTGAGTTCAAGCCTCAATGCCACTGAAAACTTAGAAGCTGAAGAATGTGATTTAAAAAAAAAAAAATAGCTTTTATGTCTGTGGTACAAAGTGCTTTAGTATCACCTATAGGGATAAATAGGAAACCAGTTGGAAAAATATGAATGCCTAGAGACATGTAGAGTTTACCTGTCCTGGAGTATTGTGTGTGTGTGTGTGTGTGTGTGTGTGTGTGTGTGTGTCTTTAACCATCCAGCGTATCCATTTGTAGACTTATAGGCACATTCTAGTTACCACAGATGAGGAAAACCATGCAATCTATGCTTCTCTGGGTCTGGCTTAATTCACTTAATGTAGTTTTTTTACAACTCTTTCCATTTCCTTATGAATGGTACACTATCATTCTTTCTGATGGAAACATAGAGTTTCATTTTCTTGACCCATTCATCCACCGAGGGGCATCTGGGTTGATTCCACATCTTGGCTATGGTAAACAATGCTGCAATAAACATGATTGTGCTGGTATCCTTAGTGTGGCATTGCTTATGTTCTATTGTGTAAATGCACAGGAATGGAATTGCTGGGTCCTAAAGAAGCTCTATGTTTAATCTTTTGAAGAAACTATACTGCTTTCCAGTATGATTGAACAAGTTTACCTTTCACCAACAGTGTAGTAGAGTTCCCTTTTGGCCACATCTCTGCCAGTATTTGTGATTGTTAGTTTTCTTGATAATGACCATTTAATTGGGGTGACGTGGAATTTCAGTGTTATTTTGATTTGCATTTCTTTCCTGGCCAGTGATATTGAACATTTCTTCATGTGTCTATTGGTCATTCTTCTGAGAAGTCTATATGTCTTTAGTAGATAACTTGCTTTTGTTTGTTTTGTGCCTATACTGGCACTTGAACTCATGGCCTGGAAGTCTTGCCTGGCTCTTACTCAAGGCTGGTGTTCTACAACTTGAGCCATACCTCCACTTCTGGCTTTCTTCTGGTTAATTTGGCACCAGTGGCTCATGCTTGTAATCCTAGCTACTCAGGAGGCTGAGATCTGAGGATCTCAGTTCAAAGCCAGCCAGGGCAGGAAAGTCCATAAGACCTTTTTTTTTTTTTGTCGGTCATGGGTCTTGAAATCTGGGCCTGGACACTATCCCTCAGCTCTTCAGCTCAAGGCAAGCATTCTACCACTTGAGCCACAGCACTATTTGCAGTTTTCTTTTTTATTGGGGGTGGGGTAAGGGTCCAGTCGTGGGGCCTGAACTCTGGGCCTGGGTGCTGTCCCTCAGCTCTTCAGCTCAAGGCTAGCTCTACCACTTGAGCCACAGCGCCACTTCTGGATTTTTTTCTTTTTGCTTATGTGGTGCTGAGGAATCGAACCCAGGGCCTCATGCATGCAAGGCAAGCGCTCTACCATTGAGCCACCTTCCCAGCCCCTACTTCCAGTTTTCTGATGGTTAATTGGAGATGATTCTCACAGACTTTCCTGCCCAGTCTCCTTAGATCTCAGTCTCCTGAGTAGCTAGGATTACAGGCATGAGCCACTGACTCCCGGTCTCATCTCTAATAAACCACCAGAAAACTGGAAGTGGCTTTGTGGAGCTGTGGCTCAAGTGGTAGAGCACTCACCTTGAGTTGAAGAGCTGAGGGATAGTGCCCAAGCCCAGAGTTCAAGCCCCATGACCAAAAAAAAAAAAAAAAAAGAATCTCACAGATTTGTCTGCCCCACAATGGCTTTGAACCTCCATTCACAAATCTCAACCTCCTAAATAGCTAGCGTTACAGGTATGAGCCACTGATGCCTGCCTTCTAGATAACTTTGTAATATCTCACACAATGGGAACTAATTGCTGTGCTGGGTTGTTTAGAGAAAATGATAACAAAAAATAATCTGGCCATGTTCAGTACAGACAGAATTTTTTTGCCAAATATATTCAATCTGTGGTTGGTTGAATATGAGAATGTGTAACCCATAAATAGAGGCCAACTACACTTTGCTTATTAGTACCCATTTCTGCTAGGATTTCAAGGCTCTAATAAATACTTTATCTAGTACATCATTGTAATGCTCTTTTCTTTTCAGCGGGTTGCTTTTACCCAAAGTAGTTGAAGATCATGGCGTGCAAAGAACAGACATTGGAAATCTCGGGAGTGGAATTTATTTCAGTAATTCACTCAGGTCAGTGCACTCCATCCTAAGTCACCAGCACTCACTACTGAGCACTTTCTGGGGTTTCCCCCCTCATGATCCTTGCTGAAGGAGTCTTTCACCCACAGAAGCAGAGTACTGTAGAAGCTTGTCTTTTATAGTAAATGTTTGGAGAAACTGTTTGAAATCATCTCCATGATTTTATTCACTTGAGTCTGTGTGTGTTTCTCTTACTGAAGCTCCAGAACACTCAAAGGTAAATCATTATTAGTCATATACCACAGACAGGGGCACTAAGGAAAGCCAGGAACTTTGCCTGAGTATATGCAGCTAAAACTCAGTACCAGGGGGCCTAGGCCTTTCTAGTCAGCCTTCTCTAGGCCTCTGCCGTCACATCTGCAGCCCAGACCTCCTCTTGTTCTTGAGCTAGACAGAACTTTGTTGGCTTGTTTTTATTTAAATATATACAGCACAAAAGAATAACATTGTGTTAGTACTCACACCTGTAATCCTAGCTACTCAGAAGGCTGAGATCTGAGGATTGTGGTTCAAAGCCAGACTTGTTAGGAATGTCCATGAGACTCTGATCTCCAGTTAATTGCTAGAAAGCTGGAAATGGAGGTGTGACTCAAGTTGCAGAGCAAAAGCTCTGAGTGAAAAAATCTAAAGGATAGGCCCCAGGCCCTGAGTTCAAGCCCTAGCATCATGTACACACACACACACACACACACACACACACACACACACACACACACACACACACACACACACACACACACACACACACACTGTGGTTTTGTTAAACCTGGGTCATTGTGACAAAGATAAATGGGGGGGCTTTTTGTCTTTTGTTTTTTATTGTAAACATTTCTGTGATCAAAATTTTACCAAATGATTTTTTTTTTTTGTCGGTCATGGGGCCTGAACTCGGCCTGGGCACTGTCCCTCAGCTCTTCAGCTCAAGGCTAGCGCTCTACCACTTGAGCCACAGCACCACTTCCAGCTTTTTGCTTATGTGGTGCTGAGGAATCAAACCCAGGGCCTCAAGCATGCAAGGCAAGCATTCTACCACTGAGCCACCTTCCTAGCCCCTACCAAATGATTTTTGCCAAAAAAATATATATTATTTTTAACTACTACCAGGGCTTGAATTCAAGACTTTGTGCTCACCTTTGGCTTTCTTGCTCAAGGCTGACACTCTACCACTTGAGCCACCTCTACTTCTGGCACTTGCTTGTTAATTAGAAATAAGAGTCTCATGGACTTTCCTGCCCAGGTTATTGTTGAATCTGGATCATCAGATCTCAGCCTCCAGAGTAACTAGCAGTACAGATGTGAGTCATCAGCACCTGCCAGTTGACATTTGTTTTTGGGTTTTTTTTGTGTGTTTTTTTAGGGCAAGTCTCAGAGCTAGGGATGCAGCTTAGTAGTCCAGCACTTGTCTACCATTTGCAATACCCTAGATTACATCCCCAGCACCACAAGTAAAAAGTCCTCAGCTTCTTTAAAAACAAAAAGTTCATCTCCTACAGAGTGAAATGAATCTGGGCTCCTTCAGCAACACTGCTGTTTTGGGCTTGATTGTTTTTGTTTGTTTGTATGTTTGTTTTTAATACAGAAGTGTGTCTCAAAACTGTTGTCTCCAAAAGCATATCCCGGCCTGTCCTCCTCACAGCTAGATTCACCTTATTGAATGTGCAGATTCCCAAAGAAGGAAACTGAATCAGTTTCTCCATTGGGCAACATTTGAAATGTTTATTACTCCATTTGGATTTCAAGAATAAGAATACAATGTCTTTCTTTCCTGTACAATTTATTTTATTTTTTATTGTTATTATAAAGGTGATGTACAGAGGGGTTGCAGTAAATATACTTTCTGCATAATTGGAATGACAAGTAGGCCCCACGCTGTCCAAGGGTTTTTTTGTGTATGTGTTTGTTTTTTGTTTTGGTTTTGCCTGGGCTCTGTCCCTGAGATTTTGTTGCTTAAGGCTAGTACTCTATCATTTGTGCTGCAGCTCCAATTCTGGCTTTTGGTGGTTAACCGGAGAAAAGAGTCTCATAGACCTTCCTGCCCCAGCTACCTTTGAACCATAATCCTCAAATCTCAGCCTACTGAGTGGCCAGGATTACAGGTGTAAACTACGGTTGTAATCTATACCCAGAGAAGTGCACTTATATCTTGACTGTGTTTCATCACATGAGATCAGATGTTGAATTTTTCATTTGTGACCTATCAGTGCTCAAAAAGTTTTGAATTTGAGAGCATTTCAGATTTTGGGTCCATATTTTAGGATTAGGGAGTCTTGGCCTGTGTTTCCTAATTATGCAGTGACGTTGGATGTAGCTATAAATAACATAAATGTACTTATTTCCATACATGTACAGTACAAGCAGTAAATATTCACACCCAGGAAATACAGATGGCTCCAGATTCCTGCTCATCTGTGATGTAGCCCTCGGAAAGTGTGTGGACTTACTCATGAAGAACTTTTCCTTAACTGAAGCACCACCAGGCTATGACAGTGTGCATGGAGTGTCAAAAACAGCCTCTGTTCCCACAGACTTTGAGGTATTTTTAATATTTAAAAACAAACAAACAAAACAGATAGGCCTGGGTACTAGTGGCTCACTTCTTTTTCTTTCTTTTTTTTTTTTGGGGGGGGGTCCGGTCATGGGGCCTGAACTCTGGGTCTGGGCACTGTCCCTCAGCTCTTCAGCTCAAGGCTAGCGCTCTACTACTTGAGCCACAGCACCACTTCCGGCTTTTTTCTTTTTACTTATGTGGTGCTGAGGAATCGAATCCAGGGCCTCATGCATGCAAGGCAAGTGCTCTACCACTGAGCCACCTTCCCAGCCCTAGTGGCTCACTTCTATACTTCTACAATCCTAGCTACTCAAGAGGCTGAGATCTGAGGATTGTGATTCAAAGCCAGCTCAGCAAGAAAGTCCCTGAGATTTTTATCTCCAATAAAACTGCCCCCCAAAAGCCCAAAGTAGATCTCTGGCTCAAGTGGTAGAATGTTAGCCTTGAGCCAAAAGAAGCTCAGGGACAGGGCCCAGACCCTGAGTTTAAGTCCCAGACTGGCAAAAAAACAAAACAAAAAACTGCCAAAACAGGCAAGAAGGGGCTTGAGTGCCCAAAGAACAGACTCAAGCTTTGCTTCTGTTTTTATTAAATCTACTTTCATTTAAAAACTGTTTTCCTACCAGGGTACTGGTGGCTCATGACTGTTAATCCTATCCACTCAAGAGGCTAAAATCTAAAGATTGGGGTTCAAAGCCAGCTTTAGACAGACAAATTTGAGAGATTCTTATTTCCAAATTAAAAATCTGGAAGTCAAAATATGGCTCCACTTTTTTTTTTTCACCTTGAACAAAAAAGCCAAACAAGAGCTTGAAGCCCTGCATTTAAGCATCAGTACTGGTACACAATAATAATGAGTGTATTTCTTCAGCCTTCATTTGATATGTGTGCAAGAGTTTCTGTGAGAACACGACCCATAAAGACCTGTTGTTCTTATTGTTGTAGCTATTCTTTTACCGCCTATCAATTTCTTTGTGTTCTAGGATGATGAATTTGTTGTATACAAAACCAACCAGATTAAAATGAAATATCTTATTAAATTTCGCATGCCCGGGGACCAAATAAAAGACTTTCATCCACATACTGTTGCAAACTTAGAGAAAATTAAACCTGAGCTTTTAATTTTTTCAGATGTTGAAGGTAAGAATTTTGTTGATGATTTTATGTGGCAATGTTTATAGAACTGTAACATATTTTTAGTGGAATTTATATTCACATTTGGTAATATCTTGGACCTTATATATAAATATTTCATTTTTTTTTTATACACACAAAAGATACGTTGGGAATGTGGCTTAGTGGTAGAGTGCTTGCCTAGCATGCATGAAGCCCTGGGTTCGATTCCTCAGTACCACATAAATAGAAAAAGCTAGAGGTGGCACTGTGGTTCTAGCCTTGAGTGAAAGAAGCTCAGGGACAGTGCCCAAGCCCTGGGTTCAAGCCCCACTACTGGCAAAAACAAAACAAAACAAAAACCAACAAGATATTTGGTAAAAATTCTATGTCATGTCATTTGCACATTTGCATGCCAATGAGCAGCTTACTCTTCAGGCATAGCCAATACTAAAATCTATTGTATTGATCCATTATTTATTACTGAAAACAAAATACCTGGATCTAGATATGTTATAAAGAAAAGAAGTTTCACTTTTGGACATCTACTCAGATCATTACAAGTCAGAATGAAGACACTTGCACATCCATGTTTATTGTTAATATAGCCACGTTATGGAAACAGCCCAGAAACCCTTCAACAGATTGAATGGATCAAGAAAACTTGGTACATATATACAGTGGAATTTTACTTACCTAATATATATATATATATATATATATATATATATATATATATATATATATATATATGTATATATATATAAAATGTTACATCATTTGCAAGGAAATGGATAGACCTAGTACAAATCATGTTATGTGAGGTAAGCCAGGCTCAGAGAGACAAACAGTGGGTGTTTTCTCTCATATGTGGGAGCTAGATCTAAATACACATAAAAATGCAGGCAATACATTTACACACAAACTGACTAAAGGACAGTATACTTATGGGAGGCATCTATAGGGGTAAGTCCTCTGAGCTACTAAAGTATGGTTTATCAGAAAAAAAGCCAAGCAGTGGAAGCATTTTTGGGGGTGGGAGGGAAGAAGAGGCACAAGAATGGAGGAAAGGGTGAGCAAATGCAGTTGCTTTCAGTATACAGTATGTTAACATGAACTGTGTAAGTTGTATGTAGGGATGGGAGGGGAAATTTTTTTTTGGGGGGGTCCAGTTGTGGGGCCTGAACTCTGGGCCTGGGCGCTGTCCCTCAGCTCTTCAGCTCAAGGCTAGCGCTCTACCACTTGAGCCACAGCGCCACTTCTGGCTTTTTTGTTTTTGCTTATGTGGTGCTGAGGAATCGAACCCAGGGCCTCATGCATGCAAGGGGAAATTTTTTTTAAAGGCTTTTTTTTTTTTTTTTTTGCTGCTGGTCCTGGGGCTTGAACTCTAGGCTTGGGTGCTCAACACTAGTGCTCTACCACTTGAACCACAGCTTCACTTCTGGCTTTTTATGGTTAATTGGAGATAAGAGTCTTACAGACTCTTCTGCCACAGCTGGCTTCAAACTGTCATAATGCTCAGATCTCAGCCTCCTGAGTACCTAGAATTACAGGTATAAGCCACTGGCACACAGCAAAAGAAGTTTCTTTTTTTTTTTTTTTTGGGTCCGGTCATGGGGCCTGAACTCTGGGCCTGAGTGCTGTCCCTCAGCTCTTCAGCTCAAGGCTAGTGCTCTACCACTTGAGCCACAGCGCCACTTCCGGCTTTTTTTCTTTTTGCTTATGTGGTGCTGAGGAATCAAACCCAGGGCCTCAGTCATGCAAGGCAAGCGCTCTACCACTGAGCCAACTTCCCAGCCCAAGAAGTTTCTTTAGCTCACAATTTTGGAGGTTCAAGGGCTAAGACAGTAGCATCAATTATGCTCTGATGATGACCTCCTGGAAGATGGAATTACAGCAGGAATGGATAATAGAAGGAAAGATCACACCAGGAGACAAAACCAGAGAAAGGCAGGGCTGGTGAGCAGGTCCTATATCTTAAAGGTCTAAACATCATCATTCTGTGGAGTCAGCTCCTAACACATGAACCTTTTGGGGTCAAACCCAGTCCATAGAACCATTTTAAGATATCATAATATAATAGGTGTAGGTAGCTTTAGACTGAGGAAGCTTGGCTTTGCATGCGAACTCTTAGTAGGCAATGCAATCCTTGAACAAATCACATAATCTGTCTGTACTCCATTTCTCTCAAATGGGAATAAGAACAACACCTGTGTTGTTCTTATCTCCAATAAACCACCAGAAAACTGGAGGTGACACTGTGGCTCAAATGGTAGAGTGCTAGCCTTGAGCTGAAGAGCTGAGGGACAGCGCCCAGGACTAGAGTTCAAGCCCCACAACCAAAAAAAAAAAGACCTGAGTTCAAGCCTAGTACTGGTACACACATGCACACACACACACACACACACACACACACACACACACACACACACACACAAGATGGTCCCTCTAAGCCTCTGATTTTCAAAGGCAAAAGTCTAGGGATGTAGCTCAATGGTAGAGCATTTGCGAGACCCTGGGTTTAATCCTTATCACTGCATATATACAAATGGTTTAAAAGTAGAACTAAGAGTTTAAAGTGTCTCTGAGAACATTGCCCCCATTTGCCTTGTGTGGGCTCTCTTTTCAGAATTGGTACTTCCAAAACATAAAATGTCATCAAGATGTGGTAACATATCTATAATCACAGCACTTGGGAGTCTGAGATAGGAGGATTCTGAGTTTGAGGTCAGCCTGAGCTACATAGTGAGAGCTCATATCAAAACAAGCAAGCAAGCAAACAAACCTTTGCATCAGGTGCCAGATTGCACCTGTAATTCTAGCTCCTCAGGAGGCTGAGATCTGAGGATTCTGATTTGAAGCCAGCCCAATCAGACAAATCTGAAAGGCTCTTATCTCCAAGTAATCAAAAAATGGATCTATGGCTCAGATGGTAGAATGCTAGCCTTGAGCAAAAAAGCCAAGCAAGAAGTTGAGATCCTAAATTCAAACCCAGTATCAGAAAAACAAAATAAGAAATACCACTGCTATTTATTCATATTTTTCTAAAATATATGAAGGGATGGACAAGGAATTGAGATAAAATCATATAGAACACTGTTTTAAAAGCTGATTTTTTATTTGTAATATGCAGATTACCAGTTGCCAGACAGCAAACATCCCAGCGATGGCAAGGCTGGCCTTCAGGACACTGCTGGGTATCCGGTTCCTCTTGAGGAGGTTCACATCAAGGGAAGAGTGATAGACTTTGTAGCCCAGGTGCGTGCTCTGTAATTTTATGATCTTAACTAGGTGGATATAAATCATAAGTGAGAATTAAATTACAGTTGCATCAACTAAATGAAATTTAAAGGTTAGAATGTTTGGGGAATAGTAACCATGGGGAAATTAGTCTGTAAATCTCTGGACAGACACTATTTTCTCAGAGTATTTTCCATCCACAATTGGTTGAAATCACACATGTGGACTCCACAGTCACAGATAAGGAAGAGCACTAACTGTAACTTTATTTCTACAGTTCCTTCACTGAGCACATGTTGTGCTTAGGATATTTTCAGTTTGCCATCGGTTTATTAGGGCATGGACCCATCATAAGAGTAAGAACTCTGGGGATGTCCAGACCATTTAGGAAACTGCAGTATCTTTGGCATGAAAAGTCTTCTCTTTGCTCATTCCCAGGACTTCCATGACCTCTACCTCAGTCAGGGCCCAGTGAGCTGCCTGACTCCATAGCCGGGCATTGTATCATGTGCTCTGGACTCTCTGGCGTCTCATTCCTGTAATCCTAACTTCTCTGGAGGCTGAGATCTGAGGATCGTGGTTTAAAGTCAGCCTGGGTAGGAAAGTATCTTCAATTAACCTCTAAAAAGCTGGAAGCAGAAGTGTGGCTCAAGTGGTAGAGTACCAGGCTTGAGTAAAAAAGCTAAGGAGCAGCACTCAGACCCTTAATGCAAAAAGGAAAACCCCTAAGGCCAGGGATAAGATATGATAAAAGTTCAGTGAATATAAACTGAATTTACGTAATTATTTCCAGTAGTTGTAAATGTCCCTGTAAATGTTCTGTGTGGTTTAATCAAGTGTATGGCTTTTTTTTTCTTTCTTCAGGTTATTGTTTTTCAGACATACACAAATCAAAGCCAAATGCCCATTGAGGCAAAATATATCTTCCCTTTGGATGACAAAGCAGCTGTGTGTGGCTTTGAGGCATTCATTAATGACAAGCACGTAGTAGGAGAGGTGAGCAAACAAAATGCCTGAGACTGCTCTGAGACTGACATTTACCCAGATCTTCATTATCTTACTTATTGTGGCTATCACATGAGAAACAACCTTATTAAAGAACAAAAATATTCTTTGAGGAACCAACTCACAAGAGGCTTCCAGAGCCAACCTCTGATGGCTCATGTCTATAATCCTAGCTACTTATGAAGCTGAGATTTGAGGTTCACAGTTCAAAGCCAGGCTAGGCAGAAAAGTTTGTGAGACTCTTTTTTTTTTTTTTTTAAGTTTGTGAGACTCTTATCTCCAGGTAGCCAGCAAAGAGCCAGAAGTAGAGGTGTGGCTCAAGTGGTAGAGCGCCAGCCTTAAGAAGAAAAAGCTAAAGGAATAGAGTGTAAGGTCCTGAGTTAAGCCCCAATACTGGCACACAAAAAAGTTCTTTTAAAAATCAATAAACACTTATGACATTTTTTATATGAAAGTCTGAAGTTAATCATCTTATAATCATCTTAATAATCATTTTCAGATCAAAGAAAAGGAAGAAGCCCAACGAGAATACCGAGAAGCCATCCGCCAAGGCCATGGTGCTTACCTGATGGACCAAGATGCTCCGGTATGGGTGGACACTCATCCAGTAGTAGGCATGCTTATAGGAAGGCTATGAAAGTCATATAGAAACAGAGAGAATTTACAATTAGGGGCTTACAAGTTCCCTTGTAAGTAGGGGAAGCCAAGCTACATCCATTTTAGTTTTCTAAATAAAGGAAGAAATGAGGTTGGTATTACACAGTAAAAAGGAAGACCAGTTGTCATTATAGGAACAGATTTCCCAGAAGTGATAAGGAAAACCTTTGGGGTACACTTTATCTTCTGATACATGCATTAATATATTTCCCTATAAAATAGTTAGTAATATTAGTGCCTAGCTAAAGTGTATGTACAAAACCTGGGATTGGCCAGGCACTAGTGGCTTACACCTGTAATCCTAGCTACTCATGAGGCTGAGATCTGAGGATCCTAATTTAAAGCTAGCCTAGGCAGGCAAATCTGAAAGACTTACACACACACACACACACACACACACACACACACACACACACACGCACGCACACATACACACACAATATTATCACATTTATATTAAATAAATTCAAATTGTTATTTGTTCACTTCTGATTACTGGGAACACTTTTTGTTTTTGCAAGGCTGAGGACCAAACTCAGGGTACTTGTCAGACAAGTGCTCCTCAGCCAAGCTAAATCCTCAACACCTTTTTTTTTTTTTTTTGCCAGTCCTAGGGCTTGAACTCAGGGCCTGGGCACTGTCCTTGAGCTTCTTTTGCTCAAGGCTAGCACTCTACCTCTTGAGCCACCACACCACTCCTGGCCTTTTCTGTTTATGTGATTCTGAGGAATCAAACCCAGAATTCATGCATGCTAGGCAAGCACTCTACCATTAAGCCACATTCCCTGCCCCTCAACCCCCGTTTTTTTAATTGAATTTTATTGTAATTTTGAAATGTCTCTTCTCAAAAGGAGTGAAAAGACAAATGTCTATTTTATTAAATTGCAGACTAATAAAATTATCTAAATGTTGAGAACATTACATATACAATATATAGCATATATGCATATTATACATTATGTAGTATTTAATATAGCAATGTTATATATTAAACATACAACATTCTCAAGTAAAATATAATCTATAAACACATACACATAAATATATACTTCAACAAATAATCCCTGACTTTAGGCTGAATTTTCCAAGTTCTCAGTGTAAAAACAATATATTTAGTGGTAAGTATACTTCAGATTTGGAATTTTGATATTTTTCCAGCCTAGAAAACTCCTCCTTTCTCTTCCCTTGGCAGCAGCCAAATTCTGCCTTGTGTCTGTTGAGAGTGTAGAAAACAGATAGCTTTCTGCCTTTCCTACACCGTACTAATATAGGGTCTGGGGCCTAGGAGGGTTCAGCCTAGTCCCCCATGGGGGAGACCACTTTTGTTTCTGTTCTCTCAAGCAGTGGTCACAGGTATTAAAGAAGGTTTTTCTCATTCTACTGCCTCTTCCCCAGTAGCCATGGAAGCAAAGGGATTTTCAGGCTTTTGCTTCATGTGGAGAAAGGACCCAGAGAAGAGGGTGGGTTCAAACCTGTCCCTAGCAGTAACCAGCCCCTAGCCCTGTGGCTTTCTTTAGTCTCCTGGCTTGTTCTGGTCTTTTTAATGGATCCAGTAGAAAACAGGATAGAAATCTGTGAGAATATGTCAACTCCACTTGGGTCAGGAGCTCCCAGTTATTCTATATGAATAAGCCTGTCAGAATTCACGTGGTTTGTGTGTCCCAGCTGTCCTCAGAGGGGCTTGCTAGTCTTTAGAATTCAGTTCACTTGATTAGTTCAAGATAAGTTACAATTTTGTAGATTATATTCTATCATGAAAATGACATCATCTTGCAAGTACCTTTATCCAACCTGTAATCAGAATGATAGCTTACTATTTAAGTGGCAGCCTCTTAAATGGCTCCTGGGCTTTTATGCATACATTTTCTTTATAGTTGGTATTGTTAACTCTGAAATGCAGGGCTCCTTTATTGACAGATTGACCCCCTTGATGTCAAAAGTGATGATTTAGAGGGGCACCATGGCCCACACCTATAATCCTAGCTACTCAGGAGGCTGGGATCTGAAAATCAAGGTTCAATGCCCACCCAGGTAGACAAATCTGAAGACTCTTATTTTGAAATAACCAGCAAAAAGCTAGAGGTGGAGGTGTGCTCAGGTGGTAGAATACAAGTTGTGAGCAAAAAAAAAAGCTGAGGGAGAATGTGAGGCCTGAGTTCAAGCAGCAGTACTGGAATTTTAAAAGTAATGACTTAACTCTTACTCCTACATTAATCATTAATCTTCCATATGCCCATCTAAATATACTGAATTTTTATAGTACATGCTCAACTGGAAGTGTAAATGGAGTTGGAGATGTTAAAAGGATCTCTCTGATGGTATTAGAAAAAAAATACATCTAATGTTTCTTTTGTCCTGCCCTAGCTAGATATAAAGTAGCCATCTCTATGGTGATTATCAATATCCTACTCAAATAAAATTAAATGTTCTGAAGTACAAGTTGTCAAGTCGAAAACGAACTTTACAACTTGGTGGGGGGGGAGAATTGGGTGGGGAGGAAAGGAGGATGGGAAGGGATGGGAAGTATAAACAAAGGAGGAGGCTACAATGCCCATGTAATTGTAATCCCTCTGTACAGTATTTTCACAATAAAAAAATTAAATGTTCTATGTGTATGCCAGTTCTGGGGCTTGAACTTAGGTCTCCTACTCTTGCATGGCTTTTCCACTCAAGGTTGACAACTGTAGGACTTGAGCCACACCTCCACTTCAAGCTTTTTTGCTAGTTAATTGGAGATAAGAGTTTCACAGACTTTTATACCTGGACGGGCTTTAACTACAATCCTCAATCTCAGTCTCCTGAGTAGCTTGGATAATAGGCATGAGCCACCATGACTGGGGAAAATGAAATATTTTTCTAAGAAAACAATTATATTTTGTAATTGTTTTATGTATTTAGAAATAAATTACTTAACAACTTAGGAATATCTGTGTGTGTGTGTGTGTGTGTGTGTGTGTGTGTGTGTGTGTGTGTGTGTGTGTGTGTGTGTGTGTGTGTGTGTGTGTGTGTATGTCTCCATCTAGTCAATGGTGGCCCACATATGTAATCCTAGCTACTCAGGAGGTTGAGATCTGTTGAATAAAGCTCAAAGCCAGCCCAGGCAGGAAAGTCTGTGAGACTCATACTTCCAATTGACTACTAAAAAATCCAGAAGTGGAGCTGTGGCTCAAATGGTAGAGTGCTAGCCTTGAGCAAAAGAAGCTCAGAAACAATGTCCAGGCCCTGAGTTCAAGCCCAAGACTGGCACAAAAATATATATTTTTCTAATAAAATAATTACCACAGGATGAGAAGACTAAGTAAAAGCCATGCTTAGAAATAAGTTGCTGGAGGGGCTGGGAAAGTGGCTCAGTGGTAGAGCGCTTGCCTTGCATGCCTGAGGCCCTGGGTTCAATTCCTCAGCACCACATAAGCAAAAAGAAAAAAGCCGGAAGTGGCACTGTGGCTCAAGTGGTAGAGCGCTAGCCTTGAGCTGAAGAGCTAAGGGACAGCGCCCAGGCCCAGAGTTCAGGCCCCACGACCAGACCAAAAAAAAAAAAAAAAAAGTTGCTGGAGCTGGGAAGGTGGCTCAGTGGTTGAGTGCTTGCCTTGCATGCATGAGGCCCTGGGTTCAATTCCTCAGCACCACATAAGCAGAAAAAGCCAGAAGTGGAGCTATGGTTCAAGTGGTAGAGCGTTAGTCTTGAGCTGAAGAGCTGAGAGACAGCGCCCAGGCCCAGAGTTCAGCCCAATGACAAAGAGAGAGAGAGAGAGAGAGAGAGAGAGAGAGAGAGAGAGAGAGAAAGGGAGAGAGAAAAGAAAGTTGCTTTAGCTCTGGAGTCAATTGGATCATAGTCCCAAGGGACCTCTTCTTCTCTGGCTTCCAGAAATGTCTCCTTGTCCCCACCACTGGTGAATAGTCCCAAGGATTTTTGAACCACCAATGTATCTTCTAGGCTCTGTAATTACCATTTTCTGGAGAAGAATTTGGCAGATTGAAATTCAAGTTGTTTTTTTTTAAAAAGAAATTCAAGTCCTTTAATATGAGAGAATAGTTTCCATAAAATGGCTATACCTTTGAGTTGTAGAGTGCCAATGCTTTTGAGTAGCAAATTAAGTCATATGTTTCTGTTTCAGGATGTTTTTACTGTTAGTGTTGGAAACTTACCTCCTAAGGCTAAAGTCCTCATCAAAATTACCTACATCACAGAACTCAGCATCCAAGGCCCTGTTGCTGTCTTCTTCATGCCAGCCACAGTAGCACCCTGGCAACGGGACAAGGCTTTGAATGAAAACCTTCAGGTCAGTGGCTTAACATAACATTTGAAGGGTCATTTGGTGGTGGGGGTAGGGGGAGGTAGAGATTGACCTAGCATGTGGAAAACTGTGAGTTCAATGTCCAGCATTAGACAGACAGAGATCTAAATCTTTTTGGTGTAGAGTGCCAAATGAATGCTTTTTGGACAAATGAAAATATCTCTCACATTTATGCATTTTATTTAATGTTTACAAAAGGAAAAGAATAAAGATACAGGCCAGGCACCAGAACTATGACCATGATCCTGGCTACTCAGGAGGCTGAGATCTAAGGATCATGATTCAAAGCAGGCCTGGACAAACAAATCTTCAAGACTCTTATTTCCAACTAATCAGCCAAAAGCCAGCACTGGAGGCATGGATTAAGTGGTAATGTCAGCCATGAACAAAAAGCTGTGTAAGAATGTGAAATCAGGAGGTCAAGCCCCAGTACTGGCACACACACACACAGAATTTAGAGAAACATGATTGTGCTACATTAGTCAAAAGAAGACAATTAAAACTATCCTTAAGCTAGGTACAGTAAGACACATCTATAATCCAAGCATTCGGGTAGGAAGACCAAAACTTCAAGGCCCCCCTGGGCTACATAACAAGACCTTGAAAAGACAAGAACATTTAATAACAATTTTCAGTTCTGTCACCTGGAGATAACTTCTAGTTAAACTTTAATATATATATATATATATGTATGTATGTATGTATATGTATATATGTATATGTACATATACATATATATATATTTATTTCCAGACTTCTTACCTTATATTTATATATGCCAGTTGTGTGTGCTGAGACTTGTATATACACAGAGAGACCCCTATATAGCAATGAAAAATCTATCAAAATGGTCAGAAGTAATCCCTGACATCCGTTGCATTGCACAGTTATTGTCATTTCATGAACAAAAGCTCTGGGTTGCACTGTATGGACAGTTGTATTGCTGCTGTCCCAGGGTTCTTGCCAAGGTCACCTTCAGGTCAGTCCCCATTGTGAAGCTTAATGGAAATGCAGTTATATACGTATTTTTCTCTTAACAGGATACAGTAGAAAAGGTCAATATAAAGGAAATAGGAGCAAAGCAAAGGTCAGTATCTAAAATATTAAACTTGCCAGGTCATTCAATGGATATAAGGAAGCAAGATGCTGGTAAATCACACCTGCAGTCCTAGTTTCTCAGTAGGCTGAGATATGAGCATCATGGTTCAAAGCCGATCTAGGCATAAAACATATTTCCAATAAACCAGCAACAAGCTGGAAGGAAGCATGGCTTAGTTGTAGAGTGCCAGTCTTGAGGGAAAAAGACAAGGAAGAGTACAAGGCTTTGAGATCAAGCCACAGTACCAGCACAACATAAATAAATAAATGACAGTAAATAAATATTTAAATAAATGAACTAGAATAAAATAATCTGAAGGGTTGGGTGGTTAATTCTGGGAGAGTGCTTGTCTAGTATGTATGAAGCCCTGGGTTTAAACTCAACACCACAAAACAAAACAATTATTTAAAACAACTTCAAAAAGCATTTTAAGATATACTAAGACAGTCTTCTCTTCATTTCTGGTAGCTTCTCCTTGACCCTGTCCATTGAAATGCCATATGTGATACAGTTCATTTCCAGTGATACACATAAACTGAAACAAAAGGTCAGTGAATCTGTTTTCTGAAGCAAAAAAGCACCTTTGTGTACCTTATGAATGGTAGGTATTATCCTTGTCTCTGAAAATGTTTTCTCTTGTTTCTTTTGTCATATTACCTCCCATTGGCTTTTTTTCTTTTCCTTTTTCTTTTCTTTCTTTTTTTTTTTTTTTTGGTGTGGTACTTAATTGGAAATAAGAGTCTCATGGGGGCCAGGTGCTGGAGACCACACCTGTAATCCTAACTACGAAGGAGGCTGAGATCTGAGGGTTCAAACCCAGCCCCGGCAGGAAAGTCCATGAGACTCTTATCTCCAATTAACTACCAGAAAACCGGAAGTGGTGCTGTGGCTCAAGTGGTAGAGCACTTGCCTTGAGCTGAAGAGCCGAGGAATGGTGCCCAAGCCCAGACTTCAAGCCCCACAACCGACCAAAAAAAAAAAAAAAAGCCTCATGGACTTTTGTGCTTGGGTTGGCTTTGAATTGCAATCCTCAAATATCAGCCTCCTCAATTAACAAAAGGTACAGATTAAGCCACTGGTGCCAGTTTTGCCTTTTTTTTTTTTGTATTTATATATTTGTTTGTTGGTATTGGGGCTTCATGGCACCACATTTTCACTCCTTTTTTTTGTTTACAGATAGCACTCTACCACTTGAACCACCATTCCACTTCCAGCGTGTGTGTGTCTGTGTGTGTGTAAGAGAGAGAGAGAGAGAGTGAGTTCTGGGGCTAGAACTCAGAGCCTGAACACTGTCTTTGAGCTTTTTTGTTCAAGGCCAGTGCTATACCACTTGAGCTACAGCTGTTCTTCAGCTTTCTTTGGTAGTTAATTGGGGATAAAAATGTGAGGCTCTGGCACTTGGCTTAACCACTTTGGACTTTTTGCTGGTTAATTTAACAATAGGAATCTGGATACTAGTGGCTTATACTTTAATCCTAGATATTCAAGAGGCTGAGATCTGAAGATCATGGTTTGAAGCCAGCTTGGGCAGGAAAGTCTATGAGACTCTTATCTCCAGTGAACCACTAAAATGCCAGATGTGGAGCTATGGCTCATGTGGTAGAGTGCTAGCCTTGAACAAGAAAGCTAAAGGACAGCACTCAGCCTCCTCTGAGCTTAAACCTTAGTACTGGCATGCGTGCATCTGCAAGAGCACGCACGCACACGCACACACACACACACACACACACACACACACACAAAGCCTCTTGGATTTGTCTGCCTGAGCTTCTTTTGAACTGTGATTCTCAGATCTCAGCCTCCTGTCTAGCTAGGCATGAGCCATCAGTTCCCAGCTTAAAAAATATTTTTTTTGTTTGATGTGTCCATCTTTCAAGTTGGAGGCTTTTCCCAGTGTGTGGTGACCCTGTCTCTTTCCCTTGTAATTCAAACTGAGACTTGAGAAACTCAATTAACAGCTCTGAGTGTTAGTGGAAGGTAAACACAGGCACCTGACAACCATGTCTTTTAATGTTCCATTATGTCTGACACTCCTCAGTCTAAGCTCTTGTTTCCTGAAGTAACAAATGGTTAGTTGGCTCCTTGGGTGTGGAGGCACGTGGGTCCTCTATACTACATAGTCCCTACCCTGCTCACTTGGACCATATTTTTACAGTAACTGGTACCTCCAGGGTGTGAGCTCTCTCCCGTGGCTGCTGCAGGCTAATGCCACCATCGCAGGTAACCATTCTCTCCAGTCACTCACTAGGCACCAGTTTCCTCCATTCTGGCTGAACCACTGTCTGAACCACCCACTCATCTCTTTATTCCTGGACTCAATATCTTTATGAGCTCACGTCCTTTTTATTGTCTCCCTTATATTGTTGGAAGTCTTAGCATTCTGCTAGGGAGTAGAGATAAACACAGCTTTAACCCATTCAGATGTCCTAGACGTTAGTTAGCTTTGTCCATATCACAAACTGCAGCAAGCATTTAGCCAGGTGTTAATGACTGATGCCTGTAATCACAGTTACTCCGGAGGCTGAGAGCTGAGGATCACATTCCAAAGCCAGCCCAGGAAGAAAAGTCTGGTTGTTGTTGTTGTTGATGGTAGTGGGACTTGAACTCTGGGCCTGGGTGTGTCCCTGAACTCTTCAGCTCAAGGCTAGCACTCTACCACTTGAGCCACAGCGCCACTTCCGGTTTTCTGGTGGTTTATTGGAGATGAGTCTCACAGTCTTTCCTGCCCGGGCTGGATTTGAACCGTGATCCTCAACTCTCAGCCTCCTGAGTAACTAGGATTACAGGTGTGAGCCACCAGTGCCCGGCTCTGTGATATTTTTATCTCCAGTTAACCAGTAAAATGGCAGAAATGGAGCTATGGCTCAAGTGGTTGAGTACTGTCCTTGAACAAAAAAAGCCAAGTGAGATCATAAGGCACTACGTTCAAGCCCCCAGAACTAGCACTAAAAAATAGGGCAAACATTTGTTATTCTCATAGTTTTGTGGCTTGGCCAGGACATGATGGCTAAGGAGAACCTCACTCACATACAATACTAGGCTGTCAGCTTGAGTGGTGCCTATGTCCACCTACCTTCTGCAGATTGACTCAGGGTCATTCACAAACTGATGAAACAGACCTAGTACCAAAGAGACAGTGCACACTCCATTGCACAAATACTTTTCAGACTCCTTTTGCATATCTGCCAATATCTTATTGGCCAATGCAAATTCCATAGTCAGCCCCATTGGCCAATTCAAACAAGGAGAAATAGAGGCCATCTCCAGGTAGGAGGAGCTTCCAAGTATAACAAGAGCATATAGGAGTGGAGAGTGGCCATTTTGCAATCTACGCTCTTGCCTTTATTGTTTTAAAGCTTACCATCAACGTTCTCAAAAGTTGTTTTATATTTATGAACATATCTATTTATCTATGTTACTTACAAATAAAGTATCCTATGATTTTTACTTCATGTTCTATTTATTATTATAGGTTCTAGTTATCTGGTGTGTTTTCTGCCATATCCAGAAGGCTTAACAAAAAAAAATCTGTCATCTTTGGATCCAGAATTAAGATTGTCTTAAACTGGGCAGACACTGGGACTCACTACTATAATCTTAGCTACTCAGGAGGCTGAGATCTGAGGATTGCGGTTCAAAGCCAGCATAAGGGGCTGGGAAGGTGGCTCAGTGGTAGAGTGCTTGCCTTGCATGCATGAGGCTCTGGGTTCAATTCCTCAGCACCACATAAGCAGAAAAAGCTGGAAGTGGCACTGTGGCTCAAGTGGTAGAGTGCTAGCCTTGAGCTGAAGAGCTGAGGGACAGCACCCAGGCCAGAGTTCAGGGCCCACAACTGGCAAAAACAAAACAAAACAAAACAAAGCCAGCATAAGCAGACAAACCCAGGTGACTCTTCTCTTCAATTAACCAGAAAAAAAGCTGGAAGTAGAGCTGTGGCTCAAATGGTAGAGTACCAGCTTTGAGTGAAAAAGCCAAGAGAAATCACAAGCCCCTGAGTTCAAGCTTGTACACACACACACACATACACACACACACACACACACACACATACACACAATAGTCTTAAGTTTGGATGTTTAAATTAACTTTAGAATTTGATGGTGACCGATATGATTATAGACCTAAACCAATATTTCATAACTTAGAGAGTTGTTATTATGCTATTGCTTTTTTACAGAACTACATAAATTATACAAGGGTTTTGTTTTATTATTTGACAGGTAAGTGCAAATTGACCTATGTATTATTGCATGATTTACTTTGTCATCTGTTTGTTTGCAGAGCACTGACTGTAAGGCTGTAATTCGCACTGTGGAAGGCAGCTCCTTAGGCAACGATGGATTTTCTCTCCACATTGGTTTGTGTGATGCGTATCTCCCCCGAATGTGGGTTGAAAAACATCCAGAAAAAGAAAGTGAGGTATCAGTCTTCTCACTTAATAGTAGGAAATACAATTGGAAAAATATTCCACGATAAATAGCTCCTTCATTTTTGAGATGATTGACAGTGTTGAAAAAACTAGTTTACAAACTAAACTCTCACAGTCCCAATATTCTACAGTAATTATGTTTCTATCAAGCACCACCGACTTCTGCGTTTCAGTAAAAACCTCCCTGTGATCTATTCCCCAATACAGATTGTAATTGACCATTTTGTGTGATTGTAACAAAGACTTGCTTCTTAATTTAAAATAAAAACTGAGCCATCACCGGGTGCCAGTGGCTTATGCCTGTAATCCTATTCAGAGAGGCTGAGATATTGAAGACTGTGGTTCAAAACTAGACCCAGCGGGAAAGTCCATGAGTCTCTTATCTCCAATTAACCACCAAAAAGCCAGAAGTGGAGCAGTGAAGTGATAGAGTGCTAACTTTGAGTAAAAAACTCAGGAACAGGGCACAGGCCCTGAGGTCAAGCCTCAGGACTGGCACACAGATAAACAAATAAATAAATATTGAAAGGTAAGCCAGGCAGTGGTAGGTCACACTTGCAATCTTAGCTACTTAGGAGGCTGAGATGTATCTCCAATTTACGAGCAAAAAGCTTAAACGTCAGGCGCCGGTGGCTCATGCCTGTAATCCTAGCTACTCAGGAGGCTGAGATCTAGGATCTCAGTTCAAAGCCAGCTCGGGGAGGAAAGTCTGTGAGACTCTTATCTCCAATAAACCACTAGAAAACCGGAAGTGGCACTGTGGCTCAAGCGGTAGAGTGCTCGCCTTGAGCTGAAGAGCGCAGGGACAGCACCCAAGCCCAGAGTTCAAGTCCCATGACCGACAAAAAAAAAAGCCTGAAATAGAGGTATGACTCAATTGGTAGAATGACAGCCTTGAATGAAAAAGATAAGGAAGAATACAAGTAGCTAAGTTCAAGCTCCAGTACTGGCACAAAAACAAAAACAAAAACAAGCTGGGCTGGTGGCTCATGCCTATAATCCTAGCTACTCTGGAGGCTGAGATCTGAGAATCAAGCTTCAAAGCCACCCTGGGCATGAAAGTCCATGAGATTCTTATCCCCAGTTAACCACTAAAAAGCCAGAAGTAGGGCTGAAATGCCTTGAACAAAACAGCTGAGGGACAGTGCCAAGCCCTGAGTATAAGCCCCAGTATGGCACAAAAACAAAACAAAAAACGGAAACTTTTGAGACAGTAATTGTACTTTAAGTATTTCTTAATTAATAAGAGTCATATGTGTATTTTGGTGATTATAACAGCATCTATATTCCTTTTGGAATAGTGTAAGACATTGTTTTACAGATAACATTGGTGACCTATGATTTTTTTGTATATATTTTTATTGTAAAAATACAGTACAGAGTAATTACAGTTACATGAGTATGGTAATAAGTACATTTCCTATCGAGCATTGTTACCTCCTCCTTTGTTTTTCCCCTACCATCCCTTTCCTCCCCACCTCTCCAACTTCTCGCTCCCCACCTCCTGAAGTTGTAAAGTTCATTTTCAACATAGTGTCTTGTAGTGACCTATGATTTTTGTCAGATATTAATTTTAAATTTGTGACCTCTCAGGAGTTTTTGTCCCATATACTTGAATTCCCAGGCATAACATTTTACTGTTTATTTTTACTCCTAGTAGGCCATTTTTTTGTTGTGAAGGAAATCTTACTCATATTTTGTTTTCTTTTGGCAATACTGGCATTTTGAACTCAAGCCTTGCACTGCTAAGCAGGGCACAGTTCCCTTTGAGCCACACTCCAACCCTGTTTTTCTTTTATTTGATACAAGATCTAGTTATGTAGTCCAGGCTCATCTCCAACTGTGGAAGAATAAATCCTCTTGCCTCTTCCTTTCTAGAACTGAAATTACAGGAATGTGCCAGCACATCTGACTTCTTTTTGTTTGGGTAGTTCAGAACTTTACAAGTAGATGTTTTCTAGTTCAGCTTGTAAGAAACTCCAATCCCAGGTGGGTACCAGATGCCCACACCTATACTCTTACTTAGGAAATATTTGTTGGGAGAATCACAGCTCAAGGCCAACCTGAGCAGAAAATTTCAAGAGACATTCTCAACCAATAGCTGTGTGTGGTGGTAGCTATCTACCTTCCCAGCTATGGAAGGAAGCATAAAACAGGAGGATCATAGTCCAAGCCGGCCTGGACAAAAAGTGAGAACTTATTAAAATAACCAGAGCAAAAAAAGCTAGAGACATGACTCAAGTGCAGGCACTGTCAATAAAACAAAATGAAAACTCCATTGCAGCACATTTTTCTCCTTTCAGGCTTGCATGCTTGTTTTTCAACCTGATCTTGACGCCACCCTCCCAGGCCTACCTGACAAGAATGAAGTGATTATTTGTCTCGACTGCTCCAATTCCATGAGAGGTGTGGCATTCGTGCAAGCCAAACAGATTGCCTTGCATGCACTGTCCTTGGTGGATAAGAAGCAAAAAGTAAACATCATCCAGTTTGGCACAGGTGAGTGCCCTTTGACCCCAGTCCCTTATGGTTCTTCCTGAACATGAGCATGCCCATGACTGTGGGGCCTGGCCTTTTCAGAGTGGGAGGCTGTTTTACATGCAGCTTAAACATAGAACTGTGGACTAGGTTCCCTGAGTCCAGAGCCCAACTATACAATTCACAAGCTCTATGTGTCAACCTTGAGTAAGCTCTCTGAACTTTTGGAGCCCCAGTTTTCTTACCTGCAATTTGAGGGGTAATAGGCCCTACTTTATAGTCCTGTGAGGACAGAGCTGACGGATGCAAAAGATTTAAAATAGAGCTTAGTCCATAACAGGTAAAAAGTAAATACTACTGTTTCTGTTCTTATCAGAACCAAACACAAGAACTTAAGCTTGCTGAGTATGAGGATCTAAGGGTAAAGGCATTTGCAATCAATATAGTCATTGAAAATCTATAATTAGCCAGGTGCCAGTTGCTCACACCTGTAATCCTACCTATTTAGGAAACTGAGATCTAGAGGATCATGGTTCAGAAACAGCCCAGTCAGAAAAGTCCATAAGACTCTCCATTTCCAAAATAATCAGCAAAAAGCTGGACTGGAAGTATAGAGAGTTTACAGCCCAGCACTCTGAGTGTGAGGCCCTGAGTTTAAACTCTGGCACTGGAAAAGCTGAGCACTGGTGGCTCATGCCTGTAATCTTTTTTTTTTTTTTTTTGGGGGGGGGTCTGGTCGTGGGGCCTGAACTCTGGGCCTGGGCGCTGTCCCTCAGCTCTTCAGCTCAAGGCTAGTGCTCTACCACTTGAGCCACAGTGCCACTTCTGGCTTTTTTCTTTTTGCTTATGTGGTGCTGAGGAATCGAACCCAGGGCCTCAGGCATGCAAGGCAAGCGCTCTACCACTGAACCACCTTCCCAGCCCCTCATGCCTGTAATCTTAACTATTCAGGAAGCTGAAATCTAAGGAACACAGTTTGAAGCCAGCTTAGGTAGAAAAGTTTATGAGACCCTTTTTTCCAGTTAACAAGCAAAATGCTAGAAGTGAGTGTGATTCAAGTGGTAGAATGCCAGCCTGGAGCAAAAAAAGCCAAGCAAGAACTAGAAGCTATGAGTACAATCCCTAATACCAGCACAAAAAGCTGTTGTGGTGGTGGTAGTCAATTTAATTTTACTTTGACTCAAACTTTCTTCCTTCTAATCACAAAAAGGGTTAAAAATAAATAAATAAGACAGGCTGGGAATGTGGCTTAGTGGTAGAGTGCTTGCCTAGCATGCATAAAGCCCTGGGTTCAATTCCTCAGACCTATATAAACAGAAAAAAAGCCAGAAATGGTTCTGTGGATCAAGTGGTAAAGTGCTGAGACAGTACCCAGGCCCTGGCAATAAATAAATAAACCTTGGCATTACCCAAAATCAAATCAAACAAACATCTATAAGGAAGCCTGAGGCAGCTTAGTATGAGAGCTCTCACACTAAGTGTGAGGGTCCTGGAATAAAGGAGGAGGAGGAAGAGGAGGAGAAACAAGAGAAGGAGGATCTGTTATCCAGTAGACTCAGGGAGCATCAGGTTAGCACTGTTAGAAGGCAATGCTACCTTCTAGGTGGCATGAATAGGACTCTTCAGGGACAACAGAAGGGGCAGAGCTCAGGGGATGAAACCCTTTCCCAACAGAATTAGGTCGGTTCTGTTCAGGGCAGAGATGAAATAAGGATGAGGCTACATGGAGACTGTGCTCTGCCAGGGACCAAGATGATGATGGTAACCCCTCTCCTGTCCCTACACCTCTGTTTGCATGGAAGATGTAAGAGACCTATAAACAAAATTTGTATCAGATATTTTGCATAGTATAGTGTATTGTTGGAATTCTCTGTACTTATTGCAGGGATGCTGTGCTGAGTTGTTTATGGTAACTGGGTTTGGCTCAGGCCTCCTACTTGCGAGGCTGACACTCTGTTATTTGAGTAACTCCACCATCTGTGCTGAGCTTTTGTTATGTAAATATGATTATACATTGTTTTATTTTCTTTTTTGGTGCCACTCCTGGGGCTTGAACTCAGTACCTGGACATTGTCCTTGAGTTTTTTTGCTCAAGGCTAGCAATCTGTCACTTGATTATAGCTCTACTTCTGGCTTTTTGGTGACTAATTGGAGGCAAGAGATCTCAGCATCCTGAGTAGCCTAGTATAGGTGAGAGACACTGGTGCTCGGCACTCATTGTTTTCTAAAAAGAACAGTATTCATAAAATATACTTTTTTAAATGTTGGCACTTAGGTTTGAACTCAGGGACCTAGCATTCTTGATTCAGCTTTCTTGCTCATGGCTGGTACTCTGCCTGTTGAGTCATCTCTCCAGTCTTGCATTTTGCCAGTTAATTGCAGTCTCTCAGATTTTTCTAAACAAGATGACTTTAAATCATGATCCTGATATCTCAATCTCTCCTGAATAGCTAGGATTACAGGAATGAGCCACTAGTGCCATCTACAAAATATTCATGATCATAGCATGCTGAATAGTGGAAAGTAGCATTATTGTTTGTTAGAGGTCAGTTTGGTAAATAGTTAATGGTATTTCCTTATGCCAATCTCATTGCACAGGTTACAAAGAATTATTTTCATATCCTAAATTCATCACAAACAATGAGGTGCCAACAAAGTTCATTATGGTAAGTAAAATGCTTCTTCCATCACCTGAGCCTGCATCTATGAAGCTTCAGTTAGCATTGTCCAGGACTAGACTTTTGTATGTTGGTGGAGTTGTTTATCACCTTCCATTGCTGTGACATATACCTAAGTTATATCAATTTATTAGATCACAGTTGCAGAGGTTTCAGGTCATAGTTGCAGAGGTTTCAGTCCATTCTGACTTGGTCTTATTGCTTTGGGCCTGCCACAACATAGTACATCATGGTGGGAGCATAAGGAGAAGAAGCCTGTTCACCTCATGTCTATGAAGCAGAGAGAGAAAGAAAAGAACCAGAGCACAAATAGCATTAAGGTCACAGTAGGTCACAGATTCTAAAGGATCTACCACCTCCCAGTAGCACCAAGGATAGTGACCCAAACCTTTGACACAAGAGTCAGTTATCCAAACCATTGTAGTAGACTCATAATAATAATAAAAAGCATAATATGAAGTCATTTAAAAAATTGGAAATTAAGCCGGGCGCTGGTGGCTCACGCCTATAATCCTAGCTACTCAAAGAGGCTGAGATCTGAGGATCTAAGTTCAAAGCCAGCCCTGGCAGGAGAGACCGTGAGACTCCTATCTCCAATAAACCACCAGAAAACCAGAAGTGGCGCTGTAGCTCAAGTGGTAGAGCACTCGCCTTGAGCTGAAGAGCTGAGGGACAGCGCCCAGGCCCAGAGTTCAAGCCCCACGACCGACAAAAAAAAAAAAAAAAATGGAAATTAAAAAAAAAGAGCAAGTCGCTGGTGGCTCATACCTGTAATCCTAGCTACTCAGGAGGCTGAGATCTGAGGATCAAGGTTCAAAGCCAGCCCAGGCAGAAAAGTCTGTGAAACACTTATCTCCAATAAACCACTCAGAAAACTGGAAGTGGCACAGTGGCTCAAGTGGTAGAGTGTTTGCCTTGAGCTGAAGAGCTGAGGGACAGCATTCCAGCCCAGAGTTCAAGCTCCATGACCAACAAAAAAAAAAAGAGAGAAAAATTGTCTCAGCACTCTATGAAATTAGCATTTGTGAGCTGTTTTTCTGTTCCTGGATTGCTTTATTTTAAAATATAAGAAGCTGCCAGGCACTGGTGGCTCATACCTGGAATCCTAGCTACTCAGGAGGCTGAGATCTGAGGATCACGGTTCAAAGCCAGCCTGGGCAGGAAAGTCCATGAAACACATCTCCAGTTAACCACCAGAAGACTGGAAGTGGCGCTGTGGCTAAGTGGTAGAGTGCTCGCCTTGAGCTGCGGAGCTGCGAGACAGTGCCCAGGCCCAGAGTTCAATCCCCACAACTGACCAAAAAAAGTATAGATATATAATATATATATTATATAAATAAATACATATAAATATATATAAATGTATATATGTGTGTATACACATATACATATATATACATATACATATATATATGTATATGTATATATAAAACAAGCTGAGTATGAGCAGTAGCAACCTCAGTCCAGGACGGCCATACCAGGAATACTTTAATGGACTGTTTATTTGCTTAGATGTAATAGTTCTTTGAAAACTATTTTTTTAATGGGTGAATACATGGGCTGGGAATAATGGGAGGAGTAACATTGATTAAGATTCATTGCACTCAGTTTAATAAAGTAAGATGTTATATTGAAACCCCTTTGTACAACTAAAGAAAATACAAATAAGTAAATGAATAAAACAAATGCTGAGTGCTCATATTATAGTTACTATAGGTGATGAAATAAACTAAAAGCATGTAAGTAAAATTACTCCACAAATGATTAATTAAGGGAAAAAGTCTACTTCTGTATGTGTTCCACTGGGGCTTGAACTCAAGGCTGAGGCTCTGTCCCTGACCTTTTATGCCCAGAGCTCTACCACTTGAGTCATAGCTCTACTTCTGGGTTTTTGGTAGTTAATTGGAGATAGTAGTCTCACAGACTTTTCTGCTCAGGCTGGTTTCAAATCATGATCCTCAGATCTCAGCCTTTTGAGTAGCTAGGATTATAGACATGAGTCATACTCAGCTGGAAAAAATATTATCGATGCCAGTGTATCTCTGGGAGATGATTGCAGTCAGTGTTGTGTACAGAAAGGAGAAATTATTTCGTGCTTCACCTCCTGCAGTCTGCTACACCTACCATGGGCAACACTGACCTCTACAAAACGCTCCGATACTTAAGTTTACTGCGCCCTTCTCAAGGGCTGAGGAACGTGCTCCTCCTGTCTGATGGGCACCTGCAGAATGAGAGTATGACAGTGCAGCTCGTGAAAAGAAATGTCCACCACACCAGGCTGTTCACCTGTGGCGTTGAGTAAGTCTCAGAGATTTGGTCACTGTGTTAAAAAAAGCCATCTGACAGGTTTTCCCATTAGTCTGTACAAAAGGGGGTATGTTTGTGTGTGTGTGTGTGTGTGTGTGTGTGTGTGCGCGCGCGCGCGCGCGCGCGCGCGCGCGCGCGTGCATGCACACATACACATGTATACACGCATACATCAGTATTGAGACTTAAAGTCAGGGCCTGACTACTGTCCCTTAGCTTTCTCACTCAAAGCTGGCATTCTACCACTTGCGCCACTGCTCCACTTTCAGCATTTTGGTGGTTAATTGGAGATAGTCCATGGTCTTTCCTGCCTGGACTGGCTTCAAACTGCCATCCTCAGATCTCAGCTAGATTCATACCTTGTGTGTGTGTGTGTGTGTGTGTGTGTGTGTGTGTGTGTGTGTGTGTGTGTGTGTGTGTGTGTGTTGGTCGTGGGGCTTGAACTTTGGACCTGGTAACTGTCCTTCAGCTCTTCTGCTCAAGGTGAGCACTCTCCCACTTGAGCCACATCACCGCTTGTGGTTTTCTGGTGGTTTATTGGAGATGAGACAGTTTCACACTTTCCTGCCTAGGCTGGCTTTGAACTGCAATCCTCAGATCTCAGCCTCCTGAGAAGCTAGGGTTACCAGCATGAGCCACCGGCACCCAGCTAGACTGATACCTTTATCTAATATTATTTTGATATCCTGGATGGTTGTTTGCTTATTTTTAAATCTACTAAATCTTTTCTATTTTGTCTATCTGTTTATTTTTGATGCTGGGGTGGAATGCAAGGTTTTACTGGCCTACCATATTCTGTAAAGCTAAGCTACACACTCACAATCCTTTTTGAGGATGTTAGAATCATCTAAATCAAATAATACAGAAAAACTAAATGAATTCATAAACAATAAGCCAGCACTACAAAGATTTATTAAGAGGGGGAATACAGTCTGAAGAAAATACTCAAGATCAGTGATCCACATCAGACAGATATCACTAGAAGTCAAACTTAGTAATTAGAGGAGGAAAGGAAAGAAGAAAAACTTAGGAAAGCAGGAAAATGACAGGAAACACAATGCACCTCTCTATAATAGCCATAAGTATTAATGGGCTCAATTCACTAATCAAAAGAAAACTGCAGATTGGATCAGAAAGCAAGATCCATCTATTTGTTGTCTTCAGGAGACCCATCTCACAGCCAAAGACTCAAAACAAACTCTGAGTGAAGGGATGGAGGAAGATCTATCATATAAATGTTCCCAGCAACAAATCAGGAGTTGTCATCCTGGCAAAATAAACTTTTCATTAAAATCAATACAAAAAGACAAAGAAGTACACTACATATCAATACAGGGAACAATCCAAGAAGAGTATATCACTATTATCAATTTATACTCTCCAAACATTGGTGCACCCAAATATCTTGAGCAAATACTCTCAGACTTACAGAATAAAATAAATCCAAACACAATAATACTAGGAGACTTTAATACTCCACTGTCACCAAAGGACAGGTCTACTAAACAGAAGATTAGCAAAGAAGCCTCTGAACTCAATGATACGATATCCCAAATGGACTTAACAGACATCTACAGAGTTTTCTACTCAACAAAATCCCAATACACATTCTTCTCTGCAGCCCATGGAACTTTCTCCAGAATAGATCTTATCATAGTTCATACAAGGAATTTAAGCAAATACAAGAGGATAAACATAATCCAATGTATTCTATCCAACCACAGTGGAATCAAGCTAGTTCTCAATAACAAAACATACTTTAAAAAGTACTCAAACACATAGAAATTAAACAGCACACTTCTGAGCAACACCTGGGTCACAGAATAAGAAGAAATTAAAAGTTCCTACAATTCAATGAAAATGAATATACATCATCAAGAAACCTGTGGGACATAGCAAAAGCAGTCCTGAGGGGAAAATTTATTGCTCTCAGTGCACACACTAAGAAAATAGAGACAGACCAAGTAAATAATCTCATGAGACAACTAAAACTGTTAGAAAAGCAGGAAAAAAATTGAACCTAAAGTTACTAGACAGAGTGAGATAAAGTAAGAACTGAAATTAATGAGATAGAGACTAAGAAAACTATAAAAATAGTAAAACAAAAACCTGTTTTTTTTTTAATAAATAAAATTGACAGAACTCTGGTAAAGTTAACTAAAAAAAGAAGAGAGGAGACCCAAATCAGTAAGATCAGGGGTGCCACAGGAAAAATTACAACAAATAGCCAAGACATCCAAACAATGATAAAGAACTATATCCAGAATCTATACTCACTAAGGAAGAAAACCTAGCAAAAATGAATGAATTTTAAGAGAAATACAAATTGCTCATACTGAACCAAGAAGAAATAAATTTTTTAAATAACTTACAATGAGATAGAAGAAGCAATCAGAAGTCTTCCAACAAGGAAAATCCCAGGACCAGATGGATTCTATGCAATTCTATAAGACCTTAAAGGGGAACTAATACCCATACTCCTCAAGCTCTTTCGAGAAATAGAAACAGAGAGAGCAATCCTAAACTCATTCTATGAAGCCAATATCACATTCATCCCCAAACCAGGCTAAGACCCAACAAAAAAAGAGAATTACAGACCAATCTCCTTGATGAAAACAGATGCAAAGTTCCTCAAGAGAATCCAGAAACATATCAAAAAAATCATACATTATCATCAAGTAGGCTTCATCCCAGAGATGCAGGGATGGTTTAACATATGTAAATCAATAAATGTAATCCACAACATCAACAGATCCAAGGTCAAGAATCACATGATTATCTCCAGTGAGATAACATACAGCATTCATTCATGTTAAAAGCTCTGGAGAAAATAGGAATAGAAGGAACATTCAATAAAAGCCATATACGACAGAGCAATCACCAATATTATACTTTATGGGGCAAAACTATAACCAGTTCTCCTAAAAACAGAAACAAGGAAGGATGCCGACTCTCTCCACTCCTCTTCAATATAGTTCGGGAATCCTTAGAGCAATAAGGCAAGAAAAAGACATTAAAAGGATCCACATAGGGAAGGAAGAAGTTAAACTATCCCTTTTTGCAGATGACATGATATTATACCCTAATGATCCCAAAAATTCCACTCCCAAATTCTTCTTTTTTAATTTTATTTTATTGTGAAAATACCATACAGAGGGGTTACAATTACATGGGCAAGATAGTGAGTACATTTCTTATCAAGCGTTGTTGCCTCCTCCTTTGTTTCCCCTTTCACTCCCAAATTCTTAGAGCTTATAAACCACTTTGGCAAAGTAGCAAGATACAAAATTAACCTATGAAAATCAGTTGCCTTTTTAATTTTTTTTTTTTGGGTCCGGTCGTGGGGCCTGAACTCTGGGCCTGGGCGCTGTCCCTCAGCAATTCAGCTCAAGGCTAGTGCTCTACCACTTGAGTCATAGCGCCACTTCCGGCTTTTTTCTTTTTGCTTATGTGGTGCTGAGGAATGGAACCCAGGGCCTCACGCATGCAAGGCAAGCGCTCTACCACTGAGCCACCTTCCCAGCTCTGTCAGTTGCCTCTCTGTACATCAACAATGTACAAGCAGAAAGGGAAATCAAGGAAAGAACCCCATTCACAATAACCTCAAAAAAAAAAGGACCTAGGAATTAACCTAACCAAAGATGTAAAGGAATTATTTAATGAAAACTATAAAAACTTAAGAAATCATAGAGAACACCAGGAAATGGAAAGACCTTCCATGTGTTCATGGATAGGCAGAATTAATATAATGAAAATGTCCATACTGACAAAATTGATATACAAATTTAATGCAATTCCCATTAAAATCCCAATGACGTACTGAAATAGAGAAAACAATCCAAAAATTTATTCCAAAAACACGTAGAATAGCTAAAGCAATTCTAGGCAAAAGAAACAATGCAGGAGGTATCACAATATCAGATTTCAAGCTCTACCAGAGAGCCATAATAACAAAAACAGCTTGGTATTGGCCCAAAAATAGACCTAAAACCAATGGAATGGATTAGAAAATCCAAAAATAAAACCACATACTTACAGTCAGCTGATACTTGATAAAGGAGCCAAAGACATACAGTGGAAGAATCATAACTTCTGCAACTATTGGTGCTGGGAAAACTGGGCAACCACTTGCAGAAAACTAAAAGTGGACCCTAGCCTCTCACCATGCCCTAATATCAACTCAAAATGAATTAAAGACCTTAACATCAAACCTGAAACTCTGAAACTACTGCAGGACAGAGTAGGAGAAACACTTGAACTTGTAGGCACAGACAGGAACTTCCTGAACAGAGTCCCAGGGTCACAACAAATTGGAGAGACACTCGAAAAAAGGACTACCTTAAAATAAAAAGTTTCTGCACAGCTAAAGAAATAACAACGAAATTAGAAAGACAGCCAACTAATTGGGAAAAAATATTTACCAGCAATATATCAGACAAGGGTCTAATATCCATTATATACAGGGAACTCAAGAAACTAATCCCTCCTAAACTTAACAAACCAATTACTAAATGGGCAAGGGAGCTAAAGAGAGACTTCTCAGAAGAAGAAATAAAAATAGCAAATAAATATATGAGGAAATGTTCATCATCCTTGCTAATAAAGGAAATGCAAATAAAAACAACCCTGAAAAACAACCCCACATCCTAAATTCAGCCAATGACAAATGCTGGCGGGCATGTGGAGAAAGAGGAACCCTGTTGCATTGCTGGTGGGAATGTACAAATACAACCACTTTGGAAAGCAGTCTGGAGGTACCTCAGAAAGTTAATATAGACCTCCCCTATGACCCAACCATACCACTCTTAATCATCTACCTGGAGCAACATGAACCAGGATACATGGACACATGCACCTCCATGTTCATTGCAGCACTGTTCACCATAGCCAATATATGGAAACAACCCAAATGCCCCACTACAGATGAATGGATCCAAAAATTGTGGTACCTCTACACAATGGAATGTTACACAGCCATTAGAAAGGACAAAATAATGGCATTTGCAGGGAAATGGATGGAATTAGAAAAAATCATTTTGCATGAGGTAAGCCAAGAGCAAAGAGATAAACAGCACATGGTCTCCCTGATATGTGGATATCAAATCCAAAACCTAAGGAGATAGGACAAAGTAAATAGGACTCGAGAAACAAAGGACCTCCCCTCATTTTGTTATATCATTACTAAATGACCGCATGTTCTTAACCACATATATGGTATATATATATAGATATATATATATATATGCTCACATCTGAGGGAAGCTAGGAGGACACAGAAACAGAAGGAAACAAAGGAAACCATACAACAGAGGGGTCCATCAGCTGCACTGGACATTGGTTAAAACTAAGTAACTCAAGGGCAGCGATGGGAGGGAGGGAATGAGAGGGAAAGAGGGAACAGCTAACGTACATATGACAATATGGAAGAAGTAATTGTATTGTCAAAACTCATAGAATTCACAAAAGTTATAGACCATGGTAATAATTTGCCTCATGAAGGCTAGAATGTATTTGTGACTTTAACTAAGTATCACTATCTCACAACACTGTGAAACTTGTGAAATTTATGTAATCAGTCACAATAAAAAATACATATATATATATAAAAGGATGATCTATATCAGTAAACTGGAAGTTAAGCATTCTGGTTTTTCTACTGTGAAAGATAAAGAAGTCCTCCGGCATGTGAGAATTTAAGCAAATCTTCAGATGTTTCTTACTGTCCACATCCATTCACATTCTCATTTTTCCTGTCTTGTCTCTTTTCTTCCCCCACCTCTCTCCTTGCCCCTTCCCTCCCTCTCTATTCTCTCTTCCCCTCCCTCTCTCTCCGCCCTCTCCCTCCAACTCTCTCTTCCCCCTCTGACTCTCTCCCCCTCCTCTCCCTCTCTCTTTTACCTTTTCCTTTCCTCCCCTCATCTTCCCTTCTCCCTCTTCCCCTCTTTCCCTCCCCCTCTCTAACCCCTTCAGTTTGATCTCAGATACTTTCACATGCGAAGCAGGTACTTTACTACTCAGCTACATGCCATCCCCACTTTATCTCTTTAATCTTTAAAAATAGCTTCACATATTTGTGTGTGTGTGTGTGTGTGTGTGTGTCTGTCTGTCTGTCTGTCTGTCTCATCCATACTGAGTCTTGAGTCTTGAACTCAGGGTCTCTCATTCTTGCTGTACCATTTGAGCCACAACTCTACTACTGGCTTTTTTTGCTAGTTTAATTGGAGATGAAAGTCTTATGGACTTTTTCCTGGGCTGACTTTGAATTGTGATCTTTAGATTTCAGTCTCTTTAGTAACAAGGATTATAGGTATGAGCCACTAGCCCCTAGAAAGCTTTGCATATCCTTAACATTAACATGTTCTTCATACATACAACTAAATATGTGCAATGTGATCAGTCCTACAGCAAATCGCCATGTCCTAAAGACTTTGTCCCAGTGTGGTGCTGGAGTATTTGAATATTTTAACTCAAAATCCAAACATTGTTGGAAAAAGCAGGTATGTTTTTTAAAATATCTTATCTCTAGTCTTATGTTTATATGTGGAAATGTTATGTTTTTACAAGTCTAATGATAACTTTTGTGTTTTCATGAACAAATGGGGGAGTGAACCCCTGCCCCTGGGTAGCACACAGTGATTGCTTAATTGGGTCATTCTCATAACTAAAACTTTGATTTCTAATTAGACATATCTAGTTAGTGAACCATTATATCTCCATGTACCCATGGTTCCATATCTTTGAATTCAGACAACCTCAGAAAATATTCAGAGGGAAAGTTGCGTCTGAACATGGACTAAACATTTTCTTGAATTTTTTAAAAATTTATTTATTGTTGGTTATGGGGCTTGAACTCTGGGTCTGGGTGTTATCCCTGAGCTCTTCAGCAGAAAACAAGAGCTCTACCACTTGAGCCACAGTACCACTTCTGGTTTTCTGGTCGTTAATTGGAGATAAGAGTCTCATGGACTTTCCTGCCAGGGCTGGCTTTGAACCACGATCCTCAGATCTCAGCCTCCTGAGTAGTGAGGATTACAAGTGTGAGCCACTAGCATCCAGCTATTTATTTTTTTGGACTGAATGTTTATGGGGTTTTTTTGTATAAGACCAAGATTCAAACTCAGTATCTGATGTTTTCACTCATTGGCTGGTGCCAGACCTCTAACCCTATCAACATTTTTTTCTTGCCATTTTTTTTTCTTGCAATAGTTCCTGAAACACAGTATAACAACTATTTGCATAGCATTCACATTTCATTAGCTATTATAAGTCATCAAAAAGGAAAACATACGAAAGTTCTATTAGGTTCAAAAAGAATAAAAATGTGAGAGAAAGAGTATGCAAAGAGATAGCTCAACATCAGCATAGGTCTTTAAGAGAAACTTCTCTGAAGAGGAAAGAAGGATGGCCAATAGACACATGAAGAAATGCTCAACCTCCCTAGCCATAAAAGAAATGCAAATCAAAACAACATTGAGGGGCTGGGAAGGTGGCTCAGTGGTAGAGCACTTGCCTTGCATGCATGAGGCCCTGGGTTCAATTCCTCAGCACCACATAAGCAAAAAGAAAAAAGCCGGAAGTGGCGCTGTAGCTCAAGTGGTAGACCGCTAGCCTTGAGCTGAAGAGCTGAGGGACAGCACCCAGGCCCAGAGTTCAGGCCCCACGACTGGACCCAAAAATAACAACAACAACATTGAGATACCCCCTCACCCCAGTTAGAATGGCTATAATCAAGAACTCTAATAACAACAGATGCTGGAGGGGATGTGGACAGAAGGGAACCTTACTGCATTGTTGGTGGGAGTGTAAACTTGTTCAACCACTTTGGAAGGCAGTATGGAGGGTCCTCAAAAGACTCCACATAGAGCTCCCCTATGACCCAGCAATCCCACTTTTGGGCATTTACCCAAATGTTCACAAACAATACCACACTAAAGCTACCAGCACGACTATGTTTATTGCAGCCTTATTTACCATAGCTAAGATATGGAACCAACCCAGATGCCCCTCACTAGATGAATGGATCAAGAAAGTGTGGTATATATACACAATGGAATTCTATGCCTCCATCAGAAAGAATGACATTGGCCCATTTGTTAGGAAATGGAAAGACTTGGAAAAAATTATATTAAATGAAGTAAGCCAGGCCCAAAGAAACACAGGTCCCATGGTTTCCCTTATTTGCAATAACTAGTATATGTCTGAATCAAGCAGAAAAGGTCAGGTAAGTTGATGTTAGGGAAATGAATACTAAGATATGTATTCAAATGTCTTTTTCTTTAATGCTATTGTTTCTAAGATTATTTTTTTATTGCTTTGTATGTCCCTCCCCCATGGTATAACCCCTGCTTTCACTGTATTTGATGTTGGTATAATTTGTGGAGGGGAAGGGAAAAAACAAATCGTTTAAACAGGGATACAGGTAGACCCATTGCAACAATGAGATGTACAAGTCATTATGTCAAAATCGAACTTTACAACTTTGGTGGGGGCAGGGAGGAGGGTTGGGGGGGTAGGGGAGGATGGGAAGGGATGGGAAGGGGAAACAAAGGAGGAAGTTACAATGCTTGATAAGAAATGTACTCATTATCTTGCCCATGTAATGTTAACCCCTCTGTACAGTATATCCACACACACACACAAAAAAATCTGCACTCCCCCAGTTAAAGCTAGAGACTCACTGGATACTGGTGGCTCATGTCTGTAATACTAGCTACTTAGGAGGCTGAGATCTGAGGATTATGGTTCAAAGCCAGCCCATGCAGACTTTATGGGACTTCTGCCCCCAAATAAGCACCAGAAAATCAGAAATGGAGCTATGGCTCAAAGTGGTAGAGTACTAGCCTTGAGCAAAAGAGCTCAGGGACAGTGCCCAGGCTGCAAGTTCAAGCCCTACAAACAAAAACAAAAAAAGCTAGACTCTCACTCCTTGCTATCTAAAGTATTTATAGTGGGTCCAAAAGAATCCAAGAATTGTCTAGTGGACTTAGCTTGAATTTTAACTAATGGTGGGACACGGAAGTGGCACTGTGGCTCAAGATGATAGACGCCTCAAAGTGGTAGAGAGCTAGCCTTGAGTGGAAAAGCTCATGGGCAGCAGAAAGACCAAGTTCAAACCCCATAACCAAAAATATATACATTTTTTAAGCCAGATGTAGCAATACATGCCCATAATCTTAGCATTCTAGACAATAAGGTGGAAGGAGCAAGGCCAGCCAGGACTACACAGTAAGTTTAGGATCCCGTCTTTTTTTTCTGATACTAGAGCTTGAACTTGGGGCAACATGTTTACACTTGTCTTTTCACAGCTATCATTGCACCACTGGAGGCACACTTCCAGTTCCAGCTTTATGGTGATTAACTGGAGATAAGAGTTCTTACCAGCTGGGTGCTGGTGTCTCACACCTATAATCCTAGCTATTCGGAAGGCTGAGATCTGAGGATCACGGTTCAAAGCCAGCCTGGGCTTTCAGGAAAGTCTGTGAGTCTCTTATCTTCAATTAATGACCAGAAAACCAGAAGTGGTGCTGTGGCTCAAGTGGTAGAGCACTTGCCTTGAGCTGAAGAGCCAAGGGACAGCACCCAGATCCACAGTTCAAGCTCCATGACCGACAAAAACAAAACAAAACAGTTCTTACGGACTTTTCAGGCTGCCTTCAAACTGAGATCCTCAGATCCCAGCCTCTGAGTAGTTAGGTTCACAGACATGAGACACCAGTGCCTGAATAGGAAAGGAATCAGTATATGTGTGTGTATATGTGTACATGTACATACATATATGTGTGCATATATAGCTGCATATATGTATATGCACACGCATGCACATATATACATACATGTAGTCATATTGACATGTGTATTTAGATTATACATATGTAAGTGTATATCTGTTTATGAATGCATACACATTTGGAATCTCTTTAGAAAAGTACCCTGTACCAGAAATAAGAAAATCAAAGAGCCACCAAATCCCCCAAGGGATAGAATGTACACTTAACTCAAGTATAATATTGAAGGAGAAGTTGATTCCTCTTTTCTTACAGATAACAGACCAAATGATCCGCTTACGGTCCCCAAGTTGCCACTCTGTTTCCATCAAATGGCAGCAATTCAGTCCAGATAGCTCCGAGCCCCTTCAGGCCCCGGCCCATGTTCCGTCCTTGTTCCACAATGACCGGCTCCTTGTCTACGGATTCATTCCTCATTGCACACAGGTGAGAAGATGAAGTTGGTTGCATTACGGGAAGAGCAACGTGTTTGGCTGCTTCATTTGTCTTTCTTCTCCTTGCTAGCAAATCCCCTCTTCTGGGGAAAAAAAAAAAAAGTTGGGGAAGGTTTTTATTTCCATCTGTAGAGGAAAAGACATCTAAAGAATTACTGTGATGCTGGCTGTGACACTGTGGAGGCGTTTTTTTCCCGTTTCAGGCAACTCTGTGTGCATTAATTCAAGAGAAAGAATTTCGTACAATGGTGTCAACTACTGAGCTCCAGAAGACAACTGGAACTGTAAGAATAAACACTTTTAAACTATGGGCTGGGGTGAAGCTGGTTACCAGTGGCTCACACCAATAGTCCTAATTATTTAGAAGGCTGAGATCTGAGGATCTCAATTTGAAGCTAGCCGTGGCAGAAAAGTCTGTGAGACTTATCTCCCATTTACCAGCAAACAGCTGGAACTGGAGCTGTGGCTCAAGAGGTAGAACACCAGTCTTGTGTGAAAAATCCAGGCAAGATGTGGAGTGTCAGTGTCTCATGCCTGTAATCCTGACTACTCAGGAGGCTGAGATCTGAGATATGAGGATCTCAGCCTGGGCAGATAAAAGTGACTTTTATCTCCAATTAACTACCAAGAAGCCAAAAGTAGAGGTATAGTTCAAGAGGTAGAATGCTACTCTTGAGCCAAAAAGCTCAGGGACAGCACCCAGGCCCTGAGTTCAAGTCCCAGTAATGGTACATAAAAACAGGAGTGAGCCAAGTGGTGGTCCATGCAGGTCTTTAATTTGAATTTTTTTCCTTGCTGCCTAAACAAAGATGATACACAAACTGGCGGCACAAGCTCTGATCAGAGATTATGAAGATGGCATTCTCCATGACAATGAAACCGGCCACGAGGTTTGTTCTTTTCCTCCTGAAATTTATTATATGTTGCCCTAGATCTAGATTCTTTTAAAATAGGCAGATCCAGGGAAAAGTAAAGGTGGACAGATAGAGAAGACTGGTGTCAGTAACATTCACCCTTATTCTGTGACATCATCCCTGGACTGTGATGCCGTCGCTAGCATGTGAGTGCTCAGTGTCTATTATTGAATGAACAAGCAAAAGAACTGCTGTTGGCTGGGTACTGATGGCTCACATCTGTAATCCTAGCTACTCAGGAGGCTGAGTAGATCAAGGTAGATCAAGTAGATCAAGGTAGATCAAGGATCTGCTCACAAGCAGAAAAGTCTATGAGCCTCTTATCTCCATTTAGCTAGCAAAAAAGCATAAGTGAAACTGTGGCCCAAGTAGAAAAGCACCAGCCTTGAGTGCAAAAGCTAAGGGTTAGTTCGAAGTCTTTCTGAGTTCATGCTCTAGTACAGCACTGTCATACACATACACTGGTGCTAGGCACCAGTGGCTCATGCCTATAATCCTAGCTACTCAGGAGGCTGAGATCTGAGGATCAAGGTTAGAAGTGACAGTAATTGTTCTGTTTTTTTTTTCTTTTTTCAGTCGTGGGACTTGAACTCAGGGCCTAGGCACTGTCCCTGAACTTTTTCGCTTAAGGCTAGCACTCTACCAGAAGTAGCAATGTGGCTCAAAGTGGTAGAGTGCAAGCCTTGAGCGAAAAAGTTCAGAGACAGTGCCCAGGCAATTCCTCAGCTTCCCAATGGTAGCCACACTCTTTCCAGTCTCTGAGAATGACCAAGGTCCTATGTGTGAGAGCACTTAGTAAATTACCAAGAGCTGTACCTTTTATAATAGTGAAGTCAGTGGATTCCATTTCACAGGGAATGTTGATAGGGCCTAATTGCATGTTCACTTTGAAATGCTAATTACAAAATGATTACCTTGGCAGAGAAAACACCTCCTTAGATTATTTATTACCCTCTTAATTAGTCATATGTTAATTCAAGATACGCCTTCTTTTATTTTATTCTATTCTAGATGAAGAAACAAATCATGAAATCTCTGATTATTCAACTCAGTAAAGAAAATTCTCTCATAACACAGTTTACAAGTTTTGTGGCAGTTGAGAAAAGGGTATGTATTATTCGCTCAAGGCTAAACTCTTTCATTTTATATTTTCACATATGAAAGTCACTCTGGCCAGGTGCCAGTGGCTTACACCTCTAGTCCTAGCAACTCAGGAGGCTGAGATTTGAAAATCACAGTTCAAATCCAGTCCCAGCAGAAAAGTTCCCAATAAACTACTCAAAAAAGCTGAAAGTAGCTCTGTGGCTTAAGTGGTAGTATGCTAGCCTTGAATACAAAGAGGCTCGGGTACAGGGCCCAGGCCCTGAGTTCAAGCCCCAGGACCAGAAGAAAAAAAAAAGAAAAGAAAGTCACTGAGGTGGGGCTCAGTGGCTCACATCTGTAATCCCAGCTACTCAAAAGGCAGAGATAGAGAGGATTGTAATCTGAGGCCAGCCAAGGCAAAAAATTCCTAAGACACCTTTTCAACCAGTAGCTGGGTATGGTTGTATGTACCTATGATCCCAACTTCTCTTGAAGCAGTAAGTAGGAAGATGGAAATTCCTTGTCAGGTTAGCCTCAAGCAACAACTTGAGACTATACCTGAAAAATAAAGCAAAAATGGGCTGGAGGCATAGCTCAAGTGGTAGGCACCTGCCTACTCAACATGAGGCCCTGAGTTACAAACACATTACCACCAGAAAGAAAGTTTAGTCACTCGTTAGTCAGGTGTGGTAACACACACCTGTAATCTCAGCTGAAGCAGGAGGACTGAGAACTCTAAGCCAAGTTGGTATATCAAGAAAATCAATCTAAGCCGGGCGCTGGTGGCTCACGCCTGTAATCCTAGCTACTCAGGAGGCTGAGATCTGAGGATCGCGGTTCAAAGCCAGCCCGGGCAGGAGAGACCGTGAGACTCCTATCTCCAATAAACCACCAGAAAACCGGAAGTGGCGCTGTAGCTCAAGTGGTAGAGCGCTCGCCTTGAGCTGAAGAGCTGAGGGACAGCGCCCAGGCCCAGAGTTCAAGCCCCACGACTGACAAAAAAAAAAGAAAATCAATCTAAACAAAATCCAAGGTTACGTGGGTATGGTGGTAGAGGCTAGTACTCCTCTCTTCTAGGAATGGTTTCCTTGGTATCAAGATTTATTGAGATACATATGTTACCGTTTTTAATGTCATGTATATTTTTAATATGCGCTGCAATTTTGTAATGTTTTTAGCATTTGTCATCTTTTGTTAATTTAAGATATTCAAAAACTAGAAAAAAAACTTGGGTTTCTCATGCCTAAAGGACCTTTTCCCTTCTGAATGGAATAGGAAAAGCTGTGCGGAGCACTAACTAAAGCAGAGAACCCAATAAGGAAGACTGCTCATGTGGCCCCAATAATCAGGGACATATGATCTAGAGTTGCATTCAAATACTCCAAACCTAGTATCCACAAGGTTTTGGAATGTGTGATTACCATTGAATTTGATCACATCTGTGTTAAATTTAACTCAATTGTGTTTTCACTATAGGATGATAAGCAGTCACCCTTTCCTAGTAGTCCAAATATCTCCGAACTAATTGCCAAAGAAGATATAGACTTTCTGCCGTACATGATGTGGCAGGAGGATTTACCAGAGACAGCCAACACCACACAGGTAAATAGTCATTTCTTGTTTCACAATGGGGCTATGTTCTAGAAGTATGTAGTTAGTGATGACCAAGACCAGTTACTGTATGTGGCCCTGGACAGTCATGACACAATATGAATACCTCCTGCAGGATGCTGACACACTGTCTATAGTAAACTTTTTGTATGTGTATGCCGGTAACGGATCTTGAACTCCACACCTGGGCACTGTCCCTGAGCTCTTTTACTTAATGCTAGCATTCTACCACTTGATCCACAATTCCACTTCTAGCTTTTTGTAGTTAATTGAAGGTAAGAGTTTCACAGACATTTCCTGCCTGGGCTGGCTTCAAACAGCAACCCTTAGATCTCAGCCTCCTGAGTAGCCAGGTATACAGGGATGAGCCACCAATGCCTGGCTCTTAACCTTTTAGTTGAATAGCTATAATAACAATGATGATTTTGTGTTTATAAGGTGCCAGTACTGAGGGCCTGTGGTCACTGTCCTTAGCTTTTTCACTCAAGGCTGGCACTCTACTACTGGAACCACAGTTCCACTTTTGACCTTTGTTCATGATTAAATGGAAATAAGAATCTCATGGACTTTCCTGTCGAGGCTGGCATCAAAGGCACTAAGCATCCTAGGCTACAATCATTATTGTAGGCAGATGCGAAGTGGCTCACACCAGTAATCCTAACTACTGAAGAGGCTAAGATCTTAGGATTACTATTCAAAGCCAGTTCAAGCAGGCAAATCTGAGAGACTCTTATTTTCAGTTAACCAGCAAAAAGCCAGAAGTAGATCTGTTGCTCAAGTAGAGGGCAAGCCCTGAGTGAAAAAACTAAGGGAATGAGGCACTTGAGTTTAAGCCCCACTACCAGCATTGAAAAAATATCTATATATAATAATATATATATATAATATAAATATCTATATATTTATATTATACCTATATATAATATCTATATATAGATAGATAGATAGATAAAATATATATAAATATCTATATATAATAAAGGCTCTTACCTACTGTGCATGAGGCCCTGGGTTCTATCTCCAGTACTGCAAATGAGATAAATGATAAAAGTTATAGTATAGAAAAATATATAAACCCATGACACAGCTGTCTATCATTAAGTTCTCTGTACACAGCATGCATTCAATGCTTATATCACCAGCAGCACAGAAAGTCTGTTGATATGAGCATCACCACCATACTGAGTAACTCCTTGTTCTATGATATCACAGTGGCCATGATGTCACTGGGCATCTAGGAATTTTCCAACTCTATAATTTTTTGGCGGGGAGGCTTAAACTCTGGGCCTGGGCGCTGTCCCTCAGCTCTTCAGCTCAAGGCTAACACTGTACCACTTGAGCCAAAGGCCACTTCCAGTTCGCTGGTGGTTTATTGGAGATAAGAGTTTCGCGGACTTTCCTGCCCGGGCTGGCTTTGAACCATGATCCTCCGATTTCAGCCTCCTGAGTAGCTAGGATTAGAGGCATGAGCCACCGGCACCCAGCATTACCCTTATTGTTTGAACGTGCAGAAAATGCTATTCTATTAACTGACACAGCTACTAATACATAATTTAGCTATAAAGTGCAAAAAGAATAGCTGTGGTTGTGTGTTATTTTTAAATGGTAATACAGAAAACTAAAGTCATTAATATAGGTTCACCATGAAAGTATCAAATATGTATCTCTACATGTTGGGGGGGGGGCACTTTACTGGAGATCAAGCCCAGGGCAAGCATACTAGGCAAGTGTTCTCTCACTGAACTACATCTTACTACTAATATCTGTTGTTTCCTATTTATTTAATGTATGGTTTTATGTATGTGTGTGTGTTTGTGTACACATGTGCACACAGTATGTTGGTACTGGGGCTTGAACTCAAGGCTTCACACTCTTATTTAGCTTTTTCACTAAAGGCTGATTACCACTTGAACTACACTTCCAATTCTAGCCTTTTGCTGGTTAATTGGAATTAAGAATCTCAGTTTTGTCTGTCATGTTGTTTCCAACTATGATACTGAAATCCCAGCCACTTAAGTAGGTAAGACTATAGGCCTGAGCCGTGGGCATCTAACTACTTTCTTTTTTACTTTACTTTACTTTTTTTTTTTTGAGATGAAGGCCCAGGCTCAGACTAGTCTGAAACTCATGAGCCTCTTTCACACAGCCTCTAAGGTGCTTAGTTTTTCGTGTACACCATTATGCTATGAATTTCTTAATGTTGACAGTGCTTTTTACTGTGTCTTTTATAACCAAAAATGACAAAATTGAGAAATGTTGCTTGAATAAAAATTGCAAGGTACAGCAAAAACAGGCTGTGAGGTATGGTTCAAGTCATAAAGCATCAGTCTGCCAACCTCAAGGCTCTAAGTTCAAACTCCATTAAAGGTTAAAAAAACAACAACAACTAAGAGTTTGCCATTGATAAGGTACTTGTATAAAGCCCTAAGTTCAATACCTAGCCCCACAAAAATTAATTAATATTGGAATAAATATTCTAAAACAAAGAAACAAAAACAGTGCTAATAAGACTCTAGGTATAAAGTTTAAAGAAGTAAAGAATTTATAATCTAAGAGAAAATAATTGTAGGAAGAAGCCAAACACCAATGGCTCAAACCTATAATCCTAGCTACTGAGAAGGCTGGGGGTTCTAAGGTTGGTGTTTGAAGACAGCCAGGGCAGGAAAGTCTGTCCACAACACTCTTATCTCCAATACCAAACAAGCCAGAAATGGAGCTATGGCTCAAGTGGTAGAGCACTAGCCTTGAGCAAAAGAAGTTCAGGGACAGCACCCAGGCTCTGAGTTCAAGCTGTAGGACTGACAAAAAAAAAAAAAAACATAGGAAGAGAAATTTTGAGAAAATAAAATATGCCCTACTTATTTTCTTTGATCTTTTTTGTTTTGTTTTGTTTTTGGTGGTTACAAGGCTTGAACTAGGGCCTAGGCACTGTCCCTGAGTCTCTCTGCTCAAGACTCATGCTCTACCACTTTGAGCCACAGTTCTACATCCTCCTTTGATCTTTTTGGAGAAAAAAAAAATCTTACTATGTAGCCCAAATTTGGCTTCCCACTTCTGGGCCTTACAAAAATGTACCACCATTCCCAGCTTCACTGTAAAGTTACTGTGAACATGTAGCATGGGCAAGGCTCTAGGGCCGATGCTTTGTACCTAAAAGGGGGAAGGGGAAATTTTTTAAAAAGGGGAAATAATAAAAATAAGGAAAGATAGCTTAAAATATTTTATAATAGGGCTGGGAAGGTAGCTCAGTGGTAGAATGCTTGCCTTGCATGCATGAGGCCCTGGGTTTGATTCCTCAGCACCACATAAGCAGAAAAAGCCGGAAGTGGCGCTGTGGCTCAAGTGGTAGAGCTCTAGCCTTGAGCTGAAGAGCTGAGGGACAGTGCCCAGGCCCAGAGTTCAGGCCCCATGACTGGCAAAAAAAAATTATATATATATATATATATATATATATATATATATTATAATATAAGCTGGATGCCTGTAATCCTAGCTACTTAGAAGTCAAAGCCCACTCAGGAAGGGAAGTCCATGAGACACTTATCTCCCATTAACTCCAAAAAGAAAAAGAAAAAGAAAAGGTGGAAGTAGAGCTGTAGCAAAGCAATTTAGAGTGTTTTCCTTGAGCAAAAAAGCTAAGAGACAGTACCTAGGCCATGATTTCAAGCCCCAGTACCAGCACACACACACACACACACACACACACACACACACACACACACACACACAATTTTAATATATTAGATAGCATTTGATTTACTCATAAAATCCTATTTTCTGAGTTTTGAGATAGTAAATAACAACAAAAAGAAACAAGCCAGGCCCTGGTGAATCAAACCTGTAACCCAAGGTACTAAGGAGGCTGAGATCTGAGGATCAAGTTTCAAAGCCAGCCTAGGCAGAGAGATCTGTGCGATTTATTCCCAATTCACCACCAAAATTCACCACTTCTAGCTGGAAGAAAATATATTTTCTTAACCCTTCACATTGTAATTGTGTTTTATTTATACTTGCTTTTAAATTAGTGACTATAAAAGGGATTAATGACAGAAAAAAAGGGATTAATGAAAGTTGGGCATTAGTCACTTATGCCCTACCTACTCAGGAGGCTGAGATCTGAGGATTGCAGTTTGATGCCATCTCAGACAGAAAAGTCTCTGTGAGATTCTTATCTTCAATTAGCCACTCTAAAACCAGAAGTGGTGGCTGTGCCTCAAAATGGTAGAGGGCTAGCCTTGAACAAAAAGCTCAGTGACAACACCAAAGCCCCGAGTTCGAGAACCATGATTGTCAAAAAAAAAAAAGAAAGGGATTAATGACCTTGGGATGGTAACACGTGTATTGTAGTCATAGCTACTTGGGAGGGTGAAGCAGGAGTTTTATTTGAGCCTATAAACTCAAAACTAGATTGAGCAATCCCATCCAAAAAAGAAAAGACAGAAAAGGAAGGAAGGAAGGAAGGAAGGAAGGAAGGAAGGAAGGAAGGAAGGAAGGAAGGAGGGAAGGAGGGAAGGAGGGAGGGAAGGAAGGAAGGAAAGAAGGAAAGAAGGAAGGAAGGAAGGAAGGAAGGAGGGAAGGAGGGAAGGAGGGAAGGAGGGAGGGAAGGAAGGAAGGAAAGAAGGAAAGAAGGAAGGAAGGAAGACAGGCAGGCAAGAGGGAGGGAGGGAGGAAAGGAGGGGAAGGAAGGAAAGAAGGAAGGAAATAACAAACAAGAGGGGATTTACATGTGGGAGGTACTGGGTTCAATCCCCAGTACCAAAAATCAAATGAATGAATGAGTGGATGAATGAAAACCTGGGTGATGGTGATAACTTGGGAAAACCATGCTTGTACTGTGTTCACATCCTCCTGTTGTTAAAGCTGCTGGAGGAGCAACCACCACAAATCCAGCTATCATGTCCTGAGCCAAAATATAAATGAACCAAAGCTATACTGAAAAGCTAAGCTAATATCCAGGTGATCTTTAAATGGCATTTCCAAAAACCTAAAAAGATTTAGATACCTGAGAAACAAAATCTGGAAACAAAAAGATGCACTTGGAAAAAAATATATTCACAAAAGAAACATAATTTTTGTCCCTGAGTTACTAAGAAAATGGCCAATAATACAAAAGAAAAGCAGTCAAACACTTGGATAATATTTAAGGAAATATGAGGGTTCTTAAATATATCTCATGTTACTAATAGATATGTAATTTTAACCTACCATAAAAATTCATTTTTAAGAATCTGGCTGCAGGTTGAGGTGGCTCATATCTTTAATTCTAGCTTCTCAGGAGGCTAAGAGCAAGAGGATCATTCAAAAACAACCTGGGAAGAAAATCCCATGAATAACAGGCCTAAAATAACCAGCAAAAAATGAGGCTGGAGGTATGGCTCATTAGTAGCACACCAGCCATGAACGAAAAAGCCAAGCAAGAGCTTCAGGCCTTGAGTTCAAACCCCTGGTACTAGGGAATTAAAAAATCTCCCAAGTTGAATGCCAGGGACCGTGCTTAAGCCCGTAATTCTAGCCTCCACTGGCCTCTGTGTGACCTGAGATGGGCACAATAACAGGTCAAGCAGCAGAAATCTGAAATGCTATACAAATCTTTTTTCAAAGCCTACAAATGGATAATTCCATACTGACCTCATGTGACAAATTAGACACACTAAAAACATTTTCTAAAATATATACCTTACACCACCTTGAGTCAGCAAAATAAGCGAAGCAATAGCACAAGGTCCTGAGTTCAAGTTTCAGTACAGCAAAGAAAAAGATTTGTCAGGAGCTGGTGGTTCATGCCCATAATCCTAGCTACTCAAGAAGCTGAGATCTGAGGATCATGGTTTGAAGCCAGCCCAGGCAAAAAAGCTCATGAGACTTTTATCTTCAATTAACTACCAAAAAAGCCAGAAGTGAAACTGTGGCTCAAGTGGTAAAGCACCAGCCTTGAGCAAAATGAGCCAAGTAATAGCATAAATCCTTGAGTTCAATCCCCAGAACCAACACACAAACAATAATAAAATAACATATCTGCCTTATACCATATATACCAGGTATATATGAAACATAAATGAATTGTGTTTACACTTGCAGCCACAACCCAAGATAGCTTATTTTATAGGTGTAAATATTCCAAAATCAGGGGTAAAATCCACAGTCCTAAGCATTTCAGGTAAGAGACCTTCAACCTATTGCAAGGTTGCTGAAAGAGCTCAGGAGCCATTCCCATGTGTTTGCCTTGTGGCAGCTGTTCTCTAAAATGGTACTTTCTATTCCAAGCAGAGAGAACAGTAGCATGGGAGCCTAGTGTCTGTGTAGCCAGTAACAAGAATGAGGCAGCTTGCATACATGGAGATAGAAAGGCACCCTAAGACAAAGTGAACAAGGAGAGCAGGGTACTAACATGCTCCTGTCTGTGTAAAAAGAAGAGGATGGCCAGGCACTCAGTGGTGGCTCATGCCTGTAATTGTAGCTTCTAAGGATCAAGTGAATCACAGAACAAGCCAAAAGTGAAGCTGTGTCTAAGTGGTAGAGCACTAACCTTGAGCACAAAAAGTCAGGGACAGTGCTCTGGCCCTGAGTGCAAGCCCCAGGACTAGAAAAATGGGAGGGGAGAGGATGTAGATGTGCTTATTGGTTCACTTCCTTATTTTTACTGTTCGTGTGTGTGTGTGTGTGTGTGTGTGTGTGTGTGTGTGTGTGTGTGTGTGTGTGTATGTGTGTGTGTGTGTGTGTGTGTGTGTGTGTATTGTGCTGGGGATTGACCCACAGGGCCTTGTACACGATCGGTACTCTACTACTACGTTACAGTGCCCAGCCTCTAGAAAGAACTTACTACCTCTAGAGTAGGTAGTAAGTGAGGAGCTTAGGGGTGGTGGTTCTAGGACCATATTCTCCTTGGGATGTTTTGAATTTTGTGTCACTGGGATGGCAAGGGCTTGTGAAGATTTTCTTTAGATATTGCTCTGCTCATGAGTTTGTCCTGGGTCCTGGACTTTAGTCACAGAGTAAAATTTTCAGGATAATGCTAGATAGATACTGATGGCTCATGCCTATAATCCTAGTTATTCAAGAAGCTGAGATCTAAGATTCATGGTTCAAAGCTAACCTGTGTAGAAAAGTTTGTGACACTCTTGTCTCCGACAAACCAGTGAAATGCCAAAAGTGGAGAAATTGTTTAAATGATAGAATACCAGCCTGGAGTGGAAAATGCTAAGCAAGAGTATGGAGCCTTGAGTTTAAGCCCCAGTACAGGTACCAATAAATAAATAAGCAAATAAATAAAGACAAGCTGCAATTTAAAAAAAAATAGACAAAACAAAACCCAGACAGAGCTTCACTGAGCAAACAAGCAGAAGACAAAGACAGGTTTTGGGGTTTTTTTTGTCGGTTGTGGGGCTTGAATTCTGGGCTTGGGCGTTGTCCCTGAGCTCTTCAGATCAAGGTGAGTGCTCTACCACTTGAGCCACAGCACCACTTCCGTTTTTCTAGTGGTTTATTGGAGATGGTTTTCTAGTGGTTTATTGGAGATAAGAGTCTCATGGAGTTTCCTGTTCGGGTTGGCTTTGAACCGTGATCCTCAGATCTCAGCCTCCTGAGTAGCTAGGATTACAAGTGTGAGCCACCAGCGCCTGGCCAAAGACAGATCTTATAAATACATTACAAATGACGAGCATACACTACCATACCCAGCCATTAGTTAAGATGAAGTCTCATGAACCCAATTTTTTTCCTAAGCTGGTAGTGAACCACAATCCCCCAATCTCTGCCTCCTAAATAGCTAGGATAACAGGCTTGAGCCAAAGCACCTGGCTCCTTTAAATAAACAAAAATAAAAAACCCTTCAATGTTGAAGCTTACTGAATGAGTGTAAGACTTAAAGCAAAAGATGTAGTGCCTATGTGCTTTTTGTTTTTTCATTTTTAGTTTTATTTTGAAGTCATTGTACAGAGAGGTTTTGATTCAACAAGTCAGATTATGACTGCAATGCATCTTAAGTTTATGTGCTTTGAAGTACAATACTGCTCTATAAATTCCTGGTTGCTCTTTCCCATGCCTCACTTTCCCTGATTTGTCCTTCACAGATTACCTGTTCACTAGGAGTACAGCAAGATGGAGACATGGATGGCACCAGCTTACTTCAGGTATACCACCATTAAACACACTAATAGATCATGAACTTGAAGGGAAAGAAAAATATATGTATTTGCCAGTTTGCTGTTTGTGTTTTTGTCTATTCGTTCCATTAGTTGTTTTGATGTTTGTTTGTTTGTTTGTTTGTCGGTTGTGGACCTGAACTCTGGGCCTAGGCGCTGTCTCTTAGCAATTCAGCTCAAGGCAAGCGCTCTACCGCTTGAGCCACAGCGCCACTTCTGGCTTTTTCTGTTTATGTGGTGCTGAGGAATCGAACCCAGGGCCTCATGCATGCAAGGCAAGCACTCTACCACTGAGCCACCTTCTCAGCCCTTTCTTTGTTTTTTTTTGAGACATAGTCTTGCTACATAGTCCAAGCTATCACGGGACTGACAATCCTCCTACTGTACACTCTCAAGTGCTAAGATAACAGACTTAGGTCACCAGGCCTCATGCTGCACTGTCATTTATATGTTAACCTTGTTGATGATTTTTTTGTCATGTAGACTTCTGCATTGTGATCCTCCAGCCTCAATCTCCCAAATAGCTGGAACTATCTTGAGAGCTCAATGTGCCTACAACAGTTTTTAATCTTTGGATTTCTGGATTATTTTTTTTTTTCTGCATGAGTAGCTGCATTACATTTAAGTTTAGAAAGGACCAGATGAATTTCTTTGTTGTTGTTGTTGGTGGTGGTGGTGGTCGTCGTCGTGGGACTTGAACTCTGGGCCTGGGCGCTGTCCCTGAGCTCTACCACTTGAGTCACAGTGCCACTTCCGGTTTTCTGAGGGTTTATTGGAGATAAGACTCTCATGGATTTTCTTGTCCCGGCTGGCTTTGAAAGCAATCCTCAGTGGGGCACTTTTTTTTTTTTTAACTCAAGGCCTGGAACTTTTTTAGCTGGCTTGAGCCATTCTTTCAGGCTGGCTTTTAGCTACTTTTTTTGAGAAAGAATCTCACAAACTGCTGCCTAGCTAGTCTTGAACCATGAGCCTCTAGATCTCAGCCTCCTGAGTAGGTACAATGACAGGCATGAGGTACCAATACCCAGCTAAAAGATTTTTTTATTAGTATATACTATTTTTGAACAAGGAGATGTAATTTATTATTGTATGTATATGGAAATATCCCTCTCTCTTTTTCTTGTCCCCTTTCTTCCATTTTTAAAACAGTTTCATTATGTGCCTATAGAGTACTTTACACATTCAGCCTTCTTTGCCCTCTCCCTTAGCCCTCCTGCCGCCTGCTGCTACCCATTCCATCATATATGTTCTTTCCTGTGATTTTTTTAAACAAATGTTAATTATACAAAGGGTTTCACCATAATGACTTACATATGTAAGCAGCTTTGTACATACCGAGATGTGTACATATATTATTATTATTTGGCTACCTTAGCCAAATTTTTTTTTTCTTTCTTTCTTTTTTTTTTTTTTTGCTGGTCATGGGGCCTAAACTCTGGCCCTGGGTACTGTCCCTCAGCTCTGCAGTCTTCAGCCCTACCACGTGAGCCACAAGGCCACTTCCAGCTTTTTCTGCTTATGTGGTGCTGAAGAATCGAACCCAACGCCTCATGCATGCAAGACAAGCGCTCTACCACTGAGCCACCTTCCCAGCCCTCTTTCTTTTTTGTACTAGTATGGGGGTTTGAACTCAAGATCTAACTCCTTGCTTAATTTTTGTTGTTTTTGTTTTGGTACTGGTCCCAGAGGTTAAACTGGGCCTGAGTGCTGTCCCAGGGCTTTTTTGTTCCAGGCTGATGCTGTACCACTTGAGCCACAGTTCCACTTAAGCTTTTTGGCAGTTAATTGGTGATAAGAGGCTCGTGGGCTTTTCTGCCCAGGCCAGGCTGGCTTCAAACTGTGATCCTCTTACCTCACCTTTCAGAGTATCTAGAATTACAGGCATGAGCCACTAGCACCCAGCTTTGTTTAGCTTTTTTTTTTTTTCAAGGCTGATATACTACCTCTTGAGCCATACTTCTACTTCTAGCTTTTTGTCGGTTATCTCCGAGATTAAACCTCGAACTTATTAGATCTCAGCCTCCAGATTAGCTAAGATTCCAGGTACCCTATTTTTTAATTTTATCTTTTGCTGAAATATTATGAGACAAAAAAATTGACACCACACAATGGCTCTTATTTTCTTTTCTTCTTTGTGAGTGTGTGTGGTGTACATGTGTGTGAGTCAGTACTTGAGCTTGAACTTAGGCCCTCCACTCTTACTTGGCTTTTTCACCGAAGACTCCAGCACTTGAGCCACACCTCCATTTCCTACTGCTGGTTAATTGGGGATAAGAGTCTCATGGACTTTTCCCAGTTGGCTTTGAACTGTGATACTCAGATTTCACTCCCCTAAGTAGTTAGAATTACCGGTGTAAGCCACCAGCACCTGGCCCTTATTTTCTTATTGTCACTCTTTCCTTTCCTGGCACTGCAAAGAAAGAAAGAAGAAAATGAAGGTATTTTGCTTAAATGATTTCGAATACTTCAGATATTGTTTTCCTTCCTTCTTTCTTTCCTTCCCTTCTTCCCTCCTTCTTCCTTCCTTTACTGGTACTATGTCTAGAACTCAGGGCCTTGCACTCTGGTTTGACTGTTTTGCTCTAGGCTAGCATTCTACCTCTTGAGCCACACCTCTATTTCTGGCTTTCTGCTAGTGATTTGGAGATAAGAGCTCACAGACTTTTCTCCTTGAGCTGGTTTTGAACCTCCATACTCAGCTCTCAGGATTACAGGTGTGAGATATCCGTTCCCGGCTTCCCCCCACCCCTAGTACTAGTGAACTCAGGTCCTGCCACTAGGTACTATTAGGCAAGCATCTACATTTGAGCTGTGTGCCCCAAGCCTTGAAGTCTGTGCTGAGACAGTATAACAGGAAAAAGCAAGGGACTTGAGACACAGGAATACAAAACTAAACATTGCACTAATGCATGGCCTGAATAGAAATGCACAAATACCATTCATGGAAACTGTACCTCCTTCAACCAGTGGCTCACACCTAGCTACTCAGGAGGCTGACATCTGAGGATTGCAGTTCAAAGCCAGCCCGGGCAGGAAACTCCGTGAGACTCTTATCTCCAATAAACCACTAGAAAACTGGAAGTGGCGCTGTGGCTCAAGCGGTAGAGCGCTGACCTTGAGCTGAAGAGCACAGGGACAGCACTCAAGCCCAGAGTTCAAGCCCTATGACGGACCAAAAAAAAAAAAAAAGTCAAAGCCGGGCACTGGTGGCTCATGCCTGTAATCCTAGCTACTCAGGAGGCTGAGATCTGAGGATCGCGGTTCAAAGCCAGCCCTGGCAGGAGAGACCGTGAGACTCCTATCTCCAATAAACCACCAGAAAACCAGAAGTGGCGCTGTAGCTCAAGTGGTAGAGCGCTCGCCTTGAGCTGAAGAGCTGAGGGACAGCGCCCAGGCCCAGAGTTCAAGCCCCATGACCGACACAAAAAAAAAAAAAAAAGTCAGGCAATAGATTGGGCTGGAAAGGTGGCTCCGTGGTAGAGTGCTTGCCTTGTATGCATGAGGCCCTAGGTTCAATTCCTCAACACCACATAAGCAGAAAAAGCCAGAAGTGGTGCTGTGGCTTAAGTGGTAGAGTGCTAGCCTTAAGCTGAAGCGCTCAGGGACAGCACCCAGGCCTAGAGTTCAGGCCCCATGACGACAAAAAAAAAATAATAAAAAGACAAAATCAGGCATATAAAGAAGACCTTCTTCCCCACCTTTGTCCTTTATTCAGGTAATCATTATGCCCTGAGGTTCAAGCAATATGCCTTTAGAAAAGTCTACTTTTCAGGTGAAGAGTGACTGTTACAAATCTTTTTTTAAATTTATTTATTTTTGTTAGACAGGGGGCTTGAGGGCACCTGTCTCTGAGCTTTTCTGCTCAAGACTACTTTTCTGCTCAAGACTGCTCTACCACTTTGAGCCATAGCTCTACTTCCAGTTTTCTAAAGGTTAATTGTAGGTTAAAGTCTCCAGCCTGCCTTTCAACCATGATCCTCAGATCTCAGTCTTCTGAGTAGTTAGGATTACAGACATGAGTCACCAGCACCTGGCTGTTTACAAACCCTAAGAAGCAGAAATCAGTGTCAAAAGAATTATCTTCTTAGACTTCAGAACTCTCTTGTATCTGAAGTAATGGAATGTATAACAATGCCTAGAATAAAAGTCCCAAGCTTACGCTAAAGGATTTGTAACAGAACCCCATGCCCATCCCACTCAGTTGCCCTAGTATTCACACCTTACCAGAACAGCTCATTTGCTGGTTGAGCATGCCTTGCCAAAACAGCACAGCCGAATACTTCTCCACTTGTGTCTTGACCCACTATTCGTCCTGAAATTCTTTTTTTTGTTGTTTGTCTTAAAACTGGAACTTGAACTCAGAGCTTTGTGCTCTTGCATGGCTTTTCTGCTCAAGACTGGCATTCTACCACTTGAGCCACACCTCCACCTCCAGCTTTCTGCCAGTTGCTTTTCTGCCAGCAGTTGGCTTCAAACCTTGAGTAGCTTGGATTATAGGTGTGAGCCACAGACATGCTCTGCTTAAAATTTTTATTCTGCAGTCAGAGACAGGAATCTAAGAACTGAGTTAAGGGGCACCCCCATTTTTCGCTTCTTCCTGAGGGACCTCCTCACCCTCCCTTGACCTTCCCACTGATGGTGTTCCTGACTGGGCAGCACGCTGTGCAGTGACAGAGCACCACACTGGGCAGTGACTGGGCAGTGACTGACAACTGGGAAGAATATCTGCTTGTTCAGCTTGTTCTGTTTCCCCTTTACACAGTTTTTCTTTCTGTGCAGCCTCACTCCCCATCCTCCAAATGGAATAAAGAACTGGAACTTACACATTCATTGAAAGGAAGAAAAAAGAAGTTATGTATGCTGAAAGCTTCTGATGATGTTGAAGTTTGCTTAGATTCTCAGCCAGCATTCCAGCCTTGCTCATTGACTCTTTGCCTGGAAGAGGAGGACGACTCATTGGATTTGAGCCAGATAGGTTCCATGAAACAAGCAAGAGCTGAACCACTGTCAGGGACACCACTTTCCTCCTTTTGGGCTTCTGAAACCCAAGCTTCACTCCCTTCTCTCTCTCCTTTCCCCCCTACTCCCAGCCAGGCTCTCCCCACTGTATATGGCAACACCAGCATTGCCCTGCAGTCAGCTCTTCCAAGCCCATCTCTAGGTTTGGAATCGGGCACTGCTGTCAGTACGTTTTCAGGTGATTCGTTTAATGCCAAGAAGTTGGAACAAAAGATAGTTTATCACACCCTTAAGAAAAGACTCATGGCCCCTAAGCTGGCTTCTCAGCCAATGCTTTCTTCTCCTCCCAGAATTCCTGTTTCCTACTCTGCTTTTTCTGTTGGTCCTGCCCAATGTGGCTTTTCTTTTCAGGCTCAAAATCGCCTAGTCCTTGATGCTGCCTACAGCACAGACTTGAAAAATCTGCATGGGCAATCGTCCTTATTCTCTCATTCTGCCCAGGAAGACTCTGGGCTTAATGCAGGACAGGAGGGAATACCAGAAGTGTCCTACGCACCGAGGACTTTACGCAGGGCCAGCCTGGGGCCTGGAAGTGGCCGTCGAAGATGTGGGCCCTGGTCTGCCCTCTTCCAACTACAAACAGAGGTACTTACTTTATGTCACAATTGGTCGTGTGTGTGTGTGTGTGTGTGTGTGTGTGTGTGTGTGTGTGTGCTGGTACTAGGGCTTAAACTCAGGACCTGACACTCTCCCTCAAGGCTGGCCTTCTCCCACTTGAGCCACTTCAACTTTTTGGTAGTTCATTGGAAATAAGAGTCTCATAGACTTTCCTGCCTAGGCTGGCTTCAAACTGCAATCTTTAGGTCTTAGCCTATTGAGTAGACAGGATTCCAGGTGAGAGCAACTGGTGCCCAGCTATGGTCTTGAGATTTAAACAGCACACTAAACAACCACTCTGCTTCCCACTCACACAGTACCTATGAGAGCTTGTAAGAAGTGGCACTGCCCATAGTTGTCCAGAGAGAGGGTGGATGCTATAGCCACACTACTGGGGTTTCAGTCCTAGCTCTACTATGTGTTAGATGTGTGACTCTGGACAAGTTTTTAACCTTTCTGGGCCTCAGTTACTTCATCTGCAATGGGTATAATAATGCTACCTCCATAAGAAGTAGCTACAAAGATAAAAGCCCAGCACCTGGCACTGGTTCTATATGGGTTGACATATCACTGCTATTATTTTTCAAATTATTACCAGAGATTCTTTTTTAAAATTTCTTCCTATTTATTTTATTTATTTAATCTTTTTTGCAAGTTCTGGGGGCTTGAACTTAGGGCTTGGAAACTGTCCTTGAGCTTCTTTTACTCAAGGCTAGCACACTACCACTTGAGCCACAGTGCCACTTCTGCCCTTTTCTGTTTATGTGGTACTGAGGAATCGAACCCAGGGCTTCATGCATATTAGGCAGGCATGTACCACTAGGCCACATTCCCAGCCCTTACCATAGATCCTTTAAGCTACCTACTTGACTATGACAGTACCCACTTTGCTGTTCCCTACATTAGTCACCCTAAGGCACGAAGTCTTTGTCCTTCATGGCTAGGATGCCTCTGTTCAGGATTGCCACACTCTCATATGCCTGCTATGGAATGAATAGAGGACTGAGACCACAAAGATATTAGTTTTTTTGTTTTTCCTCTTTTTTTTGTCAGTAGTGGGGCTTGAGCTCAGGGCCTAGATGCTATCCCTGAGCTCTTTTGCTCAAGGCTAGCACTTTGCCACTTTGAGCTATCCATAGCTCTACTTCCTTGTTTTTCCTCGCCATGTGTTCCATGGTGGCCTGGAACTCACTATACAGTACAAGCTGACTTCAAACTGTGATCCTCTTGGACATGTGTAAGGTCCACTCCTAGATGGCGAGCAGACTCCGCCCTCCTCGCAGCCAAGTCTCCGCCCAGTACCTGCATTACCTGGCACACCTCAGAATCCACTGAGGTCACATCTATACCTTTCTCCCACCTGGTCCCCACTCCCTTTATTTGGCCACACCTTCCCCTCCCCAGATAAGGCCTAGCCCAGGGCCAGACACCCTCTTCCCAGCCACATGGGGTGCCATCCTGGCCTGGTACCAGCCAGATCGATGAATAAACCTACCCCTTACCTGAATACCACGTGCCTGGCATTGTTTTTACTTGGCTTCCTCTTTAAAAACCTAAAAGCATGAACTGGGAAGGTGGTTCAGTGGTAGAGGGCTTGCCTTGCATGCCTGAGGCCCTGGGTTCGATTCCTCAGCACCGCATAAGCAAAAAGAAAAAAGCCGGAAGTGGCGCTATGGCTCAAGTGGTAGAGTGCTAGCCTTGAGCTGAGGGACAGTGCCCAGGCCCAGAGTTCAGGCCCCACGACCAGACCGGGAAAACAGACAAACAAACAAACAAAACCTAACAACATGTACCACCATGCCTGGTAGGAAGGTAATTATAAAGGGTATCTTCAACATACCAGTTTTTGATTTAGAAAAAAAAATCTATTTTAAACTACATAAAGAGCCGGGCGCTGGTGGCTCACGCCTGTAATCCTAGCTACTCAGGAGGCTGAGATCTGAGAATCGCGGTTCAAAGCCAGCCCGGGCAGGAAAGACCGTGAGACTCCTATCTCCAATAAACCACCAGGAAACCGGAAGTGGTGCTGTAGCTCAAGTGGTAGAGCGCTCACCTTGAGCTGAAGAGCTGAGGGACAGCGCCCAGGCCCAGAGTTCAAGCCCCACGACCGACCAAAAAAAAAAAAAAAAAAAAACTACATAAAGTACTTCAATGTTGGGGGGAAAACGGGAGGGGATGGAGAGAGATGGGGGAGAATTATGAAAGGGGTGACATTGATTAAGATGCATTAAACTCATAAACTAGCATGCTCAATTGAAATCTCTTTGTCCAACTACTTAAAGACAATAAAAAGAATTTAAGAAGAAAAAATGAACCATGAAGCCAGGAACTCATGGCTCACCCTATAATCCTAACTACTCAGGAGGCTGAGATCTGAGGATTGTGGTTCAAAGCCAGGAGGCTGAGATCTAAGGATTGTGGTTCAAAGCCAGCCTGAGCAGCAAAGTCCATGTACTCTTTTTTTTTTTTTTTTGGGGGGGGGTGGGGGTCCGGTCATGGGGCCTGAACGCTGGGCCTGGGCACTGTCCCTCAGCTCTTCAGCTCAAGGCTAGCGCTCTACCACTTGAGCCACAGCGCCACTTCCGGCTTTTTTCTTTTTGCTTATGTGGTGCTGAGGAATCGAACCCAGGGCCTCATGCATGCAAGGCAAGCACTCTACCACTGAGCCACCTTCCCAGCCCCGTCCAGCCCCCACAACAACAACAACAAAATAAATAAATAAACCCAGGAATCATGCTGGGGAAATACTGTAGGAGATAGATGCTAGGACACAGATACTATGGTTAGCAATATAGTTTCACGTTTAAATTTTTTCTTTTTTCTTCTTTTTTTTTTTTTGTTAGTCGTGGGACTTGAACTCTGGGTTTGGGTACTGTCCCTGGGCTCTTCAGCTCAAGGCTAGCACTCTACCACTTGAGCCACAGGGCCACTTCCAGTTTTGTGGTAGTTAATTGGAGATAAGAGTCTCTCAGACTTTCCTGCCCAGGCTGGCTTTGAGCCACAATCCTCAGATATCAGCCTCCTGAGTGTTAGGTTTTTAAAAAGAGGTAGCGGAGTAAGAACAGCACCAGCACGCACGTGGTATTCAGGTAAGGGGTGGGTTTATTCAGTAGACCTGCTGGGACCAGGCAAGGTTGGCACTCCACGTGGCTGGGAAAGGCCTGGGAATGAGAGAGAGCTGGGAAAGAGAGGAAAGAGCTAAAAAAGAGCAGAGAGAGGGGTAAGAACAGTAGCACTCACGTGGTATTCAGGTAAGGGGTAGGTTTATCCAGTAGACCTGCTGGGACCAGGCAAGGTTGGCACTCCACGTGGCTGGGAAAGAGAGAGGAAAGAGCTAGAGCAGAGAGAGAGCTAGAAAAGAAGAGCAAGAGAGCGTCTGAGCCTGGGCTAGGCCTTATGTACGGTATGGGCGGGGAAAGTTGTGGCCACATCAAATTCAGATGTGACCTCAGCAGATGCAGATGTGACCTCTTCCAGGTGTCCCAGTTGCCTAGGTAACGCAGGTAATGGGTGGAGACTTTGCTGCGAGGAGGGTGGGGTCTACTAGCCATCCAGGAGCGGACCTTACACTGAGTAGCTAGGATTTGGCTACATTTAAAATTTTTCTAAGAGGGGCTGGGAAGGTGGCTCAGTGGTAGAGTGCTTGCCTTACATGCATGAGGCCCTGGGTTCGATTCCTCAGCACCACATAAGCAAAAAGAAAAAAGCTGGAAGTGGCATTGTGGCTCAAGTGGTAGAGCGCTAGCCTTGAGCTGAAGAGCTGAGGGACAGCGCCCAGGCCCAGAGTTCAGGCCCCATGACCGGACCCAAAAAAAAAAAAAAGAAAAAAAAATTTTTTTTCTAAGAGAAGGCTAAGATAGATTGAGTACATGTCTAGCATATTCAAGGCTCTGGGTTCTGTCCCTAGCATAGCCAAAAAGCCAAATAAAAATACGAATACCTCTTGTATTAAAATAGGATTACCTCTTTCCATAAAAGAAAACAAACCAGGTGCCAGTGGCACATACCTGTAATCCTAGCTACTCAGAGTTTGAGATCTGAAGATCAAAATTAAAAACCAACTGGAACAGGAAAATCTGCGAGAGACTTATCTCTAATTAGCTACCAAAAAGCTGGAAATGGAGCTGTAGCTCAAAATGGTAGAGTGCTTGAGCACAAAAGCTCAGGAACAGTACCCAGGTCCTGAGTTCAAGCCCCAGGACTGGCACACACACAAAAAAAGAAAAAGCAATAGCAACAATTTCCCAAATTGGTAGTTTCATGGGTATGAACCCCAAATTCATCATATTATATTAAATGCTGTAGCTTTTAATAAGTTTATCATACTTCAAAAAAGTATTTTTAAGAAACAGAATCAGGCAGGGAAGGTGGCTTAGTGGTAGAGTGCTTGCTTTTCATACATGAGGCCCTGGGTTCCATTCCTCAGAACCACATAAGCAGAAAAAGTCAGAAGTGGCGCTGTGGCTCAGGTGGTAGAATGCTAGCCTTGAACTGAAGAGCTGAGGGACAGAGCCCAGCCTAAAGTCCAGGCCCCACAACTGACAAAAAAAAAAAAAAAAAAGAAACAGAATCATGGTTGCATGCCAGTGGACCATGCCTATAAGGCTAAAAGACTGAAGATTGCAGTTTGAAACCAGCCTGGGCAAACAAATCTGAGAAACCAGCAACAGTTAACCAGCAACAACCAGAAATAGAGATGTGATTCAAGTAGTGGAGTGCCAGACTTAAGAGAAAAAGTTAAAGTAAGGTCCTGAGTTCAAGCCCCAGTACCAGCACAAACATTGGTTCAAAGCACTACTAAAAGAAGCTCATAGTTGGGCTTGGAATGTGCCTTAGTGGTTTAGTGCTTGCCTAGCATGCATGAAGCCCTGAGTTCGATTCCTCAATACCACATAAACAGAAAAGGCCAGAAGTAGCACTATGGCTCAAGTGGTAGTGTTAGCCTTGAGCAAATGAAGCTCAGGGACAGTGCCCAGGCCCTAAATTCAAGCCTCAGGACTGGCAAAAACAAGAAGGAGACAGAGAAGAAAGAAGAAGCTCATAGTGTATATTTAAAATGCTATTTGGGAACCTCACTCCAGACTTTTTATAAATGGAGCCAGGTAGCTAAGGTCCATAGAATTTAAGAAATTCCAAAACAGTAACCCCTCTGTATAACACCTTAATAATAACAAATTTTTTAAAAAAATTCCAGCCAGGTGGGAGTGGCTCACACTTGTAATCCTAGCTACTCAAGAGGCTGAGAGCTGAAGATCACAGTTCAAAGCCAGCCCAGGCAGGAAAGTCCATGAGACTCTTATCTCCAATTAAACACAAGAAAACCGGAAGTGGCACTGAAGCTCAAATGGTAGAACGCTTGCCCGGAGCTGAAGAGCTGAGGGACAGCGCCCAGGCCAAATTCAAGCCCCACAACCGACAAAAACAAAAAAAATCCAATTTCCACAAATGAAGAGCTTTAATGTTATCATAATAAAAATTTCAGAAATCTAGGCCTGGTCATGTGGCTCAAGTATAGAGCCTATGCCTCCATTCTACTATCAAATTCCAGTACCAAAAATCGGAAACTTAATGAACTGAATTGTAATATATATATCTGAACTTAATATTTTGTATTATATAACATCACATTACTTCTCTAGAGTGAAATTCTTATTTAATGACTGAAATTTGTTTTCTTAACTTCATAGGATGGTTATTGGAAACTCACACCAGAACTAGGACTTATATTAAATCTTAATACAAATATATTACACAACTATCTTGAAGAAAAAGGAATTCAATCTCTAGGTAAGTCAATGTTTTCATTTAAAGGTATGGCCTTAATTTTAATAAATTATTTAAAACTAGTATATTCATCTAATATTTGTGGAAGTTATATATAAATAGGATTATATTGTGAACATTGAAGAAAATAGGAGACTTGTTTGTTATCTTATTTATTAGGTAGGGTAAAGTACAAATTTATTAGTATATGTGGTACTATTATAGAAAAGAAACCCCAAATCTTAGCTGAACACAACCAGAGATTACTTCCCTACCCACATCACAGATAATAATGGTTATCAGGGAAGTTACACTGTGCATAGAGCCTGTCACCTTCCAGTGTGGCTTTTAAACCTTAACCCAAGCAGATGGTGGTAGTTCAGACCTGCAGTCTTACCTACTCAGGTGTCTGAGATCTGAAGATCTCAGTTCAAAATCAGCCCTCATAGGAAACTCCTTAAGATTCTTATCTCCAATTAAGCAAAAGACCAGAAATGGGCCAGGCACCAGTGGCATTAAACTTCTGGCTTTGTGCTAGTTAGCTAGAGATAAGAGTCTCAAGAATTTGCCTGCCCAAGGTGGCTTTGAACCTCAGTCCCTAAATCTCAGCCTCTTGAGTAGCTAGGATTACACATATGGGCCACCAGTGACTGGCTCTACTTTAAGTACTACATATTTAACCCAGGGTGTCACACATGCTGGGCAAGCACTCTAATACTAAGCTAATGCTCTCAATCCTTTTTTACTTTATTTTGAGATAGTGTCTCACTAAGTTGCCAAAGATGGCTTTGAACTTCAATCCCCAGATCTCAGTCTCTCGGCTTATAGATGTGAGCCACCGGCACCTAATTAGAGATTTTCTTAAAGAACCACAAGGGTGAATAAATGCAGCAGTGATACTCACTGGACACTATATTGAAAGTGAACTGTACAAATTATGGAGGAGGGGGACCAGGAGGGAAAAACTGGGAGAAAATGAGGGAAGAGATGACACTTGTTCTAAAAGAAATATACTCATTACCTGCCTTATGTAGCTGTAACCTCTCTGTACATCAACTTTACAATAGCTTTTTAACTTTTTTTTTTTTGTCGGTCATGGCGCCTGAACTCGGCCTGGGCACTGTCCCTCAGCTCTTCAGCTCAAGGCTAGTACTCTACCAGTTGAGCCATAGCACCACTCCCATCTTCTTCTGCTTATGTGGTGCTAAGGAATAAAAGTCAGGGCCTCATGTATGCAAGGCAAAGCACTCTACCACTGAGCCACCTCCCAGCCCTACAATTACAATTTTTTTTAAAAGCTACAAGCCATCAGTTTCTATAGATACATAGAACAGCAGTATCTACCTGCCATTGCCTCTATTTTTTTTCTTTTTTCTTTTTTTTTTTTTTTTTGCCAGTTGTGGGGTCTGAACTCTGGGCCTGGGTGCTGTCCCTCAGCTCTTCAGCTCAAGGCTAGTGCTCTACCACTTGAGCCACAGCGCCACTTGTGGCTTTTTCTGCATATGTGGTGCTGAGGAATCGAACCCAGGGCAAGCACTCTACCACTGAGCCACCTTCCCAGCCGTGCCTCTAAATATCAGTGTTTTCATATTCTAGATTAGGCAGACTGGCAATTGATAGCTGATACAATTGGACTTCAACATGGAAGAAAAATGATTCTCAATCCTTACTTGATACCAAACTTAAAAACTGAGTCCAGCACTGGTGGCTCATGCCTATAATCCTATCCATTCAAGAGGCTGAAAGCTGAGGATCACAGTTCAAAGTCAGCCCAGGGAGAAAAGTCCAGATGCTCATCTCCAATTAATCACCAAAGAGCTGGAAGTGGAGCTGTGCCTTAAGTGGTAGAGTGCAAGCCTTGAGCAAAAAAGCTAAAGGGGCTGAGAGTGTAGCTTAGTAGTATAGTGCTTCCCTAGCATGCATGAAGCCCTGGGTCTGATTCCTTAGTACCATATAAACAGAAAAAGCCAGAAGTGGCAATGTGGCTCAAGTGGTAGAGCACTAGCCTTGAGCACAGAGAGGCTCAGGGACAGAGCCCAGGCCCAGAGTTCAAGCCTCAGGACTGGAAAAAGAACAAAAACAACAACTAAAGGACAGTGCCCAGACCCGGAATTCAAGCCCCAGTACTGACAGAAAGAAAGAAATTTGAATTCCTAGCACCACACACATAAAATTAGTGGTACCCAAGGTTTGATTCTCAGCATTGCAAAAAGAAAATTAATTTGAGATGGATCATAGATCTAAACCTAAAACTATAAAACTTCCAGGAGGATGGATGTTGATATCTCATGCCTGTAATCCTAGCTACTTAGGAAGCTGAGATCTGAGGATCACAGTTCAAAGCCAGCCCAGGCAGGAAAGTCTGTGAGACTCTTATCTCCAATTTACCACCAGAAAACTGGAAGTGGCTCTGTGGATCAAGTGATAGAGTGTTCGCCTTGAGCTGAAGAGATGAGGGACAGTACACAGGCCCAGAGTTCAAGCCCCATGACCGACCAAATAACGAAAAGCAACAACAACTCCCAGGTGGACACAGGAGAGCATTTTGAGAAATTTGAAATGGGCACACTGTCAATTTAAAATTTTGCTTGCATTGTTTCAGTATCCTCATGACAAATAGTGCTATAAGTGAAATTAGAAGTGCAGATATCTCTGGCATACTGACTTCCTTCTTCGTTTTCTTTTTTTCTTTTTCTTTTTTCTTTTTTTGCCAGTCCTGGGGCTTGAACTAAAGGCCTGCGCACTGTCCTTGAGCTTCTTTTGCTCAAGGCTAGCATTCTACCACTTGAGCCACAGCACCACTTCTGGCTTTTTTATGTGGTGCTGAGGAATCGACCCCAGGGTTTCATGCATGGTTGGCAAGCTCTCTATCGCTAAGCCACATTCCCAGCCACTATACTGACTTCCTTTCTTTGGTTTATACACAGTGTATAAACTATTCTCTGTATTGATGTACCACCAATGTCTATCCGCAACCAATAGAAAGTAAGATTTCTGCTTCCTTCCCAGACTTGCATTTCCCTGATGATTAGTGATACTGAGCATCTTGTTCATATATCTGATGACCCTTTTTAGATCTTTCTCTGAGAAATGTATATTCAGATCATTTGTATATTGACTTGTTTTATATTTTTATGCAAGCACTCTATCACTGAGCCATACCCTAGTCTTGTACCACCTGTCTTTATCTGGGTTTTTGTTGTTTTTCTTGTGGTTTTTTGGGGGGTTTTATTTTTAGTTCTTTCTTCTTTTGAATGTATTTACCTATTGATTTAGTTCATTTTTTGAGAAAGAATCTTGCTATGTATCCCAGACAGGCCCGCAACTCTGACTCCTCTTTCCCTATTCTCCCAAATGCTGAGATTTCAGGTTTGCATCCTTACAGCTGGCTTTTTATTGTTATTGTTGTTCTAAAGATGATACATGGAGGGGTTACAGTTCCATAAATCAGGAAATGAGTATACTTCTTTTTGGACAACGTCATACCTTCCCTTGTTCTTTTCCAGTTTTGTTTTTTTTCCTGTTTATCATATTTTTTATTATTTAAAAAGTGGAAAGTAATATTTTCATTGATAACTATCATTTGGTCCTTAGGTAGTTCTTTTGCAGAAAGTTGAGTCCATAATTTTCAAATGATGATAGGACTGTATCAACTGAGTTTCACACAGTTTCAATAACAGCAGTAATTTCCTTGAACTGTCTGTAAAAATTCTGAAACTGAGGAATTGTCATTTCAAAGGACTTGTTCTTTACTTGGCCAGAATGATCTGCCACTTTTAGCATTACTACAACATAAGGATACTTAAGTGATCTACAGCTGTCCGAGCTCACAGCCATACCGAGTTTCCATTGAAAATCTATAAGCTGGCTAGTGGCTTTGGACTTAGCATCTAGTACTGGCTCTCTGCCCCCCAGACTCCTCCATGGCAAAGGGCATGGCGCCTCCATGGTGCCTGCCCCCCAGTTTCGTTTTGTTGGTCTTCGGGCTTAAACTCAGGGCCTGGACACTGTCCCTGCACTTTTTGTTCAAGGCTAGCACCCTACTACTTTAATCCACAGCACCACTTTCAGCTTTCTCATGGTTAATTGGAGACATAAGTCTCATGGACTTTCCTGCCCAAGCTGGCTTCAAAACAAGATCCTCAGATCTAGGCATCCTGAAGAGCTAGGATTATAGGCATACAACACCAGGGCCTGGCTTTCTCAGTTTTTCCCTCCCAGCCCCAGCCACGAGTTGTATTGTTCATTTTTCAACATAGTGTTATACCTGATTTTGTATTTGTGTGTGTGTGTGTGTGTGTGTGTGTGTGTGTGTGTGTGCGTGCGTGTGTACATGTGCACACACACACGTGTGCCAATACTGGGGCTTGATCTTAGGAACTGGACATTGTTCCTTAGCTTTTTTACTCAAGGCTGGTACTCTACTACTTGTGCTACACTTCTGCTTCCAGCTTTTTGGTGGTTAATTTGAAATAAGAGTCTTACAGACTTTCCTGCCAGGCTGGCTTTAAACCTCAATACTCAGATGTCAGCCTCTTGAGTAGCTAGGATTATAGGCATAAGCCACCAGCACCTGACAACATTTGTATAATTCTTTAATGGGACTTTTATACATAGACACAATTTGAGATGTGGAATTTCTAACAGAAATAAAAGCGGTTTTTATTTTTAGGTACAAAAGGAAGAGAATGTCTCCTGCATCTGATTGCCACATTGCTGGTACTACAGTTTATTCGAACCAGACTGGAAAAAAAGGAAATAGCCTTCAAATCATTGATGAAACTGGATGAAGCTTCCATTTCCAGGTGACTTTAACTATAGTAATTAGCAACTCATATTTTTAGCTTTTTTTTTTTTTTTTTTTTTTCCGGTCGTGGTGCTTGAACTCTGGGCTTGGGCGCTATCTCTGGGCTCTTCAGCCCAAGGCTAGGGCTCTACCACTTGAGCCACAGTGCCACTTCCGGTTTTCTAGTGGTTTATTGGTATAAGAGTCTCACGGACTTTCCTGCCCGAGCTGGCGTTGAACCATGATCCTCAGATTTCAGCCTCCTGAGTAGCTAGGATTACAGGTATGAGCCACGGGGGCCCAACTTTTTAGTTATTTCTTAAAATAAGCCTTACAAGAATCTATATTGAATTGTTTTATGTGTATTGCTACTTTGAAGTACAAAAAAAATCTTTGTACCTTGGTATGTAAGCTGAGATTTTTGCCTCTGGCTTCATGGGAGTCATCTCAGAGAATTTATGTACAGCTTATACTTGCTCTCTGGACTGCTGTTTGGTATTCTTTACTAGAAGGGGTTGATCCCAGATGCCTTTAGAATATCAGGCCTGTTCCCAACAACTGCAGGTCCTAGCACAAGAATGTTGGTGGAAACCCACATACTCGATGTCTGGAACTCAGCGGTAAAGCACTTGTCTAACATGTGCAGAGCCTAGAGCTCAGTACCTAGCACTGCATACACACGCATGTACACATAAACACATATTTTTTTTGCCAGTCATAGGGCTTGACCTGAAGGCCTGGGCATTGTCCCTGGGCTTCTTTAGCTCTATATCACTTGAGTCACAGCACCACTTCCAGCTTTATCTGTTTATGTGGTACTGAGGAATCAAACCCAGAGCTTCGTGCATGCTAGAAAAGCACTCTACCAGTTAGCCACGTTCCCAACCGATATAAACTCATCAATAAAACTAGCAGGCCAAACATGGTGGTTTACACTCGTAGTATCAGCATTTAGAGGTCAAGTTCAATAGTTAATACTGTGAGGAGACAAAAAAATGTGAAGCTTTGTGAAAGATCATAAAATAACACATAATGCCCACATTTTACCATTTTAACATTTAGGTGCACCCTTAGAAAATGGAATGTAACAACAGCAGCAGCAAAACACCCTAGAACATTTGGAGAAATTAAATGTTCCCTAAAGCTGGGCACCGGTGGCTCACGCCTGTAATCCTAGCTACTCAGGAGGCTGAGATCTGAGGATCATGGTTTAAAGCCAGCCCAAGCAGGAAAGTCTGTGAGACTCTTATCTCCAATAAACCACTAGAAAACCAGAAGTGGCACTGTGGCTCAAGCGGTAGAGTGCTGGCCTTGAGCTGAAGAGTGCAGGGACAGCACCCAAGCCCAGAGTTCAAGCCCTACGACCGACAAAAAATAAAATAAAATAAATGTTCCCTAATAGCTTTGTGTGGTTTTTATTTTTATTTTTTACTAATGCTGGGAATCAAACACAAGATCTTATGCATGCTAAGCACATACACTAATATAAGCCATACTCCCCATACATCTTATGTGAATTTTTAGTACCGTTGTCTGGCAAAGTGGTGGAATGATAGCCTCAAGCAAGAAAAGTTAAGGGATAGCACTTGGGCCCTGAGGTTAAGTCCCAGTACCAGCACACACACACACACACACACACACACACACACACACACACTATATGTGTATGTACATATGTATAAATATGTATAATGTTATATCAAAATATATGATATACAAAATACATATTATAAAACTAGAAAGAAAAGTTGATGTCACCCAAAATAAAGGTGGACACACTGAATAATCAAAATACTTAAACTAGCTTTGTAACTTTTAGTAACTCTAAGAAGTAAATTAATAATCTTTGGAAAACATCCAACTGCTAACTACTTTAGGCATACAATATTTGTGTCACTCAGGACTTCAGGCATGCTAACCAAGCAAGTGCTCTACCACTATAGCATTTGCCCATTTGTTTGTTTTTGCTTTTTTTGTTTTTTGTTTTGCCAATCCTGGAGCTTGAACTCAGGGCCTGGGCAAAGGCTAGCACTCTACCACTTGAGCCACAGTGCCACTTGCAGCTTTTTCTGCTTATGTGGTGCTGAGGACTTGAACCCAGGGCTTTATGCATGCTAGGCAAGCACTCTACCACTGAGACACATTCCCAGCCTCTGTTTGTTTAAAGATAGATTTTGCTGCTAAGTTTGCCTAAGCTGGCCTTGAAGTGGTGATTTCTATAGCCTTCACCTCCTGAGTAGTTGAGATTACAGGCATGAGCCACTATGCTTAGCTCACACTCCTTATCTAGTATATTCATCTCCTTATGATATTTGCTAACATTTACCAAATGCCAGGGACTGTTCATCATGTTAATCAGTGAGTTTTGTAAATCACCAGAACAAACCAATCTGGCCTCATATTATGACCGTAACTGAGGGAACATTTCAGTATGCAATGAATGCTACCCAGTCTAAGTCACACAGGCATGTGAGGATTTGAACTGTCACCTCACTGACTGATGGCCATTCCCCTTTCAAGGAAAACAACCAAGAAGATAGAAAGGATTTTCAGAATTTTGCCCATAGGATTTTTCTTTTTCCTTTTTTGCCAATATTTACATTCAGGACGTCAAGCTTGTTTACCTTGCTTGCACACAGCTGGTTCTCTACTACTTGGCTTTTGGCTAAATAGAGATGGAGTTTAAGAAACTTTCCTGCTTTTTTTTTTTTTGGGTCAGTTGTAGGGCTTGAACACTGGGCCTCGGCGCTGTCTCTCAGCTCTTCAGCTCAAAGCTAGCACTCTACCACTTGGGCCACAGCGCTACTTCTGGCTTTTTCTGTTTATGTGGTGCTGAGGACTCGAACCCAGGGCCTCATGCATGTGAGGCAAGCAGTCTACCGCTGAGCCACCTTCCTAGCCCCCAGATAGGCTTTAAGCCACAGTCTTTCAGGTGTCAGCCTCCTGAGTAGCTAGGATTCCAGGCATGAATCACCAGGGCCCAGCCCATAGGATTTTTCCTAAAACCTCTGGTATATGCTGCCTCTTGTTCACTAACAGTATCCAGCAGATGACAAAACAGGTGAGGTAATAGCTACCTTAAATGACAGATTGCAGTCTTTTCTGGGTCTTAAAATTTTGATGCTGCTTTGTGCAGAAACTTACTAGTAAATGTATACATTTTCCTAAGAAGTTGTGCTGATTTACTTGGCATAATTACTATGTGCAAGTTTCATGGATGACCCTGAGTTCTGCAAGCAACTAACCAAGTTGAGAAATCCAGGTACAGTAGAAGAAAGTGAGAAACAGGCCTCATTTTGTAAAATAAAACTCAAGCTGAGCACCTGTGGCTTGTGCCTATATCCTAGCTACTCAGGAGGCTAAGAATTGAGGATGACAGTTTGAAGCTAGGGTAACCAACAAAAAACTGGAAGTGGAACTGTGGCTCAAGCGGTAGGTTGCCAATCTTGAGCAGGAAAAGCTGAGGGACAGTGCCCAGGTCCTGTACAAAAATACTACATCCTGAAAAATCAATTGAAACTTTCTTATTGTTATTATAAAGATGCTGTACAAAGGGGTTACAGGTACATGAGTCAGGTAAAGAGTACATTTCTTTTTGGACAATGTCACTCCTTCCCTCCCATCCCCATCCATAAGTTTTATAGTTCAATTTTCAACATAGTATCTAGTAAGTGCTACTGCTGCATTTGATCATCCATTGTTCCTCTAATTCTGTGCTCTCCTTACCTCCCCAAAGACAGATAAACAAACAAATATGACAAAAGGAAAAGAAAATGAAAACAGCAACAAAGAAGAACAACTTCTTGTTTCCATTTCCTGGAGTTCATTTTGATAAATATTATTTTATATAATGAACATAGGCATTGTACCTTTGTGATCCACTCCTAAGAGTATCCTCCCTTGGTCTCACTTTGTGTTTATGCCTAGAGTCCTGTATAATTTATTATGTCCCCATGTATTTTCAGCATATGAGAGAAAAATATATGCTGTTTGTCTCCCTAAACTTGGCTTACCTCATGGAAACTTTTTTTTAATTAATCTAGGAATATCCCCTGGGCTGTTGAGAAAATAAAGAAAGCAAATGAATGGGTTAGAAGAACAGAAGGACAGTATCCATCTATCTGCCAACGACTTGAACTAGGTAAAGACTGGGACTCAGCCACGAAGCAGCTCCTGGGAATTGAGCCCTTAGTCACCGCTTCTCCTCTTAGCAGAGTTCTACGGAATAATCAAGGCTGAATCCAATGAAATTGTATGTTCAACTTTTCTCTCTCATGTCAAATATAATCAAATAGTAATAGCTATAACAATTATGACTTTTATGATTTTATTCAGTATATCAATCAGTACCTTTCAAATAAAATAGACCCAATTGATTTCAACCAACAAGCAGCAATAAAATGAAAATAACAATATTGGAGATTTGTATTTCTAGACTTAAGTTGATGAGAGATGTCTAGATGGACCCAGGGGCTCATTCCTTCTCCCTTCCTGGAGTCCAGTGGAAAGCTGGTCTGCTGAGTAGGCTGGTGTTCATGGCAGGGGCCTGGGCCTGTTTCCATGGCCCTGTGTGTCCAAACTGTGGACTAGATGTGCATGCTCCCTTGTGTGGCTCCTCCATCCACTGATTTCTCAGTGCATGCTTGTTACTTAGAGAAACGAAGTCCCAAGTAATTCTTTCACAGATCGTTCTTATCAAATCCTGAAAGAAATAATCTCCAAACCCAAGACCATGTCATTTTTCTATTTTTTTTTATCTTCTAGACATTTTCTAGTTTGGCATTGTGCCTTTAGGTTTATGATCAATTTGAGTTACAATTTGGTTTGGGGTTATTTTTTGGTTTTGTTGTTTTGGTTTGGTTTTTTTGCCTGCCACAGTAGCCTCAACTCAGGCCTGGGCACTGTTCCTTTAACTTTTTCATTCAAGGCTGATACTCTACCATTTGAGCCACAACTCCACTTGTGGTTTGTTTGTTTTTTTTTTGCCAGTCCTGGGGCTTGAACTCAGGGCCTGGGCACTGTCCATCAGACTCTGTACTCAAGGCTAGTGTGCTGTCACTTGAACCACAGCATCACTTGCAGCTTTTTCTTTTTTCTTTTTTTGGTCAGTTATGGAACTTGAACTCTGGGCCTGGGCGCTATCCCTTAGCTCTTTAGCTAAGGCTAGCACTCCACCACCTGAGCCACAGTGCCACTTCTGGCTTTTTTTTCTGTTTATGTAGTGCTGAGGAACCAAACCCAGGTTTGGGAAGCAAGCACTCTCATGCATGCGAGGTAAACACTCTACCACTGAGCTACCTTCCCAGCCCCATTTCCAGCTTTTTCTGAGTAGTTTATTGGAGATTAGAGTCTCACAGACTCTTCTGCCCAGGCTAACTTTGAACTCAGATCTTAGCTTCATGAGTAGCTAGGATTACAGATATGAGCCACCAGCGCCCAGCTGATTCTACTTATGAAAGGAAGGAGGACATTCTTCACCTTTTGTTCTGGTTTGAATATGAAATGTCCCCTATAGGCTTATATGGTGAGTCTTGACTGCTAGCTGGGCTGTTGGGAATTGAGCTGATCCTGAAGACTCTGAACTCACCAATGGATTCATCCCTTGATGGATTCATATTATGATGGCATTATTATGAGATGGTGGAAAGTAGGATTGGAGGAAGTAAGACACTGGGTGTGGACCTTTGAAGGATTGTATCCTATTACTGTCCTTTTCTCTCTGTTGGTCTCTACTTCCTTTCTACCATGAGTTGAGCCAGTTTTATTCCACCACATGCACATGCACCCCTCCATGATTCTCTGCCTTACCATAAAGCTAGAAGCAATAGAGCCAAAATAAACCCTCCTTTTAAGTGGTTTCCCTCAGGTATTTGTCATAGCAACAGAAAGCAAGTTTTCACAACTTTCTTCCATTCCAGACGATTCTTCCTCTTACATATAAAACAGCAGTCACTTTGAGATTCTAGTACTTTGACTTTACAAAACTCTCTTTGTTCTCATTGCTGTGTTCACCAATGCCCAGAATGTCCTCTCATCCATGTGGGTCAGGATTTCCCCCCCCCATCCCCCCCCCACACATTATTGAGTCTTCATTTTCAGTGACTTCTCATCTTCTGATGGATAGCTTAGAGCATCATCTAATTCAATGGGTCCATATCTTGGTGGGAATTAAATCAAAACAGAGCAACAATAATAGTACACAGAGAAAAATTTGCAGCAAACAAGGAACCATGTCAAAAAGTTCTGAAGACCACAAGAATAACAGGCCTGTGACTCTACTGTGAAGGCAAGTTATCGTTGGTCCTGTGGAATCTCACAGCATGCTCCTTACTTCCGTGTTCTAGAAATGAGGCTTTAGCTCTTACTTGGGTAGAAATTTTGGTATTATAATTCAGCAAAGTTGTACCCTCACCTGCTGTGGGGACCGAGCTACTCCTTAGAATGGCTTGTACAACTTTTTTTAAATGGCTTTGCATGTGTGTGTACCAGTACTGGAGCCTGAACTCAGAGTCAAGGCTTACTCCCTTAGGTTCTGCTCAAGACTGGCACTCTACTACCTGTATTACACCTCAACTTACAGTTTTGTTGGTGGTTAACTGAAATTAAGATTCTCATGGACTTCCCTGACTGAACTGGCTTCAACCTACAATCATCAGATCTCAGCCTCCTGAATAACTAGGATTTCAGGCATGGCCACTGGTGCCCTACTGAAAATGCCTTTTAAGATTTGTTAGAAAAACATTTTTTGTTCCAGTTCTGGGGCTTGAACTCAGGGCCTGGGCATGGTTCCTGAGCTTCTTTTGCTCAAGGCTAGCGCTCTACCACTTGAACCACAGCACCACTTCCTGCTTTTTCTGTATATGTGGTACTGAGGAATCAAACCCAGGGCTTCATGCAAGCTAGGCAAGTACTCTACCACTAAGCCACATTCCCAGCCATAAAAGCAAATCTTATTTGGAGGCTTAGAATAAGACTTTCGTGAAAGACAGGCTGCAGACTACTTTTTCAGGATGCTTTTCTGCTAAAAGGCCTAATTAGCCCAGCTGTCTAGTAAAGTGCGTGTGCGTGTGTGTGTGTGTGTGTGTGTGTGCGTGTGCGTGTGTGTGCGCGCGCGCACATGAGCGTGTGTACAAATGTGTACACCTGTGTGCGTACATCAGTCCTGGGGCTTCAACTCAGGACCTGCGTACTGTCCCTGAGCTTTGTTTGCTCAAGCCAGTGCTCAACTACTTGAGCCACAGCTCCATTTCTGGCTTTTTTGATCATTTACACTTTCCTGTCTGAGCTAACTTGGAATCAAGATTATCAAATCTCAGCTTCCTGAGTAGCTAGAATTACAGTATGAGCAACCAGGATCTTGCTTCCAGTAAACTTTTTTTAAAGCTCTCTTTGTAATGATGTAAGTATGGCACTGATAATTAAAAAGAGTGAAAGAAGGGTTGCCTATATTTGGAAACTTGCAATACATAAAATTTATAAAGATGAAGTAAGAGAATTCTACCTGAGTCTTTTTTTTTTGGCCAGTATTGGGGCTTGAACTCAGGGCCTGGTACTTTTGCCTAGTTTTTCCTCAAGGCTGGCACATTTCCACTTCTGGCTTTTTGGTAGTTCATTGGAGATAAGAACCCTCATAGACTTTCCTGCCCAGCTTGGCTTAGAATCTCAATCTTCAGATCCTCTTTTTAGTAGCTAGGATTACAAGTGTGAGCCACATGGTGCCCGGCTGTATGTGAGTCTTAATAGATAACTTCAGGGAAGAAGATGATCTAGTTTACATGCATGTGCCAAAAAGAAGAAACCAAGAGAACTGTTTCAAAGGGCTGTAGGTATAGCTCTGTGATAGAGCACTTGCACAAAGCCCTGGGCTCCGTTCTTAGCAGTTCAAAATGGAAAAAAAGGAAGAACAGAGAAAGAAAAGAAGGGAGGAAATGAAAGAAGGAGGGAGGGAGAGTCAGGGAGCTCTGCCTTGCTCCGTAGGGTAGAGCCAGATAAAAAAATCTCAATAGTTACAGCAAGGGCCTGCCTGATAACAGATGGGGGCTCAATCAGAAAGGACACCACCCGTGAAATGATTTGCTCACACCCATGTGTATCTGCCAGATCTTTGCTATACGTTGCCAGAACAGTATGAGAGGCCTCAGTTCTGGAAAGATTCCTGTGGCTGGTGTCTGAGGTAGACATTTCCACTTGTTTTAAGCCATTTTACGGGATTTGACTATCTAGCTACAGTACTGCTTCTCCCATACTTGCCCTCAACAAACATTCTCACTAAGCATGGGGGGTGAGGGAGTGGGGGAAGCCCAGAATGGTCCACTCCCCCTATATCAAGCCAGCAGTGTCACAGCTGCAGGTGTCTGGAGAGCATCTTCTAGGATGATTCTGACTGCAGCCACTTCTGATGCAGGTTATTTTTCACCTGTGCTTCTAATTATATAAGTCAGAGTTTCCTAGACACCTTTAGTTTGACTAATTTGCTAGAGCAGTATACAAAACTCAAACTTATAAAAAAAAAATGTTACAGGGGCCAGCAAGGTTGCTCAGTGGTAGAGTACTTGCTTTGCATGGATGCCGCCCCGGATTCGATTTCTCAGCACCGCATAAGCAGAAAAAGCCAGAAGGTGGCTCAAGTGGTAGAGCGCTAGCCTTGAACTAAAGAACTGAGGGACAGCACCCAGGCCCAGAGTTCAAGCCCACAACCAACCAAAAGAAAACCTCTGGCAAGTAATTGTTAGTCAATTGTTGGCTTTGGTAGCTTTAAATATCTCTGCTACATCCTCCTTACGGTGATCGATCGATCGTAAAGCAGGAAAAGTCTTACTCCCCTTCCTCCAGGATGCCGGGAGTCAGGTACCATGCTATATCTCCAATCCCAGACAGAAAAGGCAATTTCAAAGCTGGGCACTCATGCCTGGAATCCTAGCTACTCAGGAGGCTGAGATCTGAGGATCTCGGTTCAAAGTCAGCCCAGGCAGGAAAGTCTGTGAGACTCTTATCTCCAATAAACCACTAGAAAACCAGAAGTGGCACTGTGGCTCAAGTGGTAGAGCCCTCGCCTTGAGCTGAAGAGCACAGGGACAGCGCCCAAGCCCAGAGTTCAAGCCCCACCACCAACAAAAAAAAATAGAAAAAGAAAAAAAAAAAGGCAGCCGGGCGCTGGTGGCTCACGCCTGTAATCCTAGCTACTCAGGAGGCTGAGATCTGAGGATTGAGGTTCAAAGCCAGCCCGGGCAGGAGAGACCGTGAGACTCCTATCTCCAATAAACCACCAGAAAACCGGAAGTGGCGCTGTAGCTCAAGTGGTAGAGCGCTCGCCTTGAGCTGAAGAGCTGAGGGACAGCGCCCAGGCCCAGAGTTCAAGCCCCACGACCGACAAAAAAAAAAAAAAAGGCAATTTCAGGTCTTTGATAGCCCCTTC